AGACAAGACAAACAGATATCCACACACAAGCAGGTGAATAGGGAAACATGCAGACGGGCATTTCAGCTCTAATGGGTCAGACAACCTATTTCTGCTCCTCAGGACAGTGGCAAGAAGAGTGACCCACTCATGATAAGGGACCTCACTGGGGGCATCTTGCCCAAGGGCCTCCCAAAATCTGGAGCTGACACTTAGCCATGTGCTTATCTGCCCATGTGTACTTACCTCAACTGGGTCTCAGTTCATGCCACGTTAAACTGAGATGGTGTGGTTAGTTATTGATTGGTGGCTACTGCCTGCCTCTGTCAATCTGTCACATTGATCATGCCTGCTTTCCACAGGACAGGTGCAAAGTCTTTCATTCCTACCAGTCTTTCGAATCTTGCTGCATTTATGCCTGGGATATCATTGGATATCAGTTCTGAGTTTACTTAGATTGAGAGATGGCTAAATAGTTGAATCTGCATTTTCATTGCTGAGTGGGCATTTGAACATACATTTCCCCCACGTTGCTCAGTGCTGAACTCAAACTGGTCTGCCACAGTGACCTTTGTAAAGAACATTATCCCTTAAGCATCTCTCATAGGCAGAGACATTCCAAATTGGCTGCCATTTTTAAACTTCATGCTACCTTTTCTAGCTATCTTTGCAAAATTCTGGCCTTTCACCAGAAGTTCTTGGCCGTTAGGATTTATTCTGAGGATTTGGGGCTCACATTTTAGACATTGTCTGGTCTAACATTAGAGAAGGAATTCGGCACAATTGGGAACTTTTGCTCCCCAAGCTGAATAAGTTGACTATTAGTGCTTTAAGTGACTGTCAGCCTTTAATCGCCCTATCTGATCCCCAGAGTCCACATCATGTGCCAGTTTCTTCTGCCAGGCTTATATTTCAGGTAATGGGGGTACACGCAGAAGCCTGCAACATCAGCTTCACTGCATAGGGAGGGAGGTCCCCTGGCAGAAAAGGTACCTGTCATTTCCAAGGACACTGCCTTTTGGTGTTGCATAAAATGTCAGAAGATGTGTGTGGGAAGCTGGTGAACAGACACGTTCTGGAGTAATTGCAACAATGTGCATATACTGTAACATCTGAAGTTCCTCACTGGCAATAGGTGTAGAATAAATGGATAGGAATATATCTGTTTGCTGGATTTATGCTAGGGTAAATTCTATACATTTATAGTTCTACTGAATTAGAGCGTAGGGAAACAGGCTAACTCTTCTGGGAATGCTATTAAGCACAGGCAAATCTATGTGGCCTTTTCTGTCCTGCACTCTGGGCATCCAGTAAGAGGGTCAGGTAATGCCAATGCTGCTTCTAGTCAACGTTATTGATGTAGTTCATCTGTCCCCCAGAGCATATACTACAACGCACCAATTCCTAGGCATTAACTAAACATTTTTAGAACTTTATTCCCACTAAATTCCTAACAACTACCCTGCTTCATTTCTTGATTCTGAACCAGATCAATTTTATTTTAAGAAGTCTTTCTGGTACACCCAGGAAACCCAACAACACACTCCCCCATTGGAAACAGCCTAAGTCAACCATATCTTACAACTGTGCACAAAAAAATGTGCAGTTTGGAACAATCCCTTTAAACAGCTTATTCCCAAGCATTCAGACACTGAGTCCATTTAGACACTTGTTTTTGTCTGCTTGCATTAGAATGTGTTAAAGTATCTCAATAGTACATTAAGTCGTTAACACGTGTTGTCTAAATTATACTCTTCCAGGAGATGCAAGTTCTAGTTACCATGTGCGCAACAATTTTTTTCAAGTGGCTGAATGCTGAGTTAAAGTGATCATGTCAGATCTTCACTTCTCTCTATTGGCTGCCATTCACATTCAATGCAAAACTTATTTACTTAGTAGTATTTTCATGGCATTCCCCTACCCTGCTATTTTGGTCCTTTATTCTGATATATCCCTGCAAGAGACATTCCCCATCACTACTCTGTCACCCATGTTCACCCCCAAGGTTTCCTGCTCATTTCTCTCTCTGGTTATCAGTGTGCTGGAACTCCTTTTTAGATGATCTATGATGGAATTATTATATCTGTATCTGTCCCCTGACCATAATCACATAGTTAAAAAAACTCAGTTATGACCTTCATTACATTTATTTGTGCTTTTTGTCATTTTACCTTACACTGCCATAGCCTTTTTATGCTACCTTGGGTATATTGATCAGTTATGTGTTCGATAGATAAAGAAAATAAGAGCAAGAAAACAGAGGTGCAATCAGGAACATATATACTGAACACATTTTCCAGAATGGTAGTTGTGGTAATTGCTTGAAAACAACTGGAAAGAGTCTTGTTGTTACACTTTAAACTCTAAACCATTTATTAAGGCACAAAGCTCGATGGATTAGAGTCCACCTCCTCAGATGCAACAAGCCTTATCCTCAGGTACTCTTCTTGTTTGCCATCCCAGAAAGCATCTGGTTTAACAGATAGGCTCTAAAACCTACTAAGTGTTGTGTATCTCAATGCTACCCATATATATAGACTCTGTGCTTTAGTGAATGTGCTATATACTTTTATATTTTGAACAACAATGATGCTTGTTGGTGTCTGGTGTCAACCATGCTACCAATCTCTTTGTTGTAAATATACATCTTTGATGACAGTGAGATGGCACATAGCATTGTTTATTCATCAGCACAGGAAGAAATGTGGAATGATTGGCAGCCCTGAAGGGCAGAGACAATTTTATTTCCTTTCATCTTTAGGATGTAGGTGAATTGGGAAAGTAGGTTCCCTGTTTTCATCCCTTATCTAAAAGTATCCACTCTTTCAGAGGAAAGGGCCATTTTATGGCAAATCTTTTGCTGACATTTCTTAATTATATCCAGCATGATGCCCAGAGGAACTGCAGAACTGTTTTGAAGTGTTGGTGCGGTGGGAGGTAGTTCAGAGAGCAGCCCAGTCACCAGATGTCTCCTGCCTTTTTCTTGAGAAGGTCTGTGGTGGCTCAAGGGCATTCTGAACTCTTGTTTTGGCCATAGGGAGAGGCTACCTGCTTGTCTGTCTGAGTCTGTCGTACAGATGCAGAACAACACAGGTGTGCATAACAAGTGCTGCTGAATGTAACAGGAGCTTTACAAATGTGGCCTTTTATTCTCCAGAATTACATTTTAAAAAGAGAGGCAAGAATTAAGGGCCAAGGGAACAATGTTGGTTGCGCTCTCTCTCTCTCTCTCTGCTGGCAAAATCAGCCACCCAGCACAACAGTTAAGCCAATGTATACTATTTCTCATAGTCAGGTGATTTTAAAGACAGTTGTTGGTCCCTCTGCTTAATAGTATCATAATCTTATGGGGCAAGAAAGGAAGATCCAGACAGTAATCATTAAGTCACCGTAACAAAGTTTATATTACACGGGTTGGCTGCAGTTGGGGTGGGAATTATGTAAAGTTTGTAGGATAACCAAAAAAACCCCAATCAAGAATAAAATAAAATAGCTGGGAAACAAAGGATTTGGTTCTGAGTTGCATATGAAGATTAAATATTATTTTAAGAGCCTCCCTTCCCCACTCAGTGTGGAGAAGTGAAAATGGAAAAAAGAGGATATGTTAAATGGAGCACATGGCAGCAACATTTCACATGTGGGAACATGCTTCAAAAGCATTATTTATTATAACAAAATTTGAAAAACAGTACATATCTCAAAATATAAAGATACCTGAAGGAAAATGCATCATACACAAAAAAATTAGATTGATATACATTACCTTAGAATTTATTATTTCAATGATTTATACACTCATTTTAAAAAAGCAAAAAACAAAACCACCTGCTGTTCTTTTGCTCTAGTATACGACATTATTATTATTATTAAGCTACTATCTATCTTTGCCCCAAACAATCCAATATAAAAGGAGTTCTTGGAAACTGTCATTCAGTCTGTCTAATAAAAGTGAGCAGACCGCTTCTGTATCGTCATTAAAATTAAACCTTTCAAACATCTAAGTAGAACAGTTTTCAGAGCAAATGACAAAAGCAGAGGTTGGGAAGATGTGGCCTCCCAACTCCCATCAGCCCCAACAACATGGCCAGTGGTCATGGTTGTAGGAGATGGAGTCCAACAACAAGTTGGAGGGTCACAGGTTTCTCATCCCTGTGGTAAAATAATATATTTTTTATTATCACCAGAAAGCCTTAGAGACATACATTGGTTTTAGCTCAGGGGTCAGCAAGGTTTACCTCGCCTGGGTCAGTTCACTCCAGTGGAGATCCCTCCGTGGGCCAGATAACGTGTATGCCCACAGTTTTCAGCGTCTCCACATGCACAGACGCGATTTTTGGCGCCGCGGAAGTGAGTCACCGCACTGTGCCGGTTTAGCGCAGCATGCGGGGGCTTGCCAAGCAGGCAGCTCAGTTCAGGGGCAGCTCATGGGCTGGTTAAACGACCCCTGTGGGCTGCTTGTGGCTCATGGGCCTTAGGTTGCCGACCCCTGTTTTAGCTGGTATTTCATCTTATTAAAAAACTTTTCATATACAGTGGTACCTCGGGTTAAGCACTTAATTTGTTCTGGAGGTCCGTTTTTAACCTGAAACTGTTCTTAACCTGAGACACCACTTTAGCTAATGGGGCCTCCCACTGCCGCCGTGCCATTTCTGTTCTCATCCTGAAGCAAAGTTCTTAACCTGAGGTAATATCTCTGGGTTAGCAGAGTCTGTAACCTGAAGAGTCTGTAACCCGAGGTACCACTGTACTATAGCTACTACATCAGTTTATTCACATTTTTATCCCATTTCCCCCCCATCTTATTTATAGTTGGTTGGGACTATTTCCCTTTGTTCGTATTGTTCACTAGAAAGCCTAGTGCCAAAAGTCTTGCATTAGTGAACAGTTTCCAAAATGTGTGAAAATGTTCTGCTCCTGACATCTCCAGATACCACCTTGTGTCATTTCTTTCGCTACCAGTTGTCATGCCCAGTGCTGTGGAGACGAATGTCAGCCTGAAATATTGCATCTCATTGGCGCTATCAGGAGTTTTGAAAGCCCCAGACTTCTAGAAGCTGCACCTGGAAGTTTTCTTGGCAGAGAGGAGGGTTGTCAAATGTTTCGCAGTGCTCCGTTCTCCCATGATGCAGATCAGCGTCAATAAACAGAGCTTGGCCTCCTCCACCACCTGGGGGGAAACGAACAGAGATTTGTTATGGGCTGTTGCTGGCTATGAAAAGCAAACTGAAATGCTGTCCTCTGTTGTATGATCAGTAGCAGATTTCATTGCTGTGAAGTTAAATCTGAAACACTCTGATTGGAGGACAGCAGCATATGCAGGGGCACAGAAAAGAAATGTGTGTACGGTATATCGGCCCCAAATTTTGTATTTTGCAAAACTAGTTCCTTTTCATTATAGAGTTACTCTGTGAACAAACCACCTGCTGAAACATAGTAACAACCATTCAAATGGCTTCATCTAAATAATTGAACTGGTGAAAGACAGCGAAGGGATTAATCTTGCATTTCCAGAGACTAAACCTGACCTAAATTTCAACACGGTTTGCAAGGAGCTCCAAAATAAGCTTTTAAACTGGAAAGGCATATGCCTATCTTACGCCAAAGTACTTGGGAATATTTTCTGTGCTAATGTGATCATGTAGCCTCCTAGTGGCTGTCATCAGTAGCCATAGTTTTCTCAAGCTGCGTGTGCTGCTAGGTTGCTCACGTATAGCACAGCACCCCTGCATTATATATGAGCACAAAGGTCTCTCAGTTTAGATTAATGCCTTATTCTGCATGCAAACAGTGTAGACCGTAGGTGTATATTGCTGCATGCTGCATGCAAGCAGTCAGGCCTCATTGAACCATCACTGGTAGGCTGTCAAGTTGATATTATTTGTGCTGCCTTACATAGAGCTGTACCTGATACCAGTGCAAGGCTTCTCATCACTCAGTTCCTCTATGAAATGTTTTGGTTTATCCTTTACCCCTAACAGCAGGGATGCGGGATCTGTTGCTAAACTGCAACTCCCATCAGACCCAACCAGCATGGTCAATGTTTAGGTGTTTGTGCAGGACAGGTCACATGGCACATTCAGTTCTACCCCAACAACACCATGCCACTGCTGCCTCCCTTCCCTGCCAGCAACTGCCGCTTGAGGCAGCTTCCCCACTCTAACGATAGGGCCAGTCCTGGGCACCAGAAATGTCTGTGGCACTACGGTCTCTGTGACAGCTATAGTGTCATAGTAGAAGCATAGCTACCTATGATGATCTCTTTCTGAGTTCCGGACATGAACATGGAGGCTGTTTTGGAAGGCAGCTTGAAGTGTCGAATTGCCAGGAATGGAGAGAGGCGGTATTTAATCATGTCCAGCACTGGCACAGTGAGGTGGTTTGAGCTGGTTGTTGAGTGACCCTCGGAAGAGAAGGGAGACGGAGAGCGCGGGCGTGGGGATCGAGGCAGAGCTTTAGCTTGTTCCGGCTTCTTGATGAACACCCACTCGTATCGCTCCATTTCTGGGTGAACCTTTCAAAGCAAAAGGACATAAATCAAGTATATTTTTCCATTGCGGTTGCTCTGCTAGGGCAGCACAGGAACAGGAGGGAACATAGGAAAGCTGCCTGAGCCCATCTGACTGGCAAGAGCTCCCCAGGGTTTCAGGCAGCGGTCTCTCCTAGTCCTGGAGGTGCCAGAGATTGAACTTGGCACTATTTGCATGCTAAGCAGATGTGATACTCTGAGCTGTGGCCCTTCCCCTAGGACAGAGCTTTCCAAACCTTTCCTGTTGGTGACACACTTTTATGACATGTATCATTTCATGATACAGTAATTTAGTTTTACTAGCAAACTGGAGGTCAAACTAACCCCTTTCCAGCCCTGGGAGGTGCCCAGGGAGTTTTCATGCGGCACACCTACACACTGGAGGCAACACACTAAAGTGTCACGACACAGAGTTTGGAAAGCTCTGCCCCAGGGCATGACTCCTTGAGGGAACTGGTTCCAACTGAGCTCCTGGTAAACTCAATATGAACATAGTGCACATAGAATTTCAGGCTTGGAGGGAACCTTCAAGATAATCTAGACCAGGGTTTTCCAAACTTGGGTCTCCAGCTGATTTTGGACTACAGTCCCAGTCATCCCTGACCACTGGTCCTGCTAGCTGGGGAAGATAGGAGTTGTAGTCCAAAAATAGCTGACGAAGCAAGTTTGGGAAACCCTGAAGTAGACCAACCCCCAGATTAACGCAAGTGGAATGTTGCAACTTCAGGTTGTTATGAGCCCTGAGGAGATTTCTTGGCAGGGCTGGTTGGAGGAGTGTTGAGATATGATGGTTGAGCTGGGTCCTGGGAAGGGGCCAAGTGGTCTAGGAGATGCCAAGCAGGACCTGGTGGGGACAGGACGGAGTCATTATTTTGGAGACATTCCTACCATGAAAGTGGCAGATATCTGAACTGAAGAGGGGGAGCTGCCCGACTCAGCCCCCAACCCACTTCCAGCTAATGACAATTCCCCAGAAACCAGGGAGGTGCCTGAATTTTGGCCAGGCAGTGAACCAGACTCCATCTCCCAAGTACACACCAACATGAATGCTACTGTGAGCAGACACAGCCTGCACACAGGAGTGCCTACTTGCTTGCCCAGTTGTGTTACTTGGATCCACACAAATGGCTGTGCCTGCCCTATTCTTCAAACAGAAAGCCAAGGAGGCATGACAGGGGTTGAGACCACCTGGCCATGAACTTAGAACTCTGCTTATGAACTGTGTAACCTGCACCCTGATTTATGTTTAGGCCATGCAGTGAACTGTGGAATGAAGCCTTTGGTAGCAATGAAGCCCAGTGTCCATGTACTGTGTCTGAGAAGGGAAGCCAGGACATAGATAGCCATCCAGCCTCTGCTTAAATTCTGCCAATGAAGGAGAGTATGTCACAGTTATTAAGCAGTGGTTGTAGTTGGCTGCAACACCCAGACTCCTAGTAGTGAATTGGTTGGTTCACTACTTGGTGAAGCTGCTCTGGCAACTTCTGTACATGCAGGAAGCTCACTGTGTTCACATGCCATGCTGCACTTTCAGAACAAGGTGGCGCAGAAGAGGAAATTGCAACTCTTCTACAGCCGGCTGGCCGCCTTACCTAGTAGGGGTGTTGAGACTCACAGCTACATTTTGGGATAGGCAGAGTGGGCTTCAACTTAAGCCTGAAAATGCATTTTGAGGCCCACATTTAATTTTTACTGCTTATTTATATGGTGTTGGTGCTGCTGGTGGGACCCACTTTAGTTCGGACTGTGATCCAGTATTGGTCAGGCTGTGACCTACCAGTTGAAGGCCAATGAATAAAAGGACTTTAAAAATTGTAAAATCAACCCAATCTCCATTGCGGGAATAAATTTTAGACTCACTGTGAAAACAAAGCATTCTCCTGTGCCAAAGAAACTTGATGCCCCCCCACTTTTTTTCCTTTCGCTCCAGTCGGAGGACAGAAATGCTCCACACACCTGTATGGAAGGAAGAGGCAAGAAGCAATGAATTCTGTCATTTGTCATTCCTAGAGGATCTCAGAAAAAGCTGAGGAGCCAAATATCTATATTTTATCACAGAAGATTGATAGGGTCACTCCCTTCGAACGCTTTAATTGGAGCAGCACAGCCATAATTGGATATGGCTATGTACCAAATAGAGTAGTGTCACAAAATGAGATACTATCACAGTCTTTTAGCCATTTTATGACAGCATAATAAGGAGATAAAACTGGAGCAAATATTAGGATAGGGACTTTGGATTGACAGAGAGCTTAAGGTTTGTAATTTGTGATCTCTCGCTGTTAATTAAACTAAATTTTAAAATTTGTCTTCCCTTCAATGACATGCAGATCTGGGGTGTCTAACAAATCAAAGAAACATGAATTACACGCTATAATTCAAGCCTTCTTTTAAAAAGTTTTAAGCTAAACAGCATGAAACCAGAACATTAAAAAGTTAAAAACTTTAAAGAGCACCATAAAATTCCCCAGAAAAGTCCTGAAGGCTGAGCCTTCTTGGAGAGAAGATTGTAGAGGCAAAGCACCAGAACAGAAAAGGCCTCTCCTCACTCACCTCTGATCACCTAGACCAGTGGTTCTCAACCTGTGGGTCCCCAGATGTTGTTGGACTACAACTCCTATCATCCCTGAGCTCTGGCCTTGCTAGCTAGGGGTGATAGGAGTTGTAGTTCAACAACATCTGGGGACCCACAGGTTGAGAAAGGCTGACCTAGACAGAGAGGGGGGCCTGAGCAGGTTGAGGTGGAAGCAAGTGTTCCTTCAGGTACCCAGCCATGAAGATAAGCACCACCCACAATGTGTCAATGTCACTTTAATCTAGTTAAAGGAAAGCCTGGACCATTTCATGTGTTACATTTTGAAGTGTACACTTAAGATTGTGAGTGGAAAGCAACGCGTTGTCCTTGGCTCCAGCTCCCTATCGAGTATGAAAACTTCGTGGAACAGAACTCAGTTGTGGTTCTTTTTCCTTTCTCAGGAGTGAAACAGATATGCAACTGGCATGTAACTGACATCCAAAGTAGTACGGTTACGAATAAATACACTCATTCATTTGTTACGACAAAATAGCTTTGCCTGCCCAGTATTGCTGTCTTTAAGAGTGACCCAAGAAACGTAATAGTGCCTTCTATCAATTCTGAAAGAACAGTACTGTTTGGAAGCATCCCTTTCACCTGGGGGTAAGGAAACCTGTACTGTCCCGTGTCTCAAAACAGATGCTCTTTATAGCCTTACTAACCATTCTGACCCAGATCTCAATTTGCCTCCACCATCCCCACTCTTCCCGATTTGGCAAGCATTAGAGTGAGTTACAGATATGAACGAACAAATGCTTGTGTTCACTATTCAGCGAGCATCCTTCAGCAGAGAACTTTGGAACTTGTTGCTAGTCCAGGCAGCATGTACAGAGTACTCTGCCGATGGTTTCTGACATTTGTTATTTGCGTTTTCAGCCTAGACCCATAGAAGAAAGGCCCGACCCGCAGGTCTCTCGGATGCTCAGAAGATACTTACTTCCCCCAGTGTGGTTTTTAACAGCAGTACCGTTGGTTCGTAGCCTTCACAGCAGGAATAAAACCTGCAAGAAACAAAGATGGAAGAAGGATGAGCTAATGTCAAGGAAAGCAATCCCATTATAGCACTGAGGTGGAAGTCGAATGGACTGTGACCTGTCAGCACAGTACATTCTACTTTAGTGCATTACTAGGAAGCCTGGGGCAATGAAAGCATCAAGGTGAAAGCTAAACTGGCTTCCTGCATATTCATCCAGATCCACTGCATGCTTTCCACATTAAGAACAAGAGTCCTGCTGGATCAGGCCAAAGGCTCATGTAATCCACCCAAACTGCCTGTTGCACTCTATGCTCTTCTGTTTCTTCTTGGGCTGGACCCCATGATGCTTTGCGTCCTCCTGCCTGGGTTTGGGGGAGGATTTTCTGGATTAAGTCCCCTGCTGGTGCAAGAAGAAGTAACGCAGGGAGGAGATGGGATGGCTCTGAGTTGCAACACTGATACTGCAAGGTCTCTGCAGAAGTTGGACGTAACTTCACCCCTTTGGTGTTTTCATGCATCACAGAGAAATCTGTCTGTGCATCTCTTTTGATAGGTCTGGACGTTACTAGTTTAAATACCTGGAGGAATAGCAGTACGTAGTGACAGTCATCAATCTCCTTGTGCTTACCACTGCTGTGTTAAACAGGCAGCCTTTGCAAACTCATAAAGGAGAGGTGGCAAAAACACTCCTCCGCTCATTTTCAGTATTGTTTAGGGATGTGTAATAACAGGCAAGGCTGGCATGCTATGTGGAGTTTGAAGCCAGAATTTTTGCTCGGTGGTGCAGGTAATTGCTCAGATAAAATTTTAAGCACAACATAATCTCAGGGGTACATGCAGGATCTTGACATACGATTCCTAGGTCTGAAATCAGGCAGCTTAATTGTGATTGTGAAAGTATATTTCTTTGGATATGGGTGTGTCTTAACTATTATTTGCCCCAGGACTGTGACACTGATCAGATATCTTCTGAGAGGGCAGGGGGCACTTTCACACTTCTACCAAGCAGACCATCTGGGCTGTTTTCTAACGAGATTTGCTGTTGTTACATGTGTCCCAGTGTACCTGGCCAGACTTCAATATTTACGTTCTTTTATTTTGGAAATGTCAATAGAAAATAGCTCTAGGCCTATCTCTTTGTAATGACAGAATGGCCAGGTGCTAGTATGAGATGCATGGCCTGCAAAGTGAGTCCTGGGAACTTTCCAAGGTAGTCATCACAAATTCATGGTTAACCCTTCTGACATTAGCAGGCTGCATCCCTATAGCCACTTCTGCATGCACATTTTCAAAACAGCGGGGGGGGGGGGGGGGGGCAGCAGCCTCCAAATGATCCATGGAACAAATTTAAGCACTCTTTCCCCTCGCTTATTTGTGTGTTGTGTCTTATGGAGCGAATGCAGGCTGCACAGCTATCCCTGAAGCCAGAACAGCAAAAGGGATTGCTGCTTTCATTGCATAGCGATCCCTCATGCTGTTCTGGCTTCTGAGATTCAAAATATTTTTTTTCTTCTTTTCCTCCTCCAAAAACTAGGTGCGTCTTGTAGTCTGGTGCGTCTTATAGAGCAAAAAATACGGTAAATGTTATTGGTCAGAAGCATAGGAACACTTCCTTTCCATCAGCCTGCAGCAGAGGAAGAGAAGGGAAGCAGGGCCACTCCAGAGAGATCAGCTCCATTTTGCTCCTTCTCTTCTTCAACTGTTTCCACCCCAACTGATCCTTATACAAACTTTAAAAACTGCTCCTGGAGTTTTCTTATTCCCTTTTTATCATGTTGTATCATGCTAGTCTGAGAGCACACACTATTATCGATCTCATGTCAGCTACCTTGGGAGCCCTTTTGGCTGAAGAAATGTTTTAAACAAACATTATCCCTATGGCAATTTCTGTGCAAAAAAAATAAAAAAAAATTCATTGGGGCACATTCTCACATTAATTCTTAAGCCTAGATAAATGCCCTGAATAATAAGCAACAGTCCAGCATCCTGTTCTCACAGCAGCCAACTAGTTGCTTCTGGGAAGCTCACAAGCAAAAGCTGAGTGCAACAGCAGTCTTCACACTTGTGATTCCCAGAAACTGGCATTCAGAGGCATACTGCCTCCAACAGATAACTTCTTGTTGTTGTTGTTATTTATTAAATTTGTGTGCCTTCTTTCCAGGGCCAGATTTAGGTTTGATGAGACCCTAAGCTACTGAAGGGATGCAGGTGGCACTGTGGGTTGAACCACAGAGTCTAGGGCTTGCCGATCAGAAGGTCGGTGGTTTGAATCCCCGTGACGGGATGAGATTGCTCGGTCCCTGCTCCTGCCAACCTAGCAGTTCGAAACCACGTCAAAGTGCAAGCAGATAAATAGGTACCGCTCTGGCGGGAAGGTAAATGGCGTTTCCGTGCGCTGCTCTGGTTCACCAGAAGCGGCTTAGTCATGCTGGCCACATGACCTGGAAGCTGTACGCCGGCTCCCTCGGCCAGTAAAGCGAGATGAGCACCGCGCCACAACCTCAGAGTCGTCTGCGACTGGACCTAACAGTCAGGGATTCCTTTACCTTTTAAGCTACTGAAGGTAATGGGGCCCTTTATATGTCCAACTGTCCTTTGTCAACAACAAATTGCCACTGTTTTTTTGTGTTGAATATTTTAGGGAGCAGGCTAGCAGGCGGGGCCCATTACTTACACATCATAGGAGCCTACACAACACAAAACACTGTTGCTGTATGTAGGTTTTATTTTATTTGTTTTTTATCTTATATTTTGGAAATGTACATCCAGGTTTTTTTCCCTTTACATTTTTGGGGGCCCCCAAGAGAGTGGGGCCCTAAGCTATAGCTTGTTTAGCTTATACATAAATCTGGCACTGCTCCGTTTATCTGAAGGTCACAGGGTGGTTCACAACATAAAAATACAAAGTGAGAACACAAAATACATAATAAACCCAAAAGCAACGCACCATTCCAAGGCAAACTAACACACTTCACAGGATATTACCTCATTTCCTCCACAACCTTGAATTATTCCCCAAGCCTCACTGAATGAACTAGCCCTGTTGTGGCTTGTAACCATTGATACCCATATCCATGAATTTTTTCTCTTTTCCTTCTAAAGCCATCCAAATTAGTGGTCATTCCATAGGTTAGCTATGCACTGTGCAAAGGATTGCCCTGAGTCTTCACTGGATAGTCCCAAGTCTTCTATGGAAGAGGGAGAAAAATCTCTCTCCACTGGTTTAGCTATGTACTATGTGAAGAAGTATTTCCTTTTATGCTTCTTGAAACTTCCCACATTCAGCTTCACTGGATGGCCCCAGGTTCTAGTATTATGAGAGATGAAAAAAAGCTTTTCTTCTCACCATGCATAATTTTATAAAACCACATCATGTCTCCCATTACTTGCCTTATAACTAAACTAAAAAGCCCCAAATGTTTTAACCTTTCTGTTCATTTTCTTTATCCTGTTGAGAATTCTGATGGTTTGAAACTCACTGTGCAAACTTACCTCTGCAAGCTGTATCCATTTTCTGAAGTTGAGAATATGCGGACAGGTGAGAACAAAGAAAATCGTTCAGGGATCCAGGACCAGACAACACGCATTTCCTGAGCAGTAACAATGGTGGAAGAGAAATTGTGGGCATTCACTGTGAGGTGAAATGGTTGCCTGTACAGCAGAGGAGAGAAGGGGAAAATAATTAATCCTGTACTGTAAATAGCTCCATAGATCCCAATCCTGAGGACAAAGATTTTTCTTCCAAAGATACTGCTAACCAAACACACAGCCAGCTCTTCATATGTTATGTCCAATGGTAGTAGACATAACAGACTGTTGTGTCAGTTCCAAAGAATGAGATCCAAAATTAGTCAAGGCAATTACTTTTTCCTACCGTTGGAGAGAACGAATGCAATAATTGGCAATGTGATATAGATTAATTCTAAAGCAGCTGATTCAGAAATATCAATTTACCAATGCCATGTGCCTTTGTGCTTCCTAAACCCCTTTGTCACTTGGGACAATCCTGGTCCTTTTTGTGCTTCCACACTGAGGCCACAATCACACCATACATTTGCAGCACTATCAGTCATGATTCCCCCCCCAAAGGATTATGTGAGCTGTAATTAGTTAAAGGTGCTGAGAGTTGTTGGGAGAGTCCTGTTCCTCTCCCAGAGCTACTATTTCCAGAGTGGTTTAACAATCAATCCCCAGGGAACTCTGCAAATTGTAATTCTAGGAAGGGAATAGGGGGCTGCTATCAACTTTCAGCACCTTTAACAAACTACAGCTCCCAGAATTCTTTAGTCGCAGGTCAGGACTGTTTAAAGTGGGGACCACAGTGCTAGCAGGAAAAAAATCTGTATGAGATTATCCTATGGAGATTGAATGTCTCTGGTCATCTGTAGCTGTACTGTGTAGTGCTCTGTAATTGACTTAGCCGTAGTGTTTGGTGAAGTGCTTCTCAAAAGAGAATGTGCAATATCTAAAGCAGAGTTGGAAGGGACCATGAGGGTCCTCTAGTCCAACCCCCTGCAATGCAGGAATCTTTTGAACCCACAACCTTGAGATTAAGAGTCTCATGTTCTACTGACTGATCTAACTGGATGATACCTCATGGCCTTTTGTACCTGTGCTGCACTGCGGTCACTCCTTTCTCCACTAATGCCTTCCTGTTAGCCATTTGAAGGAGCCAGATTTCTTTGCGGGAGAAAAGCCGGATGCTGAACGCCTTTTCCAGAAGCTTGTCGGTGGTCATGTTCTCACGAATGCCCTGCATGAAACGCCACAAGCTCCCTTTGATATCCACCACCTCCAAGCCTTGCGAAGCCACGGACAGCTGGAACTGCTTGAGCAGGGCCAGCGCGATCCGGTAGAGGACTTTCTGTCCCTCCAGAAGGTACACGTCAAAAATGCGGATGACATAATCGAATGGGAGGCCATCGAAAAGCCAGACCAGCCAGTCGGAATACACCTCAAAGATGTTGTCCGATGAGCTCGCTATCAGGCGGTGGGCAGCTGGGCAGTGTTTGTTGGCCAGGTCCCCAAAGGTCATGCACGAAGCCTCGTGGGTGAGGAAGGAGTGGTCAATGTAGGTGGTGTGGGGAGCATTGCAGTAGAGGAGCCGGCAAGTGTCCTCAAAGCACTGGCCCTCGCCTTGGCTGTAATGGAGCATCAGGGCAGTCACAGCGGGAAGCAGGGGGCAGTAGGTGATGTCGGGGTATAGGCTGGAAATGCAGATGAGTATCCTTTTCACTGCAGTTACCCCTTCTTCAGAGAGGCAGTATTCGGGCATGATGCTTCCTTCCAGGAATTCAGGTAATGGGTCAAAGCTCTCGTTCGGGGCTTCAAACAGCTTGCTGGCAACATCTCTGTAGACTTCAGCGTCAGGGGTCATGAGCCTGCACGGTATGTGCTGGATCACATGCTGATAAGCCTGCGCCCTCAGAGCGTGACTTCCTGCCCAGCGCCCTTCCCTCCCCAGTTTTTTGAGCTCCTTCATAGACTTGCCAAACAGGTGCTCCTGACTGTCCTGCTGCTCGTTCAGCTTGGGCATCTTGTTCTGGTCCACAAATTCGCTACAGCATAAGCAGGAGGCTGCGTCCATGTCCATCGCAACCACCGAAGGGATTTGCAAGGAGGCCTTAGATAGATCGGTGGTCTCTGTGGAGCAAAAGCACCATGGTTCAGCATGATTCACATCTCACCATTGGGCAGATTGCTTAAACTGTTCCTGACAACCATGGGTGAAAAGCACTGGGATTTTATCCGGTCTCTTGGGAGTTGCAACCACAGACAATTCCCACTTAAAATTTAAACACAAGCACCGGTCATAGTTATCACTTGTCACCTCACAGGCTTTAATTTAGTCTTCTAGGTATTTGGGGATGCTTCCATCTCTCATGTAAATCAAAGCTATTTGCTCATCATTAGTTATAAAGGTAGAACAACAAAACATTTAAATGTGAGTAAGCATAGAACATAGGGACGTGGGTGGCGCTGTGGGTTAAACCACAGAGCCTAGGGCTTGCCGATCAGAAGGTCGGCGGTTCGAATCGCCGCGGCAGGGTGAGCTCCCATTGCTCTGTTCCAGCTCCTGCCAACCTAACAGTTCGAAAGCACGTCAGAGTGCAAGTAGATAAATAGGTACCGCTGTGGCGGGAAGGTAAACGGCGTTTCCGTGTGCTGCTCTGGTTCGCCAGAAGCGGCTTAGTCATGCTGGCCACATGACCCGGAAGCTGTACGCCGGCTCCCTCGGCCAATAAAGCCAGATGAGCGCCGCAACCCCAGAGTCGGTCATGACTGGACTTAATGGTCAGGGGTCCCTTTACCTTTACCTTTAAGCATAGAGCAAGGGTGGTGGACCTCAGGCCTGGCGGGCTGAATGTGGCCCTTCAAGTCTCTCTGTCTGATCCTTGGGACTCTCTCAAAGCCATACCCACCATTAGCCTTGCTTCCCACCCTCCTTGAGTGTTTTTGCCAGGCTGGAACGTGTCTTTTAACTCTTTACTTCCTTGGGTGGAGCAGAGATAAAGGGTGTGAGAGTGTGTGTAGAAACTAGCCTACTGTCCAAGGGTAAAACTTCCATTCATTGCCCCACCCATGTTTGCCTCTGGCCTTGCTCAGCAATGGCACGCGGCCCCCAGAAGGTAATGTGGCCCTTGGGCTGAAAAGGGGTTTCCAATCCCTGGCACAGAGAATGTAGATCCATATACACATTATGCAACATATAAACATAGGCTTGTTGGTTAGGAAATCAAAATCATTAGGCATTGTTAGAATGAATAAATGGTATTCTAAAACTGATTTATAAACCACACTTTATCTTAAAGTGGTACGAAAAGGCAAAAGGAACTACCGTATTTTTTGCTCTATAAGACTCACTTTTTCCCTCGTAAAAAGTAAGGGGAAATGTGTGTGCGTCTTATGGAGCGAATGTAGTGCAGTGATCCCTCTTGCTGTTCTGGCTTCTGAGATTCAGAATATTTTTTTTCTTGTTTTCCTCCTCCAAAAACTAGGTGCATCTTGTGGTCTTGTGCGTCTTATAGAGAGAAAAATACGGTATTTGCATAGCAACAGGATTTTCAAAGTGCATTTTCCCAGACTGTATTTGGAGCCTAAAATCACCCAAGCACATATTCTCTGAGGGAGTAGGGAGTTCAGGAAGCTAGGAAGTATTCCACAGGCTTCCTTCAGAAAGCTTCAACTCCATTTAGATCTGAAATCAGAATCTCCTAATGTGAAATTGTTGGCATGGGCAAAAGGGCAACCACCTGCTTGATGATATGGGCCGTTCAGTGTTCCAGAGGCAGGCTTGTGAAAAGCCAATCAAGGCGTGAATAATATCATGCAATCTGAGCCAGGCAACTGCATCTTCTTCAAGTAACAAGGTAGATTATCATTTAAATGAGAGAGAGGTGGGGACAGGCAGGCAGGCAGGCAATTAATACCCACTTCCTGGGAAGGCCTCCTCAGGAGAAAAGAGATGTCATGCCTGCAGCTGCAGATGACAGCCATAAAATAAACAGATGGGTTACTTTGCTGATTCTCCCCATGATGGAGTTTAGGGCTTTCTAGAATAGAAGACAGAACGTAAAACCGGTGAAACGTTAGAAATCATGGTGAATATAGGTCACATTAATCACAGTGTGTTTAATACTTAATTGATCCTGCTTCCTGATCTGCTAAAACATAAGTAATAAAATAAAATTTAGGTTGGAATGCCCCATGCAATGTATTGTTAAATAATGTATACAGCTTTCTGTGTCTGTTAGCTATCAGGGTTGTCAAACTTTTTGTTTGCCTGGGTATCTTGCTGTAAATATCTGGATTGTGAAACATTGCAGTTAGAGCAAGGAGGCTACTTTTATTTTAGTTGCAGTATTTATGTGATGTGTGTGAATGCAATGATGTAAGAACATAAGAGCCCTGCCAGTTCAGGCCAATGGCCCATCTAGTCCAGCATCCTGTTTTTACAGTGGCCACCCAGATGCCTGTGGGAAGGTAAACACAAGACCTAAATGCAGCAACACTCTCCCCTCCTATGGTTTCAAGTAACTAGTATTCAGAAGCATACAATGAAAGCATACCCTGGTCACTGTGGCTAGTAGCTTTATGTTCCATCAATTTATCTAATCCTCTTTTTATTTCCATCTAAGTTGATGACCATCTACATCCCAATACTGCTTCCCATGGGTGTTTATTCCATAATTTAACCATGTGCTTCTAGATTCAGGTACGTAGCCGTGTTGGTCAGATGCAGTTAAAATAATTTTTTTTAAAAAAATGTCCAGTAGCACCTTAGAGACCAACTAAATTTGTTCTGGGTACAGTGGTACCTCAGGTTAAGAACTTAGTTCATTCTGGAGGTCTGTTCTTAACCTGAAACTGTTCTTAACCTGAGGTACCACTTTAGCTAATGGGGCCTCCTGCTGCCACCATGCCACCACCGTGCAATTCCTGTTCTCATCCTGAAGCAAAGTTCTTAACCAGAGGTACTATTTCTGGGTTAGCAGAGTCTGTAACCTGAAGCGTCTGTAACCCGAGGTACCACGGTATAAGCTTTTGTGTGCATGCACACTTCTTCGTATACCTTAGAGACCAACTAAGTTTGTTCTGGGTATAAGCTTTCGTGTGTATGCACACTTCTTCAGATAACTATGTGTTGTGTAGCATATATTTGCATTTTGCTTTTCTACACCCAAGAGCACAAGATTGTGTATGTTTTCCTCCCCTCCCCATTTTACATTTGCAACGGCCCTCCATATTAGGCTAGGTTACATTAATCTATCTGCCTAAGCAGCAGTTCTTGTCAATAGATTGGGGGTTGGGATGCAGGGACCGTAATCCCTATACTACTGTATACTACTGTATACTGTTTACAGGAAATTCTGTTGACATCTCTGATGACATGATAGAGTAAGAACTTGCATGTTTTTACCAAAATCTGTTCCGAATAGCGTGCCTCCAAGAATGGCTGCCCAGGTCCTAATGCTATTCACCCCTGCATTAGGTTTAGAAGATACATTGGCAAGAGTAATTCCCAAAGCACTTTAGAGGCTGAATAGTTAAAGCTGAAATATACTGGGAGTGATATCACTGTGATTTTGCATGGTACTGCAGGTGGGAGAGATAACAGTTCAGTGCACACTTGCTGTTGTAGGTTTGGAGTTGATAAGGTCCAGAACTGTTTTCCCAGAATCCTTCATAATGACTGCAAGTTAAACTGTGCTAATGCTTAGCATTCAGTTAACACCTGTCGCCTAACAATTTATAGCATTGTTATATTATTAATTTGTACTGCAGAGATGCTACAGAAATAGAAATGCCAGAACAGAAACACGGGTGTCAGCTGCAATGGCTCATTGCTTGGGGAAAGAAGGGGGGGGGGGAGAGTAGCGAGTGACAATCAAATGCAAAAAACCATCTGGAAGTTGTTGCTCTCCTCAGAGCTGAAAAGGGTGGTGTTAGTTTGGAGCCCTGATTGCAGTTACAGAGTCTGTAGCTATGGTTTCCCCACATGATGGGTCTCAGGCACTTAACAAAGTAATGTTAATGTATTTAATCCCTGGCTTTTTATTTCTAGCCTGGGTATGTAATATCCTTCAGGGTCTGGGAAAGTGACACACTCCAGTTCACTGGTGTCTGCAGGAATATTTTAGGTGGAGGGGGGTGTATACATGCATACAGAACTAACATCAAAGAACATGTCTACCATTTCTGATAGATCTGGTGACAAATAGTCATTGAAGCTGGATAGGCCTGGCCTCTAAGAAACTTATGCACCATGTCTACGGCCATCTCTCTCTCTAAATGGCTAGATCTTCTGTCTATGTCTGGCATCTAGATAACACCCTTCCACCCACAACTGAAACTTTTCCCTCTAGCTCCCTTCACCCCTGTACCTTTAATTAATTTCTCAGCTGCTACAACCAATTTCACAGTCCATCCTGCATTTCCCTTTAACAACAGCAGCAACAAACCAGAATAACAACAGCGGGGTTGTCATACAACACTCTTAACTTCGCCGTCCCTCCAGTAAAGTGGGTAAAGCAACACTGGGTGCAGGACTGATACAAACCATATCCTCTCAACCTCCCCACACCCAGCAATACAGTGGTACCTCAGGTTAAGAACTTAATTTGTTCTGGAGGTCTGTTCTTAACCTGAAACTGTTTTTAACCTGAGGTACCACTTTAGCTAATGGGGCCTCCTGCAACTGCTGCGCCGGCGGAGCACGATTTCTGTTCTCATCCTGAAGCAAAGTTCTTAACCCGAGGTACTATTTCTGGGTTAGCAGAGTCTAACCTGAAGCGTCTGTAACCTGAAGCATCTGTAACCCGAGGTACCACTGTATGGGTATAATAATGATGGATTCCTCTGCATCGGGAAGGTTTTCTCTTTCGTTCTTACAAGTTTCAGGGAGGGGGAGAATCACGTCTTAAATATGCATTTTATGCTGTGAACTGCTCTGACATCTTTGGATGAAGGGTGGTATCAGGCGCGCCACTTTGGCCCCACGACAGTGAGTGCCTGGGGCATGCTGATATCATCACAGTGTGCCTATGTAGTGTTGGCACACCCTGCAGCAAGAGCACAAGACATCAGCATGACCCGCAGCATGCTGACATCACTCACACACGTAACGGGGGCGTGCCAATGTCACATGCACAGGCCCTGTGGTATGCTCACTCCGTGGAGTGGAACCTTGAGGGGGGAGGCCTTCATTAAAAAATTGTAGGTACCTGGGCACCCAGTGTTCCACATAAGTCAGTGCTTATGGGTGGTATACAAATTTAAAGCAAACAAACAAGCTGGAGTTAGAAAATTCATAAATGCAGTTACGTTATCATCCTGGATTTCTGAGCTTCATTCTGTGGGGCAGCAATGACATTTTCACCAGGGAAGACACACACAGACACACCTTAAAATGAACCAAGGAGTATGTCACATTCTCTTTCTCTAATTGGCTAGATCTACTTTGCATTATAATGGGACTGGCCCTGTTCTTATCACTTGGAAAGCGGGGAGCAGGTCAGAATATAGAAACCAAAGAACTGAGAGCGAGAAAGAAATGAAGAAAAAAGGCTTGCATCTGTGGTGGGAGAGTGGGGGCTGTCCTTACGTATCACTGGGATAAGCCATATGGAAAGTCCTGGGAACAGAGAAGTTACATGGCAAAGGAAATCATATACAAAAGGCAAGGTAAACAAAACATGTTGGAGAAAATGGATCAAGAGATAAAAGAACCTACTGGAGAGGCTAAACTGTGCCAGGGAAGGTCATTATAGTTGTCTACAGACCCGAGGTGTGCCTAAAACTCCTGCATTAGATGAAAACCTCTGAAATTAAATGTGTGCTGTGGGCAAGTTCTTTAGCTCTGCTGTTGAAGTTGAGTCCCCCTGGGGGAAATACTGTGCAATTGCTAAAAAGAGTTAGTTAACGATGACCTAAGAGTAGTTGGAGGGAATGTTTTCAATTGCTGAAAAATTGTGGCTTCATCAGTAACTGAAACTTATGGTTAAGTGTTTTTAGGAGGTGTTGTTGTCTTTTAACAGCACATGGATAAATAAATATATCTCAGATAACATTATGTTCTGCAGCTTGTGCTGTTCTGTAGTTAGGATTTGCTTTTTAAACTATGTTAGTAAAGCTAGCTTATACAACAGAAAGCTTCCTGCTTGTGCCATATCTACATGCCTTGCCTCTATCCAGAAATAAGGGCCTGGTTAGACTGAAGCTGTGTACACACTGTCATTTCTTGGGAAATGCTGCTATTTGATTCATTTCCTCCAAACCAGCTTCAATCTGAATTAAGAAAAAGAACGACTAGCATTTTAAACTGATAAATGCATACACAAGCTGAATTGCTGAAAGTCTTCCCTGAAAAAGCTCAATATGGAGGCCAAGTGGCCGAAATATTGGGAAATTTTGGAGCAGGAAGGAGACAAATTGAAACTGCAGAGTTTTGAGAAACTAAAAGATAAAGTGCGAGACTGGCTTCACTATTATCAAATAAGAGAGGCTTATAATTTAGACAAAAAAATTGGCTTCCAGGTGGAAAAATCAAAGTTGGAAACAGAACTGTTAGATCCTAAAACAAAGATACTTTCAAGAATGTATGACTTGCTGTTAAAATGGAACACTCAGGACGAGACGGTTAAATCTGCTATGATTAAATGGGCACAGGACGTTGGACATAACATCATGTTTGCTGACTGGGAACAGTTGTGCACCACAGGTATAAAATTTACGGCATGTAATGCCCTAAAAGAGAATATTATGAAAATGATTTATAGGTGGTACATGACACCAGTCAAGCTTGCAAAAATCTATCATTTGCCCAATAATAAATGTTGGAAATGTAAAGAAACTGAAGGTACATTCTTTCACCTTTGGTGGACGTGCCCAAAGATCAAGGCGTTCTGGGAGATGATCTATAATGAAATGAAAAAGGTATTTAAATTTACCTTCCTGAAGAAACCAGAGGCCTTCCTCTTGGGTATAGTCGGCCAATTGGTGCCAAAGAAGGATAGAACTTTTTTTATGTATGCTACAACAGCAGCAAGAATACTTATTGCAAAGTATTGGAAGACACAAGATTTACCCACTCTGGAAGAATGGCAGATGAAGGTGATGGACTATATGGAATTGGCGGAAATGACTGGCAGAATCCGAGACCAGGGAGAAGAGTCGGTGGAAGAAGATTGGAAGAAGTTTAAAGACTATTTGCAGAAATACTGTAAAATTAATGAATGTTAAAATGATGTTGGACTGAAAATAAGTGGTTTTGGTAATAAGGTTAATAAGAATATGTAAATATTGATAGTTATATGGATGAAAATATATAGTTATAATAGGTTAAGATACAGAGTAAAGATAAATGAAAGAGGGTAAGGATTTGCTGAAAGGATTTTGTAAACGGGAATACAAAAAGGGGAGGTGTGAGGAGGTCAAGGAAATAAGTAAATGAGCCTAAAGACATTGAAAAATGGACTTTTTCTTCTTTAAAATATTTTTTCTTTTTTTTCTCTATTTTTTTAGCTATTTTTTTTGTATTTTGTATCATCCTTTTTTTCCTTTTTTTCCTCCTTTTAGGTCTCTTTTTTGGTATTTTTCTTGTTAGCTTTTGTTTTTTTTTCTCTCTATGTGTAATTTCTGGTTTAATTTTTTTTTTAATTCTTTAAATCTATGTTTATCGTAAAATTTCAATAAATATTTTATTTAAAAAAAATGAATTGCTGAAAGTCTTGCTTTCTTTAGTACAGTACATTGTAACCCTATTGTGCAAATAAAACATGCATAATAAAAAAAATGAAATGAAACAGAAACAGCCTGTAAATGCATGCTTCCCTCTGTCTAGAACATCTCAGGGAGCATGCTAAATTGAGGGCCTGGAGCTTTAAAGCTGTATGTAGTTGCTGGGTTGCTGTATGTAGTTCAGGTGTGGAAAACCTGTGGCCACACTGTTTGTGTACTAGCCCTCGGAAGAGAACAGACATTGGGTCTACCCCAGCCAAATGCAAAACCTTGCAATACCTGGATCTAATGCACTATTACAACTAACTACTCATTAAGAGCAAATAACACTTCCATCCAGGTGAACAGCTTGTTAGCCTGGGCTGCTCAAGCCACCTTCTGGTATATAGATACAAGTAAAATCTAGGCTGACTCTCTACTTTTCCCCCCTGATGATCTGCAAGGTTGATTGGAGATGTCTTACCTTGTGTGGTCTCCAGGTTGCCTTGCTTTAGCTCACCCATCATGGTGTTTGCTGTTTTCCTTGCCCTTGCTTTGTCCAAAGGGACATCTCCTCTGGGGGGCCCAGTGGGGCTGGTATAACTCCGCCCAATCTGCAGCATCCCTTGTCCTTGCTCAAATGACCTGGTTGAAGCTTTGCTCCTGTGCCTCATTTATTGGGCCCGAGGCCTCCTGTGCAGCCAGCTCCTCCCCGAAGGAGATGCTTATTTGGTGTAAACACTAGTAAAATGTTTCCCCACCTACTCACTCATTCATGCCTGCCATATGCCTCTCTGACAAGCAGGATGTAAATAGGCAAGATACTGATCAAAATATCATCAGGACCATTAAAAAGGCTCATTTATTTTTCCAAGGGTAAACTTTATTTCCCTGTGTGGTCCTTGCAATATCACAAGAAAACGAGTCCCATGTGTACCAGAAAAACAAACATACCAATATACAGAGGAGAGGGGAGGGGAAGTAGGGGTGTCTCTCGATTTGTGTCCTTGTTTAAACGTCCTTGAAAGGATGGAACATAAACAACAAAACTGGCTCTCCAACTGCTTCCTGCTGGTTCCTTTGTTTCTACTTGAAGACAGAAATAGAATCATGTGAACAGTGAATGCCAAGTGTTTTAACTGACGAAGCTGTGAGGTTCAGAGTGTATAAAAACAAAGGGGGAAACTGTTATAAATGTACCACAGAGCTACATTGGAGAGGCCTTTTGTTTACACAGGCTGCATACACACTACACCTTTAAAGCACATTCAAAGCTCATGCCTTCCCTCAAAGAATTCTGGGCACTGTAATTTGTTAAGGGTTGCTGGGAATTGTAACTTTGTGAGAGGTAAACTACAGTGCCCAGAATTCTCCAAGGCAAAGAATGTAATTTCAATGTTCTTTAAAGGTACATGTATAAACAGTTTTAATTTTGAGTGGAATATAATAAGCACAGGGCTGTTGTTTGAGTTTTGTCTAACCTAGGAAAGCAGGACAAGTTCTGAAGTGACTGCTATACCTGCACTGAGAAAGAACTCTAATCATAGAGATACCACAGTCTCTGCTATCCCTCATTCTGAGGAAACCAAACCCTGGGTACTTGCATGGAACCCCTGGAATCTGGATTAGGGTGGTATGCAACAGTATTCCATCCCTCTTAATCACAGCACAACCTTCTCCCTGCAAACATTTTCAAACCATTCATTTCTAGCCCTAGAGCTGACCAGAAAAACAGAGCCAGGTATATGTCTGTGCCTTTAACAGAATGTTAATTGGCTGAGCATTTCACAGCCTGTAGAGATAAACATTATCATCTTCTAATTTTTATAGATCAAGCTCATGATAAGAGAACAGGAATGAGACTAGTTAAATAAAAGTGGCACCTGTTGCTACCTAATGGCCCCAAACAATGAAACTAATTTCTGCCCCACACGTTCTTGCTGCTGCAGCTACACTCTTGAGTTTGTATCATGTGCATCCTGATCTGTTGCATGTTTACTCAGAAGTAAGTGCCACTGACCAAGCCTACGTTGAGAAGAGTGCCAAAATGCATTCTTCCACGCATATTCTTGACATGCAGCAATCTGGAAGATTGCCTTCTTCTAGATGAATCGAAGCAAGCCAAATGGAGGTGGATGAAAAGAACTAATTAAAGAATTGTGAGCAAGGGATCACTCTTTCTTAAAATTTAATGGGGAAGAAATGAAATATGCAGAGGCCCTACTCCTTCCCAATGAGGAATGCAGCTGAACATGATGAATATTTCATGATTACTTCATGTCAAATGTGCAAAGACAGGAATTGAGCCCAGCATCCTCTTCAATCCACTTTGCTAAAGGGTTCAGAAAAGTGAAGCGGAAACAGAAAACTGCTGCATGGTGTGTTAAGACCAATTCTACTACAAGGGAGAGAGAGAGAGAGAGAGAGAGAGAGAAGACACTACTGCCACTAGCAGAGTAATCAGTTGATCAGTGTTTCATGATGTACGTGTCCTGACAGTGGCATGGAGAATCCAGTGGGCTTGGTTGTAGGTAGGATACAGTTCAATGCACATTTATGGAAAGTAACGAAGCAAGCCTAACAGGGACATATGCAGCTTGGCCAGGGTGGAAGCCAGGAGGGGGCATAGTTGGGTATGTTGTTTCCACAATTGCCCCTGCTCTTTCAGGACCCCACAATGATTATGGCCAACAGCAATAATAGTGTGTGCTCTACCATGCTTCCTATGGGTCCAGTGTAGGCTTCTGCAGCAGCAAAGCCCCCTCCCCACAAAGTCCAGTGCACACTGGGTTAAGGATCTGCTTATCTTATTGAATTCAGTGAGACTTAACTTCTGGGTAAAATAAGGTTGGGTAGCTAGCTTGGGACAAGAGCCTTGAATGATACCATTATACTGTGCTGTAGTGTTTAGAGTGTTGGACTCTAGGACCAAGGAGATCTAGGTTCAAATTCCTAGTCATCCATCAGGCCTTGAAGGTTGGCCCACCAAACTGTTTTAGGCAAATGACACGCAGCTTTCCTGACCTGATATCACATATTAAATCAGGCACATGAAAGTTGAAGCCACTGCTCAAATTTTCAAGCCAAAGCTAAAAGGAAGAACCAGTGCTTCCTGTTGTTGCATTGTTGTGTTAGTCTTTTTGAATATGGTCCCTTTTTCTGTGGGCTTGCACAGCTTAAAGTAATGGAGGGATAAAAATAGAATGAATAAATCATGCTCAGCATGGATTCATTGAGTTGGTTTGCACAGAATACTAAACCATGGTTTTAATGGTAACCATAGTTAAAGCTGAGGCATCAGTCACTTAAACATTGTTTATTACATCATAGAGCAATTAAAAGCACCAATGATGACAGCTGAGCCTTGGGAGGGTTTGAAAAAAAATTTCACCACCCTTTAGTCACAGTTCTGTAGCTTTTGGGTAGTGGTGGCTCAGTAGGAAATGTATACTTTTTATGCCTTCTATAATTTCCTTTTTAAAGAGGTGGTTACATGTAACGCTAAACTATGATTAACATTAATGAAGGTTTATGAACCAACTACAAACATTGTTTAATGGGCAACCTTTAAACATAGTTACTCTGCTGGGCTGGATTTACACAGAGCACTAAGCCATGGCTTAATAAACCATAGATTAATGGACCATGGTTTACATCACTATGTGCAAACCATTGTGTGACCTTGGGTGTGTCATAATCTCTCAGGTTCAGCTTTCAATGTAAAAACTGATGAGTAAAATAAATACTGTCATTTAACTTATGAAAAGGGCACCAAAGATTTTTCTTCTTGTGGTTGATATGTCTATTGTTACTGTCAAGTGAGCAAACACTCATTCTGGATTAATCATGCCTCTCCTGTCCTGTGAAGCTTAATCAGCATCCTGCCCTTTGTTTACCAAAACAAATCATCCTGCATTCTGTAAATTATGATGGACACGCAAAGGAAAAGCTTCACTGTTTCTGTGATTCCAGGGTGTGAGTGTGAGGAAAAATCGTTTATTGAAGAATTAATGAGGAAGAGCAGGGAAGTCCAAAAATAGACTGACCAGAAAGAGCTCCTTGCCAAAGCCAGTAAACAGTATTCTCCTATGCTAAGAAGACAAGAGAATTTTCAAATCAAGTCTCCCATTATGAAATGGGTCTCCAGATAAATATTACATCCCATTATTTTAGTCCTTAGAACTATTTTGCCTTCCGCTTGCTATTTCCTAAGTGCTGCTTACTGATTTTATGCTGTTGGGTGGTTTCATGCTGCTTTTTATTAACTTTGAGCTGGCAGTGCTTTTCTGCATGGATTGTTCTTAGTCCTGTACTTGCATTTTATTGATTTTCAATTGTGAACCGTCCAGAGCACACAGCCGATTTTGTGGTGCAGAAATGCCTAAATAAAACAAAATAAAGGTTGTTTATGAATACATGGAAGAATAGGAACAGACCAGTCATGAATTCAGTTCAGAGGGAGGATCAGGTAAGGGAAGTGGATTAAGATTGCTGGGCTTCAATTGTCAAACTGGGAGATGCTCGTTCAAACGATCTGTTGTCAGCCATCAGGTCAATAGGCCTAGCCTCCTTCTTGAAAGAGGTGCTGTGCAGTGCTATTTACATCTAGGAGGCAGCTCATAGAAGGCTTGTTGGATAATATCAACCACCTTTTGTCATCTAGCTCAACACATAGCTGTCAACCGTCCCTTATTTGGCGGGAAAGTCCCTTATCCGAGCGCCGTGTCCCGCTGCTGTCCCATATTGATGATGTCCCTTAAATTTCCCGCGTTTCAAAGGAAGCAGCTCCTCTCCCTCCCTCCCTGCTGGCCAGGGAGGAGGGAGGCTCCAACTGTGTTGCTTGGCTGCGTTGCTCACCCAATAAGGAGTCTAAGAACAACTGGGGGGTGGAGCTTGCGTGCCTTGTGCCAATCAAATCAGCCGCGTTGCCTGGGGACTCGCCTTTGCTCAGTGCTTCCCAGCGGAGAGGTGACTGTGGTTTTCCTTGCTGTATCCCCTTTACTGGGTTGCTGCGCTGTGGGAACCACTGCTTGACGCTTTGTTTGGCTGCTGACTGGGCTTCCTGCCTTTGGCTCGGAGGGGCTCAGAAGTTGAACATACCTGTGCTCTGAAAATCCCTTAATTTCGAGGCTGCTGGTCCCTTATTTTCAAATCTGTAAGTTGACAGCTATGGCTCAGCATTGTCTACACTAGTGATGGGTAACCAGTTACACCCCCCTGATTCATTTCAAGTGGCCCAGCAGATGCTGTGGCCCCACTCTTGATCTCTGGACCACACTGAGCAAGAGGGAGAAAGAAGTAAAAGAGTTACAAGCTTGCCGGCTCTGCCCTCTTTGGGTTTTGGTTGCACCTACCATTAGCTGGGACGCGGGTGGCGCTGTGGGTAAAACCTCAGCGCCTAGGACTTGCCGATCGTCAGGTCGGCGGTTTGAATCCCCGCGGCGGGGTGCACTCCCGTTGCTCGGTCCCAGCACCTGCCAACCTAGCAGTTCGAAAGCACCCCCGGGTGCAAGTAGATAAATAGGGACCGCTTACTAGCGGGAAGGTAAACGGCGTTTCCGTGTGCTGCGCTGGCTCGCCAGATGCAGCTTGTCACGCTGGCCACGTGACCCGGAAGTGTCTTTGGACAGCGCTGGCCCCCGGCCTCTTAAGCGAGATGGGCGCGCAACCCCAGAGTCGGACACGACTGGCCCGTACGGGCAGGGGTACCTTTACCTTTACCTTACCATTAGCTGCAAGCCTCCCCGCCCTATAGACTTGTCCTGTGGGTAAATGGGTGCGGAAAGATCTTCACTATGACTGGCAGACGCTCTCCATAGCTTCAGAAAGAAGTCTTTCCCAACCCTACCGGGAAATATCAGGATTTGAACCTGGGGTCTTTGGCATGTAAAGTAGGTGCTCTATCTCTGAGCTACAGCCTTCCCTCTCAATACAAGTAGCAGCTTCAGATGAGTAAGTTTTGTTGAGACCATGACGGGGAGGGAGAGTTAAGGTCCCTTTCCGTTTCTCAGGCCATGATCCTGATCAGAGGTCCTCTTGGCAGCTTCTCCCCCCCCCCCCCACCCAGTGCAACAACTCATTTACTGTAACATGGAGTGTGGCTGCAAGTGTAAAATACTTAGTACTGTACACCCTAAAGCAGTTGCTTTCACTTGTTTACCTATTTCTAAAGCATCAGCAAAATAACATAGATTTACCTTACTACAGGAAATGAGCAATGGGATGGGAATGTTGCAAGGCAACAGATGCCAAAAAATGTGAACTGAGGATATAGTTCACTTCTGTAAACATTGCTGCTGTTAAACTCTTAACTGGTTGCTTTCAAGCACCAGAGAGATGCCAAAATGCCCTGTTAATGATTATTAACTTCTTGATTGTCATGAATGTACTTAAGCAGACTGCCACATGATACGATCAAGCTGAAACAGGAGGCTTACTGAAGATAAGGTGTGAGAGTTTCACATACAAAGGGTATTTGACACCCATGATTTAATAGGTATCCATTTATACTTGTTTAACCCTTTTCTGTGCTCAGTGACTGGCATAATGCACCACTTCCATCCACCATGAGGACTACACACTCTACTCTGAACACACACAACAGGAACCTTTTTCAGTGTACATCCCCCTCCATGGCCTACTGTCCCCCCTTTTCACAGGGAGCTAAGATCTTTGCATGGGACATTTCTGCCATGGATGGCTGTAAATGTTAAGTTTACATGTGTTGAAAACTCTTATTGCAGAATTATTAAGGAACGCCAATATTATTCATTATTTAACCCAGCCTTCATCAAAGGAGCTCAGGATGGCATACATGGTTCTCCCCTTTTTACCCTCACAACAACCTGGTAATCCAGGAGTGTCCCATACAGGGCAACATGAAAAGGTACTGAATTGAAAAAGAAGCAGATTTTTTTATTCACAGGAAGAATTGGGAGCAGATTGTGTGCTCTTGATTCTTCATTACAGCTGTTGCTTGAAGTTTCCGACAGCTAGGGACATAAATGACATCAGGCACAGGAAAAGGTTGCTGTGGCCTAACGAAACCTCTGTTGTAATGTAAGGTAGGTTGGGATATAATCCACCCTGTAAATTTTCTGGTTGTGTGGGGATCTGAATCCAAGTCTCCCCAGTCTAAGTCCATAGCAGTGACTCTGAAGCTTCAAATGATCAGAGTAGGATATGCTGTTTGCAACTAATGAATTGTGCAATCCTCTCCTGTATCTCTAACCTGTGCATGTTTTCATAGATGCCAGTCCTAGAGTTCAATGGGATTTAATCCCAAGTAAGTATACATAGGATTTCAGCCTTCAGTGATATCTGGATGTTAACCACTGTTAATGTACAACATACTGGCTGTGTTTGAAGCAATAAATCTGTTTATTCTTTTGATGCATGAGCATCAAATAATCCTTGTAAGCATTTCTTCTGCCTAGTATTATCACTTTAAAAAACAACAACAGTGCCTTTGATAACAGCTTGATGTACATAAATTGAGCAGCAGATAAAGTAATGTTAGGCTATTGTCAACAGGAGGGGAACTGGGAGGGGGGTGGAAGTGGCACTCCTACTGCCTTTCTGAAATCACCAACTCTCCTCCTTTCTTCTACAAAGCATTTGGGGACTCATCAAAGTTTAACTATGGTGCCATATGGTACGTGTTAAGGACCTTGTTGCATACTCCCTATTCCTGACCCACATTTAGTGAACTGTGCCCACTCCCTTAGTCTTTGTCCTGTCCCTTTATCAACTCTATTTTTGTGTGCACTGCACCAGCCACACCACCTAACAGAAAACAAACAATGTCAATATATTTTTATTAATTGGCACAATAATGTTATCTTTCTGCAGGGCTGGTTAGTAGCAATAGTAAATTATCAAAAAAGCATTTATTTGTGTTTAGTTTTCCATTACACACACAATCTTTTTATTAATGAACATAAATTGTCTTCTCTGCAGCAGTTTGCAGCTCACAATTATTACAGTAGCATAAGTCAAATCATATTTATGATTTGGGATACACTTTACATAGTTCATTGCTTTCTTCTGGCAGGGATGCTTCCTGTGCCATCACTTAAGTTTATCTCCATGTCAAGAAAAGCTTCAGCTTCACCAGCTAAATTTCTGCATGCCATGCTGCTATTGAAAGCACAGGACAAGGGCCAAGTCACACTATGTATTAGCCTCCGTTATGGTGGCTGTGAGCCCTAGATTAGCAGATCTTAGCACATGTAATTTTAAAAAACAGTAATAACAATTATTACAAAACAGCAATAACAATCAGGAAAGCAACATAATGCCTCAGGACCAGGGGACAGTAGAGTCATTTGTAAAGGAGTGTTAGACCTGTCAAGAAGAAATGGAGTAACAAAATTAAAAATAAGAGTATGGCAACAGTTTTAACTGATCACTCCCTTGCGTGTTTGTGATTCAAATACTGATGATGCAAGCTTTGCAGTCTCTTCAGAGGTTGCAGCCTAGGTTGCCAGAAGAAAAGAGAGATTGTGAAGCAAGATTGGTGTGTGTCCTGCAGAGAACTGTAGACTGAGTGGTTCTGAACTAAGAATAATCTACAGCAGAGGTAGAGCAGCTGCAATGATGATGTTGGAAGCTAACTCTTATCAGTTCCAGGCCACATGGCCAATGGTCCAGCAGCATCTGCAAGACGCGGGCTCCCTGCCCCTGATCTGCAGTATTCTATGGAGCTGTGATAACATAAAAAGGAACAACCCTTTTTAACTTAAGGGATGTTATATAATAGCAAGATGAGCCACGTTCCTGCAAGATTTGGTTGCAGTGATCGCTCTTGCATAGTCAGTGCTATCCCAAATAAGCCAGCAGGATTGATATAAATAACAGTAATACCCTTAGGGTTTATCTGCACTTTCCAGGCATGGTCCTCGCTTTAAAGCTCCATCTGAGCATCTTTATTTTCCCTTTTCTTTTTTGCTTTGGACCTTTCCCCGTGAAAACCCACTATTTGGCACTCAATCGGCGCAAACAACAATCCACAGAAAACCCGCATCTGTGTTTGCGCCAATTGACCGCTAAACAGCGGGTTTTAGTGGGGCAAAAAGCAACAAAAAACAAACACCACAACCACCTAACCACACACTTGGGACACTGAGTTTTATGGCTCAGACCCGTGCCTGGAAAGAGCAGGGCAAATAAGTTTGGATAAGCCCTTAGTTATTTCAGTCAGTGCCGCGAGAGCCTAACCCGGTGGCGCCAGACTGCTCGAGGACACAAAACAGGTACAGTGAATTATGCGCTGTTGTTACCAATGCAACCAATGTGCAAGTTTTCCGCGTCGCACAGAATTCCTCACCAGGCTATGCCCACGGACAAGTCGCATGTAGGCATTCCAGCCCGTATTAACGCCCTATACTGTATGTCTAGGAGCAACTTCACGTCTCTGAGCACTAGAAAGCGGGAGAAGCCCTGCTGCATCCCAGAAGCTGCAGCGTGGACCCCTTAAGCTGAGCGCGAGTTGACTGGCAGGTTCGCGCACGCGCGGTTTCCGTTTTCCCTGCCCCTCCCGCCCTCTACCTCTTTCTCTATACCCGGCGCCCCTTTCTCTTTCGCTTTCAGTGACGCCCCGCCTTTCGGCCCCTCCGTCGAATGCGCCCGAGGGTCCGCGCTTTCCTCCGTCTCGTTGGTCGCCTGAGCCTTCGCGGACGCCGTTGTCAGCTGACCTGACTAGGAACGGCTGCAGGCACGGAACTCGGAATACAGGCTTTTTGGGTGGCTGGGCGCCGCCATGGCTCCGGACCCCTGGTAAATGTGTGTGTGGGGGGGGGGGGCAGACCTCTTGGTTGAAGCCGTGGAGCGTTTCCCTTCGGGGCTGCTGCCTTTGACCCAAGGGGTGGAGTGGGGGGGGGCCTCACTCTGGGCCTGATATCGGCCAGAGAAGGGCAGGCGCGTCCTGCCCCTTCCACTTAATGCTAACCGGGCGTGGGCAGCCTGAAGGCATAGTGCTGCTTACCGCCTCTCACTTTCCGCCTTGTTAAGGCAGGGATGGGGAGAGTTTTGACCCTCCAGGTGCTTGTGGTAGCATCTCCGTCCCCGCCCCCCGCACATAGTTCCTGTCCCCTCAGCCAGCATGGCCAATGGTTAGGGACAGTGGGAGTGGCAACCCAGAAACGCAGCACCCCCGTTCCCCCTGCAATATAGTATGAGGTTTGGTTTCTCCTCCTCCGTCCTCACCATTCTTCCCTTCAATCTCCTTCCTCTGGAATCAGTTGTGGGGCTAGTGCTGTAGAGATGGGAGAATTTTCACAGGTGCAGCTTCTTCCGCCTTGGTGCTGTAGCAATAGAAGACCAAAAAGCCAGCACCTAGCGTGGATACAAAGGAAGGCTTGTACTTTGATAGTAGCATAGCAGAGAGAATTTTCACATGTGTAGCTTTTCCTTGTTTTATTATTATTTTATTTATGATTTTCAGTTTTATACATTTCAGTAATTTTACAATCATTTCAACGTTTCAAAAACTCAACTTCCTTCCACATTAACTTAATTTACTCATTTATTCATCTACTTTAAATATATACTCTTATAAAACTGCAGGTTATTACAATAATCCTGTCAAAGTTCTTATATGTTTACAGTTTATATGTAAATATTCAATAAACCATTTCCAGTCTTTTATAAAAATTTGTTATCTTGATTTCATAGTTTTCCAGTAAATTTCACCATTTAGTCATATTCCATAAGTTTTTGTATCCATTATTCTTTTGCTGGGACGACTTCTTTCCATTTCCCCCCAGCTTTTCCTTGTTTGATTCCTCCTTTGATATGGCAAGTGCTTAGGTGTAATATAGTTGTACTACTTTGCAACAGAGGGAGACAAGTTTCTCCTCCGTTAAGCACTCACACTTTGTAGTAGACTCAATCTGTTTTGGGGGCGGGGATTCCCTAACCTGTTTGCCTATTATGAGATATTTAGATAGACTGAATTAAAAAGCTAAATAAATTATATGTTCCTTGTGCTGGATAAAACACTTCTGGTTAAGACTTTTGCATTGTGCTTGGGATACAAGGCAATGCTCCCCAAGTTTGACAAGGGATTGGAATTCTAGTCAAGATAGCTTGCTTTACTTGAACAGGGATTATTTCCAGGGCAATAACAATAGCAATAAATACCTCAAGTGATATGCTTTATTTTTTCTTTAGGTTGACTGACTGTATGTTTGCTTCAACCACATATAATTACTGTGAGAGGGGGAAGTTGACCACAGTGTTTGCATGTGAATTCAGTGTAGCACTAAGGAGATTGCTCAGTCATCACAAGCCTCTCCGCTTGTCTAATGGAACAATCTTCTTCCCTAGTACATTGTGCACAGTGTTCAAAACTCCCATTGTTCTAGGTGCAGTACTGTGCCTAAGATTTCAGATTAAAACTCTGCAGAGTGGAAGGAAAGGAGGAGCTTTTTCTGCCTCCCCACTTCCAGCTACTCTCTGAAGACTGGAGAAGAGACCCTCTTAAGAATATTAGGGGGTGGGTAGGGGAAGGACTAGACCATGTGAAAAATGAACATAATATTTTAGCTGCAGTTCATTCATTTTCAGCTTTGTTTGTATTCTTATAAAAAAGTGTGCCTAGACATTACATCGTTTTGCCCATAATCTAGGTTTAAGGTGCCATTTAGCTCCTAGCTTTCATATCTGTTTCAAACACTGATTGTACATTGTTCCAGGGATTCTCTTGACCCATGAGCAGATTTGAGAGGTGGGGCCTTGTTGCCCCCTAGGCTCATTTGGAGGAAGGGTGGAATAGAAATAAAATAGCTTACCTTGGTGCTGTTTATGAATTGTGACCATGTGCTAAAAATCCTCAGTGGTGTTTTAGCATCCTGTGTCTTGTTACTTGCTAAAACTTGGTGGCAATTAATATATTGGCTCCTCTATAGGATGTTTGTTGGGTTAGCTTCTTTAGCTATGCTCTAAATTTGGAGGAATTATTTTATGTATAAGCTGTCCATATTTGTTTTATTTCTTGTTTCCATCTATAGACTGCTTTACTACCTAAAATACCTGAAAGCAGTCTACATACACAGTATGTTCCACAAACCACATCCAATGATTTGCACCACAAAATACATTTAAAAATCCATAAGCATAATATAAAATCAGAGCGAACTACTAGGCAGTATAATATAAAATTTCAAACAGCACAGCATATGTGCAATCATTCATTCAATCTCACTCACCATCAATTTCACACAACCGCTACAACCATTTGCTACACCAAACATTACCTCTATCAATTACTCATACTTTCAACCCACACACAAAAGGTCATTGCCAAGCATACACAATAAGATTACACTTCTAATACATGAAGCAGTATTGGACTTGTGTCCCACTCTCACTGAACGATCTAATAGTTATCTCCCGCCTCTCCCTGGAGTGATCCCAGGCTCTCATCCTGGAGGGTATAGAACTATTTCTGTCCATGCACTGCCAGTTATGGAATCATAACATGCATGGTACTGCATAACCTCAAAACCTGATACAGAAACAATCAACTTGACTTGAAATAGGCATCTTTACGGGTCGAGGGGCAGTGGTGAAAGATTGAATATTCTGATGAACAATAAAGGCAGGAATGTATGTATATTAGTTAAAATATATTAACTTGTTTTAGGTTGTCGATGTATGAATCCACTTGCCATACTGCCCAAGAGGTTGCTGAAAAAATTCAAGAACGCAATCGATGTCAGAGGAATGGTGAAAGTACAACTAAGGTACTGCATAATTCATGGACCACCTTCCAGCTTTGCTTTACCTTCTCTTACATCTTTTAAGATCAGCAGCCAGTGTCCTCTTGACTTAGCAAGCTGTGTGCACCTGAAATCTATTGAAAGGTAATCTTGGTAGCTGCCTTATAACACTGGAGCTTCTATCCTTAAAAGACTCATCAGATTCTTTGAGGCTGAGTGCTCTAACAGACCAAGCTTGTAGAGATTAGTAACTAGCTATTTTATTCTGTCCCCACTCCTCTGCATTGACCTGGATTTGTAAATTATAGTTACCTATTTTAAGTCCTAGTGACAGAGTGAGATAAAAATTGGAATAAATATTTTTGAAACAATAATATTTTGTTTGGTTTTGTAAGGGTAGGATACAGACTATGATATCAGTTGGAAAGAGGGTGCTCTTGATGTAAGATAACCACCTCTGACTCAGAACATGGACATGGCACTTTGAAACTGTATTGTTGTCAGGTAAAATGAGTGAGCTGGACATTTGCTGCAGTTCTTTTACCTCTTAGTCAAGTCATTGCTTTCAGTTGTCCCCTGAGAGAAGGCAACAGCACCAGAACAAACCCAGTGTTGGGACAAAGCAGAGGTTCTCATTTCCATAGTATTGTTAATCCTGAAATAGGGAAGCTAAGCCCTAGCTGTCAGGTAAAGGCCCAGCTCAGGTCAGAAAATATTCAATAAGCTGGACTGAAATGACTTGCTTCGTGTAAAATTGAAAATTCCTTTACACTTTCAGATGATAGGAGAATCCAGAAGGTATGATGAGCCCTAATAATTTAGGGCTACTTCACATGCAGCATTTGTTTCACAAAGCTGTGTTCACTTAGTAGATACCTGAAGTATGAAAGAAAGATGCACATCTTGAAATGTGTGTCTGTGACTAGAGCAGTGACCAAGTGCAGATGTGTCAGGGCCACCTATTGTTCCTTGCGCTCTCCCTGTACTGTAGGAACAGTGGTTCATGTTACAAAATACACTGCTCAGTAGACGAATGGTTCCCTGAAGAAAACTTTCCATGTTTGTACGTGAGTAGAATTGGAGACACTTGCTCAGTGAGCAGGTAGGAAGCCAGCATTTGAGTCCAGTGTAAACAGGCTTCCAACAATTGCAATATTTATTGCCATAACAACTGATGTTATGGGCTGATGTTGAAAAACATTAAGCAGCTCAGTCATGTTGTCTGTGGCCAGGGAATGTTTTAATGAAGAAAAATGTTCTTTTCCCATGTTTGCCAAGTAGGGGAAATGTCATCAGTGTCTTGTTTTTCTGGGATTTTGCCACTTTCATGCGCTTAGACGTTTTTTTAAAAATGTAGTGAGAAAATCAAGCATTTCTATTGTCATTCCGAATGAGAGACAAAAGAAAACTTAATCTTATTCCTAGTCCTTCCCCTCCTCATCTCTTTGCTTTGTTGGTAGTTAACGCTTAGTGTGAAAGATTGGAAACAGTCCTCAGTAAAATGTATACATTTTTTAAAAAAATGTGGAAAGCAAATGTAAGTCCACACTGGATGCAAATCTCTCAATAATGTTTCCCTTATGAATTACAGTAACATAAGAGCACAGTTGGGTGGTTGCACAAGTCCTATAGTTAAAACTGGTCTTGTTTTGCAGAAATGAGCTAGTGGATTGTGACTTCAAACTGAAAATTGTTTTCTTAACCTCTTCCAACCACTTTGCCCTGATGTAGCAAGTCTGTATTCCTAAGAAGTTAAGATTTATTTGGAAGTACTGTAAATCCCATTTTAAAAAATCAGTGGGTATTACGTCCAAGTAAACATACTTAGTGTAGGGGCATTAGTGAAATTTGCCACCCACCCCTTTTTTGCTTTTAAATCAAATGTGTACATGAGACAGGGCTAATGTTTCCATTGTTGTGCTACAATATAGTGGATGGTCGTGGGAGCTGCTAGTTCTCAAGGAATTGTCACCTGGGAAAGGTCCTGTGAGTGGATGGTATTGCTTCATTACCTTGGATTAAAGTGACATGAAATTCTGGGGAGTTCCTGGACTTTAACAGGGTTAGCTGTCAGCTTATGTCACCTTAGCAATACTTGCTGCTCTTTGACTTTCAGTAGATTGCCTCAAAAGTGCGCTTGAGATTCTGACCAGATTGAAGTCCCTGATGAATGCTTAGCACCACATTCCCCACAAATTACCAGTCCCCTGTGGATGGATGTAGTGTAGCCCTCTTCTGGTCATTCTCTGTTCCCAAGATGGCTGGCATTCTTTGCCAGGCTGTGCAGGGTCTACTGCGGCTCCTTGGCACTATTGTATTGTTACAAGGACTGACTGTTGCTCTTTGATTAAACTGGATAGGGTTTCTTGCTGGATACTAAGGTTGGGGGGAATGATCTAACTTGAGTGCTCTTTTCCAAACCTGTTGTGTATAGCTGGCTTCCTTTTTCATGAATGTCTTGCTTTTTGAAAGCTGTAGAAGGCATTGGCTCACAAAAGCAGTAGTTTAACTGGAAATCAGTGGGCCAAAAACAACTCAGATACATGAGTAAGTTTGTAAGTGCACCTTCTGGTTAACTGTCTGGAGTTCTAATAGGATTTTTAAAAAAACTATCCTACATAGGTAACTCTTCTCTACTTTGATTGGGTAATAATGAGCTATACTCTGTTTTTATTTGCTTATTTCTATGTGTTTCTGGATGGTCTCACCTGCTAATTCATTGCAGCACTGATGAGCTGATCTCACTTATTTCCCTTTTGCTCTTGTCTCCTTTCAGCTCAATGTTTCCATCAGGTCACTGTTGCAAAACCTCAAAGAAAAGACTGAGCGTCTGAAGGACCTCTTGCTTCACTCTGTATCAACACGTCAGATGTATCCATGTAAACAGCTGTATACCAGGAAGGCCAGTGAGACAAGAGTGGGTCAGCATTCTGTTTTGGAAAAGGAACGAGACCATTAAATTATATATGTGTGTTTAGAAAATCCCCAACAACTTGGGAAAAACCCAGATACAAAAGAAATGTTTGCAGTCTTCATTTTATTTCCAGGGTTTGTTCTGTATGTGCAAGCACTTCTTCAGGACACTCCTAACTACTGTATTTTTCACCCCATAGGACGCACCGGCCCATAAGACACACCTAGTTTTTTGGGGGGGAAATAAAGGGGGGGAATTATTTTCCCCTAGGTGCGGGGCTGGGGCGGGGGAAACCCGAGCTTCCCCTGACCCCAGCCCCCAGAACAGGCAGCTCTCCGCAAGCTGTGGGAGCCCAGCGCCGGGCTCCCACGGCTTGCGGAGAGCTGCGCAAAGCCTGGAGAGCGAGAGGGGTCGGTGCGCACCGACCCCTCTCGCTCTCCAGGCTTCAGCGAAAGCCGGCATTCGCCCCAAAGGACGCACACTCATTTCCCCTTCATTTTTGGAGGGGAAAAAGTGCGTCCTATAGGGCAAAAAATACGGTAAATGGGCTGCAGCAAATGTTGTGTCAGATCCAACTGGGGCCCTCTTTACACACACAACTGAATGGGCTGTGTAAAGCTGTGCCCATGTGGTTGTATTACAAGTCGATGCCCACTTAGGTAGTTGCATGTGTGAGTCTGAATTCTGCTATAAGTAGTTGCACAGTTATGACTTTTGCCTCCTTGCTGTTTGTTTTTAAAACGTTCCATGTGTCTTATAGACTTATAAAATGAGGTAAATGTTGTAAAGTACTTTTTACACATGGAAAAGTGTTATAAAAATGATAGTAGTCTGTCCTCAGTTCTCTGCCTAGGACAAGATAACCTCATATCCTTATTTAGTCATAATAGAACTTAGATATTTTTTAACTCTGGCCTCTCCGGTATAGATCTAGTATGGTTTTTCCTGTACTGATAGGTACGCATGTGGTTCTTCCTGACTGGATAAAGAAGTCATAACTTACTTGATTTGTGATTTAATACCAAAAGTATGAGGTCTAAATGTTCAGTCATTTGTTTCTGGCAATCAACCTTAACCCAGTTCCTGCAGAACACAACTCGAAGGGGACAGGCGGCAGAACTTAGTGGATGACCTCCTCACGCGACATCGTCATCTTCAGGCATCTTTCAAAAATGAGGGGACGGAACCGGATGTGATAAGGTACAGTTCTGCCACTTCTAAATGAGAAATGCATGAGAGTAGCTCTGTCTTGAGCTATGAAGCACCAGTGTACCTGTACCCCAGGAATCATCCTGATGACTGGTCATATTGGCTGGGGCCTGTTGGGAGTCCAACAACATCTGGAGGGCCACAGGTTCCCTGCCTCTGCTGTACCTTACTTTCACACAGACCCCTCCTGTTTTGTGTGTGATCAGTTATGCTCCCCTTCAGGATATTGTTTTTCAGGTATTCTCTGAGTACCTTGACCAGGTACCCAGACTTGATGGAGCATCTGCACTCAGAATCAAATAAAAAAATTGGAGCTGAAGGTTGCATCAAAGCCAGTCATGCTAAAAGGCTGAGTGTCTTAAGTGGTTCAGAGCCAAGGTCAAGCCAAAGCAGACTTTAACAGAGATGGGCTCAGAAGCCACGCAAGACAAAACTTCACATCACAATGGCCACAGAAAGCAAGCGTGTATTGGAATTTAAGAGTCAGGGGGTTGGACTCGATGGCCCTTGTGGTCTCTTCCAACTCTATGATTCTATGATATGGTGTCAGGGATGGATGAGGGAGATAGATGAGAAATAACAAGACAGTTGCACATAGTTTGTCTAGGCAGGGTGGTTTTGCGTTCTTAGGGCACAGGCCAGGAAAACTGGCCAATCAAAAGAAAGGCAGTTACATGGTCCAGAGCTACAGGGGGATTTATGGAGTGGAATTTCCCAGCAGTGCATACCTTGTCCTTGCAGTGTTGTTCTGGACTGTCTGAGTAAGGGAACTGTAGAGATCTATGCCTTAAGAAAACCAGTCACACTAGAAATTTGGAAGGAGTAGGGTGGTGGTACAAAGTATTGGTCTTGCAAATTGGTTCAAGATGTACTTTTTACATTACATTGATGCATCTTTTAGTAATATTTAATGATTATATGCTAACGTTAATGATGATATTCTGATTAATTTCCCGCTTGTCCTAAGCTAAAGGAAAAAAGAAGCAACATAAATTTTCAAAACGATTCTAGCTGCTGGTTGGATTTTGATGATCTATCCCATTCTCTTTTTACCTCTTCTACACAGAAGCTTGAAATAGTTAAAGCATATATGTATCACCCAATACATTTCAGGGGGAGAAAATGTGTTTTGGATTGCCTGTGTTGTTGAAAGAGGAAACTCTGGAAGAATGTCTAATCGATTAATTGTTTTTCTGGCCTTGTAATCCCTTGGCAAGCAGTGCAAATCCTTCCAGCTCTCCTGTGTGCTGGATTTTGTATTTAGCTAGTTTAACTCAGCATGAGAAATCAGTCGGGCAGTGCTTTCCATGTTGATGGATTATCTGAGTTGAATCGTCGTTTATTTCATGCTCCAGCAACAGCATAAAGTGAGCCTATGCAACATTGTCTTGGGAATTTCAGTACTACTGAATTGCCACCAGGAGGAGCATGCAACTGTTGCTTCCTCTGTCCCTGAACCCACAAATACAAATTGCACCGTAAACAGGATTCCTCTTACATTTCAAGTTTTTTATAATTTCCTTTCCTATCCTCACCTTTCTGAAACAAAAATAAATGAAATATCGGGGACGTTAGTGTGCCAAAAAAAGGTGGATGGCGGTTAGAAACTGCTAGTGCTAGAATTATTGTTGGCTATGGAAATTTCTATGGATTTCTCTTGGCCAGCCAAGAATCTCCAAAGCTGTAACTCTTAGCTTTGCACGTGTATTTTAAAAGAAAAAGTATTCCAACTTGTACCTGATAGTTAGATCTTTCCAATCTGGCTGTAGTTGATGTTGAGCTATGGCTCCTCCCTTAGGGGTCTATAATTATTGCTATTTTTTCCCTTAGAAAAGCCCAACCATTCTATATTACAAGCCAAATTCTATTTCATCATGCCCATGCATATTTCTATTTTCATATTTTCTTTTCAGAATTTAGAAGTTGTGTGATGTGGGTGTGGTTGGATATAGTGGGGTCATGACAGTTTGGTCTGACTGTGAGTAGGCATTTTGTTTCTCTCTTCCTGTTCCTATATGCAGGCATCACTTTTCTTTTATCTGATCCATCCTTAAAGTACACCCCACATTTTCAGGAGCCTTTTTCGCACTTCTCCCTCCACCCCCACCCCCGTCCTATACCGTAGTCATCCCCTTCATTAACCTTCTTGCATCAGTGATCACATGTCTTATTGTCCTCATGGTGTGCAATTGTGAAAGCATTCTCAAAATTAATCTCCGTTTACGTTTGGTCACCATTCAGTGAGTTTACATCCTTTGAAATCTGCTTTAATGCGAGTGCTCTTGGTGTGGTACAGTGGCCTTAGTACTTCTAATTCTTATTTTAAGTGACAACCTGGGCCACGATACAGATCAAGGCATTGCTTTATGAGGCACCCAAGTAGCTTACCTTCCGGTATTGTCAGACTTAATTAGGACACAGCTCTCAGTATCCGAAAGGGTTGTGCTATTTGCATAGCTGCTTCAATGCAGTTATTTCTCCCGACCCAAACCATTTTATTAAATTGCCTTTAAATTAACTATGCAATATCCAAATGTGAAGGAGACTTGTGTATCTTATATATAGAATGTCAATTGCATGAACCATCCTAGAGATGTCATTATGGGCAAAGCTGAGGTCCAGATATTAAACTTAATATTTTCCTTGCGTCCAAGGAGACCGTGATCCCTTTCCTGGACTCCTAATCAGAGAATCTATTAAATGGATGAAGTTGTAATGAAATGGAGATTGATATCCTGTAGCAGAGTAGAAGGCAAAAAGAGCAAACCCACCGACTTCCTGCAAAACTAATAATGCAGCTTTTGCTAATGCAGAGAGTGAACCTGTATGGCAGGGCATTTATAATGCAGTTTGAGAAAAGTCCCCATCTCTAGCTTTCAGTAGCTGCAGTTGTGGGAGGTGTCACTGGAAGTATGGAGAGTGTATTGCTACCCTGGTAAAAGGAAATAAAATGAAGAGGGTGATGAAGTGATGCATGTCACCTGTAGGAAGCTCGCATCTTCCTAAACTGAAAACCCTAACTAATGCTAGCCACAGTCGTTATTAAAACCATCTGCATGGGAGCTTCCTTCTTCTTACACAGCTAGCATAGAACTGTAGAAGTCTCTTCCACCCTTGGACCCTTGCCAGACCCCAAGCTGAGCTTCTTTCAGCAGTGCTGAAAAGGCTTCCTTGTAGCTGGCTTTTTTCTGGCTACAGGTAGAGCGCTTAATATTTGTATCATGTATCTTGAGTTACCTATTGTGTGTGTGCTTGTACATATACTAAAGAGATGTAAGCAATTAATGGTTCTCAACAATCTGATTGCTAAGGACACAGATCTAGATTCAAAATTATCTTGACATGCTGGAGCATGACCAAAACTGACAAGAGAGATAAATGTAAAGTCCTGCGTTTGGGTTTAAAAATACAAGTAAAAATCAAATACACTAGTTACAGGATGGGAGAGATTTGGCTTGACAGCAAGACATGTGGAAAGGTTCTGAGTGTCTCTGTGTGCATTGTAAGCTGAGAGAGCCAACAGGGCAATGCAGCCGCTAAAGAGGCAAATGCAGTTATGAGTTACGCTAATCAAGAAAAGTAATAGTGCCACTCTGTCCTGTGCTGGTCAGGCCACATCTGGAGTACCACGTCCAGTTCTGGGTGCCACATTTAAAAAAGGAATTAGCATGTCCAGAGGAGGGTGACTCTGATAGTGATGGGTCTGGAAACGTCCTGTGAGGAACATTTGAATAATCAGGCTACGTTTAGCCCGGAGAATAAAAGGGGAAGGCATGGTTGCAGTCTTCAAATAACTGAAGGGCTCTCTTGTAGAAGATGGAGCAGACTTGTTCTCTTTTGCTCCAGAGGGCAGGACTAGAAGCAGTGGGTGGAAATAGCAGGGAAACAGATTTTGGCTGTTAGAAATAGCTTCATAACGGTACATGTTGCTCAACAGTGGAACAGACGGTCTCAGGAGGAGGAGGGCTGTCTTTTGCTGCTGATATTTAAGCCGAAGCTGGGTAGCCCTCTGTTAGGGATGCTGCAGTTACATCCTGCATGGCAGATCCTGCATTGAGCCCAGGGGTTGGACTACATGGCCTCCAGCATCCCTTCCAGTTCTATATCCTCCTAATGCCACCTGTTGCACCAAGACAGCAAATAAAATGAAAGCAGCACCCAGTACTGGGGAAAAAATGGGGAAATTCACTATATTGCCATGCAGACTGTTCCAAGGGCCTCGTATCCAATGTTTTTCGGAAACCCCAAATCACATTTTACAGCAATTTATGAATCCAGATTGAAGTACTCAAAACACTTCAAATATTATTACTGTACTGCCATATTCACAAGGGGAAATGTGATTAATCACATAGACCAATGTCACATGACCTGGGTTTTTCTTTTAAAATCACTCACGTTGATTGTTCTAAGGCTTGAAAGCCTTCATGTGTGGCCGTGGTCTAGGGAAAGGTCTGTTTGACTAATTTGTGTTTCTTGGGAAATTTTGTAAGAATTAACCAGTGAAACAATGCAGTTGGGAAGATAAGCTGCTGTTTGTTAAGTAGAGGCACAACCCTTGATTATAACCCAACCAGCTTCCTTTATATTTGGGCACATTGCTAAGCCTTTTAATTAGTTAAATCTGCTCCTATAATCAAAAGCTATCTGCACACTCCACTGTGCTGTGACAATTTCAAAGATTTAAGTGATTAACTTGGCAAAAGCAGTGGGTGGCTAATTGGATAAACTTTAATCTTCACACTGCCAAAATGAAACAGAAGAAGATCAGAAGAAAGAGGAAGTTGGGCTGCCCTGGGTGGGAAGAGAGCTACCAAACATGTCAGAAAGATTATTTTAAAAATGCTAGCAGGTCACTTGCCGCAACCAAAACTAGAAACCATGGTTGGGGGTAAAACTGTGCCACTACACGACACCCCCCCCCCCTCATTGACATTTTCAAATGGCAAAAGGTTTTTCTCATTTGAGCTAGTGGAGCCACAGCTGTGAATTTTGGAGCAGAGGATTTGGCTAGACCGTCTTCTCTTGGGAAGACTCTGATGAGAGCTACACCTTTTTATTTTGACAATGTTTAATGGGGACTTGGGCCCCTTACAGGAGTAAAAATGTCCCCTATGGGAGTTGGCTTTTTAAAAAACACAAATGTCCCCATTATACTGTATTACACAATATTCTTGTTGAAGCCAATGGGGGTTGTTTTGCTAAATATAAATATATTTTTCCTGCATGTCACATGACTGCCTTGTTTGCTTATTATTACTGTGAGCTCCTGAGGCACACAGTAATAATATGGCTGGTGAAGACCAGGGGAGTGCTTTGGCAGTCATTTTGTCCGTGCAATCTCTTCAGCTTGCCAGCTAGAACGACCCCCCTCTCCTCCCTCTGGGTGCTGTTCTGGGGTTTCTCCCAACCCCCCCCCCGAGCCATTTTTTCTTGTGGGTGTGTGTCCTCTGAGGAATGCTCTGTTGTGCTAGCTGGAGCCCTTCAGCTGTCTTCTAGTGAAACTAGAATAATAGAATCACAGAGTTGGAAGGGACCGCAAGAGTCATCTAGTCCAACCCCCTGCAGTGCAATTGAATCCTGCCCTACTTCTTCTTTAGTAGTTTTAATTCAACTACAAGTGAAGATGGTTTTAATTAAAGACAAAACAAGCAGGTAAATGACCTTTAGGCTCCTTCTGTCCTAGTGAGTGCGGCTGACATTTGTAACAGGTGACAAATTGAACAGCCAACTTAACCAGAGTGGATTTAATATAGCTGCTTCCTGGGTTGTTTATTAGCTAGGGATCAATGCCTTTGGTCCCCCAAATTTCATTTTATTTGGATTTGTAAACGAAGAACTGTTCTCTTTGCTTAAAAAAAAAAAAAAAAAAGACCAAGAAGATGCTGTGGCATCTTAAGGCCTTGCCAATTCGTAGTAGCAGGGCCTGTCCACTTCTTCATATACCATCAGATTTGATCAGTGTAAAAAATACAGCTATCTGCTAGCTAATTGATGTGTCTGGTGGATACCAAACAGGTGAGACGGCAGTTGACTATAGAACATGGAAAAATTGCCTTATACTAGGGTAAATCATATGTTCATCTAGCTCAGCAACCCCTGCCGTAGACAAATACTTGTTTTTATTTGGCCCGAGAGCCACATTGTGGTAGACCACCCCACTGAGGGCCACATGCTGGGGTGGATGTGGCCAACACACACTTGCATGCACAGCCAGCAGAGGAGGAGAGGTCCCTCCACACTGCAGCTCTGGTCTAAGAAGAGAGGTTCCTCTCCTCTTCCTTGGATGGGGAGGAAAGCCCTTCAAACATTGAATGCCTCTTACTACCTTTGGAAAAGTGCTGCTTCTCCCTCTGGTGTGGCACCATTGTTAGAAGGCCTTAGAAAAGCACAGCAAACAGTTTTGGAAGCATTCGGTTTTGGAAAAGAGCTGTGGGCTACTAAAAATAGCTTCACAGACTGGGCCGAGCCACAGGTTTGCCACTTCAGTAGACCTTGGAGGGCCAATGTTGATATCAGTCTCTCCCAGCCCTATTAGGAGGTGCTGGGGACTGAGTCTGGTATTTTTTCCATGCAAAGCAAATGTGCCAGTGACCCATCAGTCCTTCCGTAAACTCTAAGCACTAACATGTAATTCATTTGGTAGACAGGTTTGGTGGACAGGGCACTCTTTCTAGGTAAAGTGATCCCCCCCTTTTTTAGCATGGCATATGCTTATAGTCAGCGGTTAAATGTATCTAAGGCATGGAGAACCTATTGCTCACCCAACTCTCATCATCCTTGACCATTGGCCATGCTGCCTGGAGTTGATGGGACTCCAACAGCACCTGGAGAATCACAAATACCCCAGTCTTGATGTATCTGAAGGGCTTGTGCAACTTGCATTTTTAGCCAGCAGGTGTCTCTCTCATACTGAAAATCCACACATTTTCTGTAAGCTGCAGAAATGAATTTGGTAGAGATCCTGGTTTTCATCCATTACACCTCATTCCTCTTCTGTTGCATAGATGCACTTCAACAAAATATGAGGGCCTGTCTCTGTCTTTCATTTATATTAATATTGCTGTGCTGCATAAAATCCTACCTCCAGGTTAAGTGCATGCCTGTGCACTATTCTGCATGCAAGTCCCTCTGAATTCAGCGGGAGTTCTCCCAAGTAAGTGGGGAGTGGGGAAACCCTGGTCTGCTGGCCAGATACCACTGCAACCACCCTGCAATATATTTTAAACGGCTTCAGTCCAATATTCCCGAAGGAGCCGTTTAAAATATATTGCAAGAAGAAGAGTGGGGGTATGTTTCACAATATACACATGTTGTGCTCTTTGCAAATATGCAAAAAAAAAGTCATTCATACATTTTGTATGTGTGCAATTTTGGAGATGCAGTTGCACTTTTTTATATTGAGGCTTCAGACAACTATGGCAGGCTTGCTGGTTCCCCCCCCCTCCTTTGAATAAATTATTTTAAAATGTTGAAGCTTGCATTTTTTAAATATATATATATTTTCAGGTCTAGCCTAATGGCTGGAGGGGTCAGACAAGGTGTCGTAAACCCATGGCTTGTGGAGGAGCCTGAGGAAACAAGAGGGCTTGGCTTTCATGAAATCCAGCAGCAGCAACAGAGAATTATAGAAGGTAAGTCATCCTTCTTGGTTTTTAAAGCCTTAATCCTATCCTAGAGCCTCTACATAGGCCTCATGGTTGATAGCCACTGGTGTTGATTGCATCCTTTTACTCCAGTGACCTAGGTCAGAAAATCTTCCACCTTCACCTTCTTTTGTATAGGATAGAGGTATTCATTTCTGATGTCCAGCTTGTTTTGTCCCTGACCATCCAAAACATTCGAGCACTTTGTTAAATGTTTGTTTTGAATCCAGGGGGCATTTCTCTGCTTAAGTTCACACACTCGTCATTTGAGAAACAATTCTGTGGGTAACTAGGAGCTGGCTTGTCAAACCGGAATTCCTTAAGATGCCTCAGATAATTAGGCACCAAGCCTTAAGTGCCAGCGGAGTTTCAGTTCCTGAATTTTCTAGGCTCCTTGGAAGATAATCAGTTTTCTGCATCCCTTGGTTGCTGGTGGAAGGTCTTGGACGTACTTCACACTAATCAGGCTAACGTATGTCAGCGTGTAGATAGGGAAACCTCATTCTTATCCAGGCTTGTTTGTGAGGGATGAAAATCCTTACTGGCCCACTTTATCTTTCTTAGCCTGAAACAACCAGAGTCTGGCACCTTCATCTGGGCTGTCTCATCATTATGAGCTTAGAACTGGCTGGTGTGGCTTGTGTCCCACCAAGAAAATGTGGCTTACTTGGGGCTCGGTAAGCCTTTGCTGTAGGTGTTGAACCTTAAAGCAGAGTTGTCAAGCAACTGGCAGGCAGCAGCATAAGCCCAGCAGGCTGTATTGCCATAGTGAGCCACAGGTTGTGCAGATCTAACCTGGTCTCTTGTTTAAGGAGATCAAGTCCTTCCCCGTGCCCAGGCTTCCATCTCCATATAGCCTAGGGATGGGGTACTTCTGACCCACGGACCCAATTAGGTCCTCTGGGCTTCCCTGTTTGGCCCTCAAGGCCATTTTGGCCAAGAGCCATCTGCCTTCCCTACACCCAGGTGTGGGGCAGGTAAAATCCTGGCTTAGCCAAAAGTGGGTCTGTTGGCACTGCCAATCAGCTTTTTAGCAGTGCCTACAAAGGGCTTGGAAGATAGTGCTTTGAAAGGGGCTTCTGAAGACTGATTGTCTTCAGGGGCCTGTTTCAAATTGCTGCACGAAGACCCCTGATAGCAAAAAAGGCCACCTGGTGTCATTGCCAGCCAGACCAGTACCCCACACAGAATATAGCCCTTTCCTGCTCCTCTCATTGTCATCATTTCTATCTCCTAGGCTCTATGCTTTTTCCTTGAACAGTGATTTTATGTGAAGTAGTTGTGAGGCCTCTTTTGCTGATTAAGTTCTACGTCCTTCTCCCTGATGGTAGCAGGAGTATTTTTGGCCATGGAAGCGCTCTCCCATGCACCAGCAGTCATACCGGTGTGGTGCTTGGCTATGCCATCTGTATGGGAAACAGTGTCTTGATGCCAGTAAGCCAGCTTTTCCACAACAACTTTCTGCTCCTGTAGTGCTTGTCTTAAAACCTCGTGGACACTTTGGGGGCATTTCAAAGCAATTGTATATGCTGTCAAGTAGGGAGTTAAAAAAAAAAAAAAATAACGGCTTCTGCAGAAAGATCTATTGAGCCATCAGTTAGCCATTAATCTTTTGCCCTCTTTGCTTAAACAGCCATTGGCACACAACTCTCCCGCTCCGGCACCTGTAAAAGAACCCCTTCCCCCTTTGCAAAACGCTACCCACAGTAGTTGATTGTGCTGTCTTTGGAGGACCTCCCCAAAAGCAACTCTCCAAGAGGGCTCCAGTACAAAAGAGAGCTGTGTACGACTGGAGTGTAATTCAGTGCCATTGGGACCAAGGGTGTGGTAATGCCATGTGCTCTGGATTACAATAGGGGGCATTTTGTAAGACTAGAGGGAGACTTCTATTGCGGCTGTGCTGGCTGCAGCTCCCCTTGCCAAGAGTTGGATTATCTCCCCCCATAAACGCCACATTTACACGCAGCTTGAGAAACCCTTTGGATTCCTTGGTGCTTGCATCACCTATTTGTTTCTCAGTCATGTTAAACCTTCCCTGGAAAATCAAAAAGGCTTAATCAGGAAACTATACGAGTGTGCCAAAATAATAAAAAAAAGACATCCAGTGCTCTTACGATGGAGGAGCAGCTGCAAATCCAGTTTCTGAAGGGTTTGGGACTCTTGGCTAAACTTTCTTTTCTAAGACACTACCCAGCACTGTCACTTTTACCCTAGTTTCTTAAGATCTGTCTGTTTTGGAATTCATTGTCATGCCATTGGTGAGGTCTTTGGGTCATTAAGTTTTTAACACTTCAGTTGCAGACTTTTCATAATATTGCTCAGCTGTCGTGGGTCATAAATCTGGGGTTTAGCATCAGAACGCTGGAATTTAATTTGATTCATTTTTTCTTTTTGTTTTTTGTTTCTCCCCTGTGCAGAGCAAGATGCTGGTCTTGATGCTCTCTCTTCTGTCTTATCCCGTCAAAAACAGATGGGGCAGGAAATTGGGAATGAGTTAGAGGAACAGAACGGTAAGGACCGTCCTGCTTTCAGAGTTTGATGGGTTCAAGAGAGCACACAGTCATTATTTTCGGTGTTGTACCTTCTCATAGTTCTGTTCTACTGAAAACCTTCGGCGCGTCGTCTTTGCTGCATCATTATTAACCACTCCCAATGATAGTTCCCCCCCCCCCCCGAACAGTAATAGAAGAGCCACAATTAATCATCTCCATTTCTAAGTGTGATGGTATAAAAGTGAATTGACAACAGAGTTTGCTTCCCTCTCCTAGCATTGGGTTCAGGCAGAGCAATGGGAAAGGGGGAGTGCGGCATTTTTAGGTCATCAAAGTACAGATTTCAGAGAAGTTTTAAAAAGTGAAGAATTGTTTCAAAACTGTTACTCAATCTGCCCATGTCCGCCTGGATCATTATCTCATGTAGGGTGTGGTATGGCCTAGATGCCACTGTGTCATAAATTATTTACTATGCCTCCCCTTCTCTCCCATCAGTTGCAAAATTAACCAGAGTACATTGGTGTACATTGGACATAGAATTGGGCATCAGGGTACTTTTATTTTGGTCCCTGTGCCTTTGTTGGGGGTTTGCCTCTTAGATCTAGAAAATGAGCTGTAAAAGGAGGACAGATTATTTACAGCTGTGTCCCAGGAACAGTAGTCCCTTCGCTCAAGAGGCTACAGTTTCTGTTTGTAGGTAGGTGTAAGGGAGGGCCTTTCAAACTGTGTGTCGGGATACATTAGTGTGTCGACTGCAGTGTGTAGGTGTGTCGCACGAACACTCCTCATGTTCTCCCAGGGCTGGAAAGGGCTTAGTTTAACCTCCGATTTGCTAGTAAAACTGAATTATTGTGTTGTGAAATGATGCAAAACTGAATTACTGTGCCGCGAAATGGTGCATGTCTAAAAAGTGTGTCACCAACATGTAGCTCTGGTGCAGGGTGTTTGTGTGTCAATTCATACTTGCGCTTCTCAAGGGAGCCTTCCATGAGAGGAGAGAGAGACCTAAGCAAGTTAGGTACGGTTAGCTGTTTGATTATTCCTGTCTGAGCCAGTAGGTGGCAGCACAGGACAGAAAAATGCCTAGTGCATGATCGGTTCTTGACCTTGAGGAGCGCATGATTGGTAGTTTTTCGTTTTTTCCTGGAGCTGTGCAATTCACCTTTTCCAGTTTAGCATTATTTTTACCTATAGTTTGCCCTTTGGTCTGGGAGTATGCTTACATATTCTTTTTTAGTTTAAATGATCACATCTAGGGCTGACGATTAGAGCAGCCTTGCCATTATAAGCCCTGAAAAGTTGCTAGCCTGACTTTTTTTAAAAAAACGAAAGAAAAGTAGCCTCTTAGCTGCCATGGCCTCAGCCTCGAGCTCAGAGTTGGGAGGATGAACTGGTTGAGTCTACGGCTTTTGCACCACCCACGGGCTGAAAAAATGAACAATACTGAACTTGAGGCTAGCAGTCAGAAATGTGTGGACCCTGAGCCAGGACCTTCCCAGGCACCTCCCCCCCCCCCCAGCGTGATTTGCCAGAGAAGTCTAAGTCCTCCTGTTTCACATAGTCCAGGAGGCAGGTCTGGCAGGAGGCCACAGAAAGGAGCGCAAGCACTCTCCTTCAGGACAGGGTGTTGGCATTTTAAAAGGTTTGGCCTCTTTCACCTTAGCGCTGCTTTCTTTGCATGGATCACAACATTTGCAGGCTAGGTATTATTATGATTATAAAGTCTCCTAACAAATGAAACAGGGGCAGTTGTCTCTGCCCCTTGTCTGCCAGCCTACATGGTTTTCATGGCTTTATCCTCTACCAGTCCAGCATGGAAGCTCACTTGGTTTCACTGCCAGCTGCAGAGGAAGTGATTTGCTTTCCTCCAGCAGGGGATATGCAGGAAGCTCCTTCCTCAGTGCCTAGGAAGGAGAGCAGCAGGTTCGTGAGTGAGGGATAAGAGTGATCAGTCTTTCCTCCACTGAACGGCTGTATTTTCATTCTTGCTACAGAGGTAGACACTTCACTTTCTCCGCCACCAGTCTGCTCACTCACCTGATCGGAATGCCTTGTTTTTCCTTGTGGTGTCCCAGGCAAGTAGTTATATACAAACACCCAGCTGTATTTTACATCCTGAAGTTTCAGTGGGATCAGTTGGATCCTGCATTAATGTAGCTTGTAGAAGTCTGGTGATGCACACCCTTTTCTTTTTCCTGGACTAGTATGAGAGACAGATTTGAAGTTAAACCATACTGTAGCACTCACTCAGTTGTTGAGATGACCCCATGGGAGCAAATCTATAGATTTTTGAGCTTTTCTTTTTTCTTACAGTATGGTAGAACTTTGAAATGTTTCCAGCTGTGTGATCTCTGCAAAGATTTGATCCATCTGGTCTGCTTCTAGAGCGGGTTGCATGAACATTAAGTGACTGGAAGGCAGCAACTCTGATACTTCCCCATTTGCTGAGCACTTTCTTCATTGAGAAGGTGTCACTGCCAACAACAACAACAACAACAACAACAACAACAACAACAACAAATTTATACCTCACTCATCTGGCTGGGTTTCCCCAGCCACTCTGGGTGGCTCCCAACAGAATATTAAAAACATGATAAAACATCAAACATTAATACTAGTAGACTAAGGGTCAGGTGCACATATTGTATCCTCATGCCCTGTTTTTCACCCTTTCTGCTCCTAATCTGATCCTGTTTCCCCCCCCCCCCCAGGGTTTCTGAGGTGCATATTCAGTCCTGGCAAGCATTGCACAAAAGTTAACAGACTTGCCTGCTCACATGTCCCTGGGTTTATTAATTTGTTACGTACTGCGGGAATGATTGGAGATCAGCCTTGAAAATTAAAATTCACAAAAGTTGTCCTAGCCTACAACAACTTTACTTGCCTGCCAGATTTGAAATGGGAAACTTTTTTTAAAAAGAAAAGCATTTCTCTAATCTCAGTCCTCGGAGAAAACAGATTAAAACCCCAGCTGTTCTGAGATTACTAAACTGAAGGCCTTAGGAGGGAAGAGATGTGGAGACTTTAAAAAAAAAATATCTGTCTTGACATAACTTTAAAAGAGCACCATAGAACAGCATTTGCAAAAAGAGCTGGGGGGAGTGTTCCATTGCTGGTTTCCCATCACAGATTTAAACTGACAAAAGAACAAACAATAAAATCAAGGTAAAATGATTATGATCTGCCCACACTGATACCAATTCTCACCAAAACTTCACAGTACATAGCACGTGAATACCTTCTGCTGCTCATGTGTATGTTTGTTTAGTCAGAGTTGGAGTTGCTGAACTTCAGTTTGGGTCTATTCCATGACTAGTGCTGAGAACTCCCATTCCTAGGCAATATAATCAGAACTTTGCACATGGGGTCTCTGATTAGCCTCGTGTGTGATGTGGAGCACATATTTTTCCAGAAGTGTTCCGCCCTTGATTAATATCAACTCAGTATCTGCACAAATTATCGTTCAGTGATCTGTCTTGGACAGAAGACACAGTTCCCTCATCTGTGTATTTTTGGTTTGTATTGAGGCCATTTTCATAATATGTAATCTCAGACAAGTGTACAAGCAACTGTGAGTGTTTGGAGCCAGATGAATTTGTAATGGTCTGCAGGAAAGCAGCATTGCTGAGCCTATGAAACTAGCTCCTGTAGATCTCGTTGCTCCCCAAGAGCATGGTAAATGACTGTAATGCAAACTGCAATGAATCGAACTACCCATCATATTTCCCTATCACCACCGGAGTTGGGAGAGCCAGGTTCAAACCCCCGCAAAGCTCACTATGTGCCTTGTTCTGGTCACACACTGTCCCCCAAGCAACTGATCAGGGTTGCTGTGATGGTACAAACAATAGTGTTTACTGCTCCGAGAAGGGTGAAATAGAAATGAAATTAAAATTAATTAATAGTAAATTAATGTTGTGGGCAATAACAGCATAGGAAGCAGGTGCTTTTTGATTTTTGTTTCTTTGAAGAACAAGATTGAGCTTTAAGTACATTCTTGATTCTGTGAATGTTCTAGTTCCTGTGGTATATTTAATGTTTTTCTCCTTCGGGAATGGCTGAAGTACGGTTCTGTTGCCCACGCATCCTTTTTTTACAGCTTTGTGACATGACCTGCATTCTAAGCCATCAGTTGTGCCCCTGTGACATCTTGCTATGCCCTTAGTTATAGGAAATTTCATTGCCATGATGACACAATTCTGAAGTAAGCCGTATCGTTCTTGGTGGGAGAGAGGAATATCAAGCCTTTCTTCGTCCATCTTGAAGATATGCAGCTAAGCAAAAGAAATAAGAAGTTTTAAATACAAAGAGAAAAATGAGCATTAAAAAATATTTCTCATTTGATTTTACTTTAATAGCAGGTCTGTCATATCTAAGCTCTAGTCTCATGAAAGGCTGACATTTAAGTGTTAAATAATTTAAATGGGAAATATGAAATGTTTGCAAGTGTCTTCTGGTTTTTATTTTTAATGTAGCTTATCTGTCAATCTGTTGAAGCTGGAATAGGTGTGCTAACTCTAAATTAATTCCAAACATAAATCCACTGAATAAAAATGTCCCACATCCATTTCTCTTGCATTATATCACTGCTACCATTGCATCCCTTTATCATGTGCAGAGAAAAACCAAAATGAATGGGAAGCAAATGATTAATTTTGAAGAGGAAGATACGTTGCCAGCTGAATTTTTTACCTCTACCTTTTTTCAGAGCACCTTATAAATTTAAATCCACAAAAAATGTAAATTCTGAATTCCTGTTCACCTTGTCCCAGTTGAAGAAAGCAAATCCATCAGCACCGTATCACCAGAATTGACCCTTCAAATGCCCCCCCAGTATTTTGTAATGATGGGTAACCTATTTTTTGCCCCAGTACTGGACTTTGCATGCCAAAGTCGATTGCATCCTTGTGATCTCATTGAAGAGGCTTTTGCCTGTTCCTAGTTTACTTAATGCTTTTCCAAGAGGATGTGTAACCTAACCCAAGCATGAACAAACGTACCAGAGACAGGCAATGGAGCCTACATCCTTGGGCTGACTTTTGCCATGAGGTGTTACAGGAACAATCTGGGCACTGAGAATCCAGCAACCACAAAGTAATGAGTCACTTAGTCACATCCTGTCATTTACAGTAACTCAGGGTGATAAAGATATTTGTGTGTAATATCTAAGGAACATAACCTCAAGTGGGACACCCTAAAAGAGTACTGTTCTATTTTGTAATAGGAAATACCTTGGACAATACATATTCTAGTGGTGGGGAAGAGTCATTGGTTGCTGGCATCAATCTTGCATCTCAAGGAGTTTATAAAGCTGATAATTCTAAATACCTCAAACATTTTGTTTCCTTACACGTCTAGGAAATGACTAATTTTATATGGGTTTGGTATATAGATGTGGTTATTTCTTTTGTGAATCTTTTTTTGCCTATTTTAATGTTAAAATAGGCAAAAAAGGATTCACAAAAGAAATAACCACATCTATATACCAAACCCATCTAGCTGTTTGGATTTTTAATTCTCCATGAACTATACTGCCTTCCTTGATATAGTATACTTGGACTTTCAAACAGCTGTCATTGAAGCGGCTCACCAAAGACTTCTCAATAAGCATTAGCCATCAAGGAATAAACGGAGAGGTCCTCTTGTGGCTCAGGAATTGGTTAAGTTGCAGAAAGCAAAGAGTAAGAATAAATGGACAGTTCTCCAAGTGGAGAAGCCTAGAAAATTGAGTCCTCCAATGATCAGTATTAGGGCCTGTGCTTTTTAACTTGTTGATAAATGATCTAGAGCTAGGAGTGGGCAGTGAGGTAGCCAAGTTTGCTGATGATATTAAATTGTTTGAGTTTGTAAAATGGCAAATGCAGTTCAGTGTAAACAAGTGCAAAGTGATGCATATTGAGGCAAAGCATCTTATTTTCACATATACGTTCATGGGGTCTGAACTATCAGGAAAGAGACCTTGGGTAGCTTCACTAGACAGCTCAATGAAGATGTCGACCCAGTGTACAGTGGTCGTGAAAAAGGCAGATTCCATGCTAGGGATCATTAGGAAGTGACTTGAAAATAAAACTGCTGTTCATAATATCATAATGCTGTTATTTAAATCTGTGTCGCGACCACATTTGGAATACATTTGGAGTACAGTTCTCAAGAAGGATGTTCTAGAGTTGGAAAGGGTTCAGAAAAGGGCAACTAAAATGATCAAGGGGGTGGAGCAACTTCCCTATGAAAAAAAGTTGCAGAGTTTTATTCTAGAGTTTGGGAGACGTAAAAATATCCTATGGTACTTTTTAAAGAACTCTAATAATGTTTTAATTGGGCCCAAGTAAATTTTAAAGCTGAAGTTTAAAAACAAGCTGGTTTTATTCATCATTACTGTATGGCTTCTTCCTACTAAAAACATATTCAATAAGGGAAAAATAATTATTCGTCAGCTGTATCTTGTAAAACACTTTATATAGCAACTACAATTATTGACATTAGCAAGAGATTTGTTTTTGGAAATAGAAAAGCTTTTGAATGGTTCCTGTTAATAATAATTACAGGGGGAAAGGAAAGTTAGTTACTTTAAAAAAAAGGTTCCTTGCAACAAAGTCTTAATCCTCACGTTCTTCTCTGATGGTTTGTAGAAAGTCTTTTGCTTGTACCAAAAGCTTCAGTTGACGCTACCAACCATTTAATTGTAGAGTTACAAATGGAGAGTTCAGATTGCTTTTTAATCCAGAAGTAAAAAAAACTAGGAGCTGAATATGCTGTGAATAATCTTTTATCTCTATTCAGGCAATGATGTTAAAAACTAGTCCTCCAGGGAATATATTATTTATGTAAAATGGGATATTTTGTTTTAAAGTTAATTTTTTAAAAAATCTTTAACCTTTCCTGTGATATTGCAGCAATTTTCTCCATTGAGCTAATCAATTACAGTGGTACCTTGGTTCTCAAACTCCTTGGTACTCAAACAACTTGGAACCAGAACGCTGCAAACCGGAAGTAAGTGTTCTGGTTTGCAAACTTTTTTCAGAAGCTGAACGTACTCCATTTTGAGTGTTACACTTCTGATTTGAGTGCCACACTTCCAATTTGAGTGTTATGCTGAGGTCTGTCTGTTTTTGCTATTTATTTTGCATTTTTGTTTTTGTAGCGTTTTTGTTTTGTTTTTGTGACTGCGCGGAACCCAGTTCAGCTATTGATTGATTGATTGATTGATTGTGTGATTGCAGTACATTGTTTATTGCTTTCATTTCATGGATCAATGGTCTCATTAGATAGTAAAATTCATGTTAAATTGCTGTGTTAGGAATTGTTTTTAAAAGTCTGGAATGGATTAATCCATTTTGCATTACTTTCTATGGGAAAGCGCACCTTGGTTTTGGAACAGACTTCTAGAACGGGTTAAGTTTGAGAACCAAGGTGCCACTGTATATGCATTTCTAGTAAGTTCATTTATGTGTCAAAATCAAGATTTTATATGACAGCTAACGTACCATAGTGAATAGAGTGAGCTAGAAAGGCCTCTGGTCAAATGTTACCTCAACCACAACTTTTCTAGATGGCCTTGGATGAGCCACTGTCTCTCACCCTCAGCTCCCTATATCTGTAATATGAGGAGAATGAAAATTACGTTCCTTACAGGATTGGTTTAAGGTTTGTGGAGATTGGCGGTGCAGAAGGCTTCTGGTAAAACCCTGTGTGAGATACTGGAGAGCTGCTTTCAGTCATTGTCGACAAAGCTGAACTAGCACAGCTTCCTATTGTGTTCCTATTGTGCACCCGCAGTGGTAGGAGGGGAAGTGGGTTTCATAAGTGCAAAGTGTTATGTATTATATTCTCAGAAGGACTGATTATCACCTGTCCTACTTTTCCTTCAACTTGCGCACAGACAGTTTATAAATAGTGCATTAGAGCTGTATGCCACTAGTGATGGTGTCATTTACATATAGCTTCCATCTGGTTCCAGTTGCTTATCTTGCTCATTCTTCACCACTTAAGTCTTAAAGGTTACAATGATTTTAACCGCTCGTACAGCCAGACTTTGGCATCTCCCAAATGGGGAGAAGGAAGGGATGGGCAGTTGAGAGGACAGGCATTTCGCCCTTTTGCTTTCACAGCTCATGATGGCTTATTCCTTAATGAGCTTTTGTGCTCAGTTGTTAGAAACTTATACTGCTCCCTGCCAATGTATTACCTTAATTTTATTCAGACCCCATATCATTGGTCTCCTCCTCTTTAAGTGGAAACAGTGCATGTGAGATGCGGGTGGGCCCTGGTCTTCCAGTGCTTCCTCTTCCATCACCCTCTCTGCTTCACTTTGGGGAGGAGATCCTAAGTAAACCAAGGAAATCCTGGTTTTGAATTCCCACTATGATCCTGGGAAGAAATATTATCCAAAATGACCCACTGATATTTCTTTGTGGAAGAGGATTAGCCACACACAGATATTTATTCTGCAGCTTAGCCACTTAGCATGCTGCCAAGGGGACTGAACCCACCCTAAGGTCAAATGCTGGGTTTAATGTACTTTGCATGGGCAGAATCTGTGTTGGGGGCATTCAGTGTGCATCTGATTAGCAGATCTGTGCCAGTACAAACATGCTTGGTTTTACGTGAAGAGTGAATGGTAATAAACACTCTTAAATTCTAGCTGTTCACACCTCAATAATGAGGTAGCAATTCCCATAACCACTGAGATCGTGCTCTATTTCTAGCCCTCTGAGAGTACATACTGATAAAGCTTGAGTAGCTGTTTATCTTGCGGCGTGTGTTCTTTTTTCTATTCACAATGGTGCCGGGGCTTGAAGGGTATAAGCTACTTATACCCAACAGAAGACACACATTCATTCCAGAAGAGATGCTCTCTCTGCCTTGTAACAGTGTGGATGAGCTCACAGGAAAACTGGAAAACCCAAGCAGTGACCTTTGAGCTATTTGCTTTGCAGAGGTATGCTCAGTGAGAAAGAGCCCTGGAATAGAAAAGTTTTTCCTATTTATCCAAGGATTTAACGAGTTATGGAAAGGGACTATACCTTATGATGATTTGCCTTTCTAAATGCTGGATCTCATTAAAGATAGGGACCCCTTAAATATAATTTAAACCATTCCTACAGGGGTAGGAAGCTTGTGGTCATCAAGAGATTTTTGGACTACAGCTCCCATCACCCCTGACAGTCAGCCATGCAAGTTGGGCCTCATGGGACTTGGCATCCCGACGACGTCGGAAAGAGTCTTCATCTTTGCCTTGTCCTAAATTAAAACTTGAAGGCAAAAGAAGGTCTCCCTCCAGTTTTTCAGGGATCTGCAATGCTTTATAAATTCAAGAGGTATTTAAATATTCTCATTGGAAGCAGAAATGGTTGTTTTGAGAGTGAACAGCCGTTTCATGCAATCTTAATTTGTCAGTCACCACCCTTCCTCCCCACACAATCCTTCATCTTTTCCCTCAATTAGCAGAGGTTATTTGAAATAAAATGCTTTGAGGAGGAGAGTGGCAAATATTTTCTTTCCAGAGCCTTTCTTATTTTTCTTGCTTTTAAACACCACATACAATACTTATCTTCTGTTTTATAAGCACTTTTTGGAATAGAGGATGCCATACTGGCCAGAGCTGTTGGTTTGTCCAATCTATTATTCTGTCATTTTCAGCATGCAAAATCCTCCCTTCCAATCCTTCCATTTCCTCAAAAAAACACCCCCTGCATTCAACTATACAGTTCATTAGGGATGAGTGAGGAGGAGAATGTGTCCTTTAACTTGAATATTTGAAAACTCAACCTTGCAGTGAAATCCTATTATTCATGGTACATTGTTACCAACTTACTTTCTTCCTAGTAGATCAGTTCTTATCACTGGTATTTTTGAAGAAAATAGTCGATAGTTCTTGTCTAACTGCAGATGGCGGTGGAATGTATATATTATATATGTGCACTTTGATCAGTTTGGCTGCAGGGATCCCATTGCAGCAGATATTTGTGGTCTGCATTCACTGTTGATCTGCTCCTTGGTGCAATTCAAGGAGTGAGTTCAATTTGCAAAGCAGAATATGGTTTTGTGACCTTTAGATAGTTCTTTATGCCATTGTGTCTGGTTGGGTGTCTGCATTACTCATTTGTTTCAGATCTAATATTTTCTAACTTCTCTTTTGTATATGTCTAATTGTAGCATATAGGACATTGTGCTGGGTTTTAAATTTTATGCTGGGGATTGCCTAGAATTTAAGAGGTAGGGGTTGACTGAGAGTTGCATCTTGTTCTTGGGAATGTCACTTTGGACAATTGTAATCTAATATTCATGAGCACGTGTGAGCCTGTAGTTAGCTTGGCCTTTGTGTTCCCAGATCAGGAATGCACAATCTACCACCCTCTCAGCTTTTCTTATATACAGACATACATACATACAACAAAAAACAATTCAAGATCCAAATATCGAGATTACTCTGAATCGCTTGACTTCCCCCCATCCCTCCCATGGGTCCTAATAATATTTACAACTGCATATCAGTACTTGTCCAAATTTTTATCCTTCCAAATTGTCCATACTTTCCATTACTTTACAAGTGGTGCTAAAATCCTGCCAAAGTTTTAACCTGTTTACAATGGTCTTGTAAATAAATTATAAATGTTTTCCCATTCTTTTTAAAAGTTCTTATCTTCTTGGTTTCTAAACTTCCCAGTTAATTTCGCCACTTCGGCATAGTACATCAACTTGGTTTGCCATTCTTCTCTGGTAGTGGTTGTCTCTTCCTTCCATCCCTGGGCTAATAGCATCCATGCGGCTGTTGTCGCATACATAAACAGTCTTTTCTGGTCCTTTGGTATCTTGGTACCTATAATTCCTAATAAAAAAAGCTTCTGGTTTTTTAACAAAAGATATTTTAAACATTTTTTTCATTTCATTATATCTCATCTCCCAGAAACTTTTAGTTACTTTACACATCCACCACATATGATAAAAGGTACCTTCTTTTTCTTTACATTTCCAACAAGTATTTGGACTTGTTCTGTACATTTTTGCTAACTTAACCGGGGTCAAATACCACTGGTTTTCAATATACATTTTCAATATACTTTTTTTTGGTACTGTACTGGTTTTCAATATACATTTTTTTGGTACTGTACTGGTACCTCCTGAAAGGTGTATGTTCTGAATCATGGTTAAGGCATTCTGAGATAGGTACCAGCTCTCAGGGATGGGCACTATGATCTTTTCACATGGAAGACTGAACTATGGATGAAAATGGCCCCCAAGGTAAATTCCTTCCCTAGTATTCTCCATATGTACAGGAAAGGGAGTCTCTTTGTGCCTAGTGAGGAAGTGAGGCCAACAAATTGCAAAGCTCTGCATTTTTCACTTACTCCCAGTGGATGCTGCACAAGATGATTAATATTTTAACATCTTTGTGTTCTCTGTTTTACTTTTAACACTGGAGCACTTTAAATCACTTGGGAAGAAGAAGGTCTGTCTATTCTCCAGTTACATAAACAATTGGGGGTACTAGGATGAAAAAGGAAAATAATTTGGGTGGAGTTAGGAGAGAAGGTAGGATGAAGAAAACTGTTTTACATGTAACGTCAAAAACTTAAATTTTCCAGTGCCTGGTGTGAGTGTGGAGTTAGATTCCTATGTTCTGCTGGAATTGAGTTCTACAGAACCTCTGAAAGTGTCTTGTAAACAATGTGTTGGAAAGTAGAGAGAATATTCCAGGTCTTCAAACAAATGCCTGTCCTGTTTTTCCACCCATCCCCATGTGGATAGGCCTCATTTATTAGAGGATGAAAAATGAGTCAATGACCTTGTCCACTGCCCTTCCCACATTTTATGTATTTGAGTCCTGTTTACTAGAGATGTAAAATTTATGGAACTGCTAGCAGCATTGATAAACCTCCCCCCCCCCCCTTGTGGGTAGGATGGGGGTAATGATGAACATTTTGTGAAACACTGAAATATTAGTGGTATGTGCTTGAGAGTTCATACTGCATTTGATAATAGCCATTGGGGTCAAAGGTACTTTAAGAATAGAGATGCCCTTAAAATACAACAAACTAATGTTTGAAATAAGGAATTGCAAAGTTATATTGAATTGAATTTCCAAAATATAGTAACTGCCACCAGATGTTAATAAAATAATACTGACAGTGAACCAGCCATTTACATCAGTGTAACCATTTCTATTGTAGCTTTGAAAAAATGGTTCCCCCCCCCTCCCATATTCTAAAACCGGTATTTGAAGACTCCATGGTTTGTCATCTTAACCCAACACACTGTTATTTCTACAAATTGATCCTCTGTACCAATTGGTCAGGATCCTTAGGGTTGGGGTTTTTGTTTTTTTACACTTAACTGCCAATCCCAATTTGCTTTTAAAAGTCTGCCAGCCTTCAAAAGGGGCTTGCCATGTGTATCGGAGGACCGCTGCTGAGATTACAAGCCCCGGTCCCGAAGTGGTTGATGAATCTCTCTGGAATGTGGTCCTTGAACTAGCTTCAAGCCTTTCACATCTTGGTTTGATGCTTAACTTTTGAGCATTTCCAAATGTACCTGATAGGCCGTAATCAGAGAGGATTTCCCCCCCCCCCCTTTTAAATTGCTCTTAATAAAATTAGAACAGGTAAAAAATATTTAAAATCAAAATAGTGGTTGGATATTAAATTTTAAATACTCCCTTGTTTATTTATTTGTTTTTGGAGGTAAGATTTGAAAGATAGGCTTAACTGTGGGGTACAGACCCGTTTGAATGGAACTAAAAAATACCTGACAGGCATGCCACATTAGTCCTCTTGCCATTGTCAGTGTTTCTCTGTCTTAAAGTGGATATATGTTGACAGCTAGTGCAATTGCCATTTCACACAGCTTCCTGGTAAAAGACCTGTTGCCTGGCTTAACTTGCTTCATCCCAAAGGGTTTTTTTTTAAAAAAAAAAATCTTTGAAATTACCCAAATGAATGATTCACATAAGTATATGTAATTATCTATGGAAGAATGAATCATCTTGCAGCTGCTTCCAATTAATGTCTGTCATTTATGAAATAGTTCAGATACTATTTGGGAGAAATTGACACTCTGTAACTATACTGTTTGGGTCCCCCTCTGCATGTTTGTACTGCTCTCCTGGCCTGCCATCATCCAAAGATTTGGGTATTTGCGCTACCCTTATGCGGATGACACCCAATCCATCTCTCCATTCTATTTGAATCAGTAGTAGCAGCTGTGCAGTGCTGGACCAGTGTCTGGAGGAAGTGATGGGCTGAATGAGGATCAGTAAACTAAGGAGCTGGGATGGACAGGCAATCCCTGTGTCTGGAAATTAGGAGGACAACCTGTTCTGGAAGGGTGTGCACTCCCTTCTCTAGAGGAACAGGTTTGTAGTGTGTGCTCTTGAAGTAGTATAAAATACTTGCATTCTGGCTATTTTGTGATGGCTGTGGATCCGCTGACAAAGCTCTGAAATCTTAATATCTTTCTTTGTGTTTCTTCTTGTGTACTAATACTTTATCCCTTGCTCCAGCCCTTCAGGGTGGAGGAAGCTACTCATCCAGTGGAAATGATTTCTTTTTACCAGAAAGAAGCTAAAGAACAGTTTTGGAAATGGCAACATTACCCTCTTTGTTCTTACCCCAGCACAGAATCAACATTGTGTCATTTAAAATTTTTTTTAAGGCAGTTGCTACTTCCTCTAGAGGTCTATATTGCTGTTTTAATACAAATCACTCTCTTGATGATTACCAAATCCATTCCACTGCATGCTTGCAATAACTTAGGCTTTTTACTATTTTGCTTGACTGCTAGTGATATATTGATGTGATCTTTAGAGAGGAAGAGATGATTGAGCTAGAACAGGGGTCTGCAACCCGCGGCTCCGGAGCCGCATGTGGCTCTTTTACACCTTTGCCGCGGCTCCAGGGCGGATACTAGCGAGGGGAGGAGGCGCATTGTGCGCCCCGACACTCCCCACTGTGGCGGGCGCTGTACTGGCTGTGACGTCGCATGGGGGCGGTGCATGCGTTAGTCATGCACCGTCCCGACGTCACCTTCCTGCCCGCTGTCAGATCGGAGGGCAGCGGCGCGCATGCTTTAAATGTCACAATGGTTTTGCGGCTCCCAGGTTTTTTTTTCTTCGGAAATGGGTCCAAGTGGCTCTTTTTGTCTTAAAGGTTGCAGACCCCTGAGCTAGAATAATAGCAGGGAATCTTAGGAGATTGCAAGCAAGGACATTTTTTCATATTCTTGTGTAGTGGAAAGTAGAAATGTCCTAGGTGACCATTTAAGGGCAAAACAAAACATTACCTGTCTAACTGTTATGGAAAAACCACCCTATTTTGCCTTTTTCACAACAAGATCTTCATTGAGCTGTTGACTCATGGTCAGTCACCATCTGTTAGGACCCGGTTCACATATATGATTTTATTTTATTTAGAAGATTTATAAACCGCTCAATTGAAGAGCTCTCTAAGCAGTATACAATAAGTCGTATCTTTGGTCTCAGCTTTAAATCATAACCAACTGTCCTTTGGATATCTTCTCTGTTTGAGTCCTTGCATTCTTGAATTTTGGGACAGTGCCATCACATATGGAGATCATAAGCTGCTATTTGTCCACATTTTCAACATCCATATGTTTTGTTCTTATCAGTTTTATTTAATTTATTTAGGGTTAAATGCCAGCTATATTACAGTTGATAAAAAAGCTAAAACTGACACAGATGGCATTGCTTGCTGTGCCAGTAAAAACAGATGTCCATCTGCATAGAAGTGTCAGTCATATTTTACCCATCTCTTTCTAAAAAAATTCCTTTTTCTGTAACAGTTATTTCATTAGAGGACGGTATATTTTTGATGGTAACCCCTTAGTATTGTCTGTTGTTAGAACTTAGTATTCAAATCCTGAATACAAGGTTCCTTTTCTAAGAATTTCCATGGTTACATAATTTCCCAGTTGACAAATTTGGAACCAGTGGGGGTGATAAGAATGGCTTTTCGCAATGTCATTGACTCTTATAATACTGTTTTTTTACTCGTAGAGCACTCCATTTGCAGTGCTAAGTGTTTCATTACAAATAAAATATGACAAAATGGATATAGAAGGACTTTAAAATATTTATGCAAGATGTTAGCGTTTTTCATATTGTTCAAGAACTCTGACATTTTAGGCTTCTGATGTTTCTCAAACTCACTTTTAAACCCCAAGGTAGGTTAGTAAATGGCTTTTTAGCATTACCTGGTTCCATCACATACTCAGGATCAGTTTGGTGCTCTTTGGCAATTAAATTCTGTGTTAGACATTTATATTGCAGACTACATGATGCAGTTGCAGCTAACTAACCCCCTTTTATGGCAGGAAAAGTGAAAACCGGTTGTTCTGGAGCAGTAAATAAGTAGAAGCTGCTTTTCTTCCGTTTTTCACAGTTTATGCTTCTGGGATGAATAATCTGTAAGTAATTTGCCCACGCAACATAGGCAGTCTGTACTGTAAAGACTAGGCACTAATAGCACCTTCCCCATTCTGACTGCTCATTCACCCATTGCTGCCTCTGCCTCTGAAAAGCTGCCTAGCATTTGTTTATGGAAGTCCAGAGCATGTAGTGAAAAAGCTGAGTAACAGTCCTTCTTCCTTTTCCCAGAGAGAGTGCAGGGCTTAATATGACCTCAGAAATAACTTCCTTAATCACAAGTTTGTAGAGGGGGAGTAAGCTTGTTGCGCCACCTGTATCGCACTATTCCCTTTTCATATGTTAATCAGTAATTAATCTTGATTTTTGTTGGGTTTAGGAGTTTTACTCTTGGCACATGTGCAGAACCAATTATATCGTAAATCACCCGTGTTTCAGCAAATGTCATTCTGATAGTTCCCTACTGCATAGAGCACTACTAGTAAAACATTTGAGGTCAGGAACTTGGATTCCTCAACCACTGTATTCAAGGAAACCCATTTATTGTTCTGTCTCAGTAGAAAAGGTTCATTTCTCTTAGACTTATATCACATTGGCAGCCAATCAAGGAAAGTCATAATTGCATTTATGCAATTGGGGGCGGGTGAGCTGAGGCCGCATTAATCTGTCTTAATGAATTAATACCACTGGCCTCTTTTCACCCCCAATATGAATGTGGCAGATTCTTAAGAATACAGTATTTTACGTTCTTTATTGAGCAAGAATTACGCTTTGGGCACTCAAACAGAGTGCTTGACCTGCGTCTCTCGCACTGTAAAATTGCTAAATGTATTCTTTGTACTTGATTCTGCAGAAGGATTTAGAGAGACTTGCCATGGATTGCATGAAGCAGTATTCATCTCAAATTATCCCGAGCTGACTACTGGGCCTTTTTGATAGCCTTCTTGTGATGATTTGTGCTGTGGATGATAAAGATGGATGATTTTAAAAAATCAGTTAAAAGGATCTTTCAGGCTAACTATTAAATTAGGTCTATGTAAACTGGAGGGAAAAGCAATCATACCATGTCCTATTTGGGAAATGAGAATTGGCAGCTTTCTTCTTGTCATCACATCAGCTGCTTGAATTGTGCAGAGTCTAATCATATCTCCAGGTTGTTCAGAGAGCATGTTGATTAGATACAATATACAAAAGTGCTTATAAGAGCATCCTGCATTTAAGGGAATTGCTTTTGCGCTTGCCAAAATCAGGGATGTGAGCTCTTTAATCTTGCCGCCAGCTCAGTGGGAAGAAGATGGTGCATCTGTTTCAACATTTTCAGTGTCCTTGGTGCTCATAAATGTGTCCAGCTCTCCTTCTCAGGGTGTCCTAAATGTGCCCCAGCTCTCCTTGGGCTAAATTAGTAAAATCATGACTCAAAGGCTGCATCATAGATAATCCAAATTAGATTTTCTATTTCTGTAACAATGTTTTGGCAATGGCTCGTGAAAGGCAAGGAAGGGCATGTGTTGGGCATTAGACAGGGCAACAAAGATAGGAAGACACTTTGAGACACATGGACCCAGAAGCTCAGCCCCATGACTGGAATGCATATCCGAGTCCTGTATTCCAGTTTTGCTCCACACTATACCATATACAAAGGTAAATGAAGTATTTATAGCTTGGAATTCTTCTTGTTATGGCCCACACTCAGCCAAGCATCAACAGCCAATGCAATTTAGACAAATGTTTCTTAACACCAACTCAAGGATGAAGAAGTTGTTGGACTCTAATTGTTAGTAGCCCCAGCCAACATGATCAGGGATGATGGGAGTTGTAGCTCTCCAACATCTGGAGGGCCACAGGTTACCTATTCCTGTTTTAGATCCCCACTGTGCAAACCAGACCTATTCATTCTTGCAGCCCTCTCCAGAGAGAGGATTTTAAATGTATAACTTCATCACAAGTCTATAATTCCATCTTTAGTTGTGCTCCTTGACGTGTCCTGACAAGAGCTGGTGTCAGGGTTTGACTCCAGTTTTTGCTAATCGGCCATTTATAATTAATGCTGGTTTTTGTTCCCACAGTTATTTAGAAAGAGCTTTCACGTATTCTAGGAAACAGATAGTGGAATCCTTTTATAGAACTAAGGGCAGAGTAAGGCAGTTTAATCAGCAAAATTTTTTGTAGATGACACAAGATGGACAACTCTGACTAAGAAAGTCTTCTATGCATTATTATCCCAGTTTCAAGTTCTAGCCATGTTGCACACTTCAAAACCTGATTCCATCCTGGCCCAGAATTACCATCCTTCCACACAGTGCTGCTGTCCTGGCTGCATAGTGGGTTGTTTCTTCTGGTTCTTATTACTTAATGCAGCCTCTGTATCTGTATGTATGCATAGCTTTCCTGTTTCCATTATTGTGTCTGGAGCAGACACAGCCTGACATACTTAGCATTACCTCCCCTGGTGCTTTCCATATAATCTGACTGGATGGGGAAGGGTGAAGAGAGTGAGGCTGCTGAGTGCTGGGAGCACTGGAGCTTTTGGCTGGGGCGCTGTGGTCCTCCCCACATGGGCCAAATGCACGGCCATACTTGCCGTTCCATAACGATCCCATTCACATTGGCTTAGCATTAGCGCCCTGGTTCCCAGCAGGAACTCATTGGAAACTATTTATCATTTCTGACACAGAAGGTAAAATCCCTCTTGTTTTATTGAAAATACACTCTTCAAGTTTTCATTTAACAGCTGCTATGAGGAGTCTGCCGAGTGCTGGGAACTGTTCTGTGAGAACCGCAGCAATGCGCCAGAGAAGTTAGCAGTCAGAACTCAGTAAAATGAGGCAGTGTGGTCGTTAATCATATCTGTTTACTGACAGGAGGCTCATGATATATCACTTGGCCCACCTGTTGGATTAATGCTTTTCCTGAATGTTTGCAAATGTTTTTTTGCTAGACAGGTGAATGTTATCTTTTCCTCATTCTGGGAGACGTGAGGTGCAGAAGTATGAAGCCAGCGTAGTCAACGCGGTCAGTGACAAGGGAAGAGTTTCTTTGAGCTCCTGATATCTATGGACATTGATTATGCTCTATAATTTCTTATTTGTTTCCTTCTGATCTGGTCTAGAACTCTTTGTATGTCAAAATGTAGGATGCAGGAATGGACAATTGGGCATACTCTGCCTCTTTTATAGGTTTTGCCATTTATGGATACCTTTCACCATCCAGTGGTTGAAATCAAGGCTTGAGCAACCATGATTGTGTTCTTTTCATTTTATCTTGTACAGTGGTACCTCTGGTTACAAACTTAATTCGTTCCGGAAGTCCGTTCTTAACCTGAAACTGTTCTTAACCTGAGGTACCACTTTAGCTAATGGGGCCTCCTACTGCTGCCATGCTGCTGGCGCGCAATTTCTGTTCTCATCCTGAGGTAAAGTTCTTAACCCGAAGTACTACTTCCAGGTTAGCGGAGTCTGTAACCCGAAGTGTTTGTAACCCGAGGGTTTGTAACCCGAGGTTCCACTGTATGAGCAGTTTCTTTAAAATTTTTGATGTATACCCCACCTTTCCTCCACATTGCTCAAATACATTGGTTTTTCTCTCCCCATTTTGTCCTCAAGAACCCTGTAAGCAGTGCTTTTTTTCAGGGGGTACTCAAGGGAAGGGCACTCAGTACCAGCACCTCTTTTTTTGGTTAAAAAGTTGTGACACTTACTGTAACAACTTCGTGGTGAGTACTGGCACCTATTTTTCTAGAAAAAAAAGACAGCCACTGCCTAAGGTAACCCAGTGAGCTTCATAGGTGAGTGGAGATTTCAACCCCGGTCTCCCAGGTCCTAATACAAGACTCTAACCGCTGCACCACACTGACCCTTGCACTGTTTCTGCTCTGAAAACGTGAACCAAATGCTATGTAGTTGAAAATGATCTAGGTGCAAGTAAGTCCAGTCCAGCTCCCTAATTCCTGGAGAACTGCCACCAAAGGATGTCAAGCCTTGCCATATGCACCTCGTACAAAGCTGAGATGGAAAATCCACGGAATGTTTCTGGGATGCACCCCTATGAAAAGAATCTCCTTGGCCTAGGAAGGAGCCCATTCCTAGCAGCAGCATTTGAGAAAATCTAGAGCTGTGCTCCAGGCTTGCAAAGCAGCCGGCATCTCAGCTTCATATCCTGTAATATATTTAGGGAGAATTGGCTTCCGGAAGGATGCCCCTGGTTTACTACTTTTTCATAGACTTGGATCCCAAAGTGCATCTCAGGGCTCTTTTGGAATGACTTGATGCATGTTAATTTAATGGGAGATAGAGACATGGGATGAATGCAGATGATCAACCTGCCAAGTAATAAATGTGGGGAAGCTTGTTTGTTTCTTTAAAAGTGGGTTGAAGTGCAGCAGTAAAGATGACCATGGCTGGCTTAGTAGGATTCTGTGGTTGCTCTTGCTCCACCCCTAATTAGTTAGTCAGTCAGTTGTTCTGTTGCCATGGAGTAAAGACGAACTCCACCATGCATCGCTGCAGTGTCTTGTCTCTAATTCCCAGCTCTTTGTTTCGGAAAGTAGATACTTAATATATCCTCACCAATTAAGCATTCTCTCTTAGAGGATTTTTTCTGGGGTGGGGAATTTGGGACATTTAAAAAAGTAGATTGTGCTTTAAGTAATAGATGTGAAGGCATATGCTCTGTGTACTTTCGCATCGTAAAAGCAATATTTTGTATGCACATCCCACAGAGACTCTCAAAACTGACCTCGCAAAACCATCAGGATTTCACAGGGGTCTTTCCCAGGCCTATCAGGAAATAAATTGGGACCTTCTGCATGTAAATGCTGTACCCCTGGCCTGCAGTAATAGTTAGGTTCTGTTCCCTAAGGGGGAAAATACAGTAGTCATGAGATTAGCTCGGAAGAATATCTTCCCCCTCTCAGTGTCACGTGCCATGGATTCGGCTCACCAATTTACCAAATGGTAAATGTGGGAAGTCTCATTGAGAAAGGGCTCTCATCTTTTACCCCACAGTCAGATGTGTGACAGAAAAAACTGCACCACATTTTAGAAATTCTGTAGGACAGGGATCTCACATTAATGCCATTAAAAAGTGTATCACATGCTTAAAACAACTACATCAGCATAAACATTTAAAATTCACAGTGAAAAATTACAAATAAGCAATATCGCACAAAGAGCAGATAAAGTAAAAGTAGCCAGTTAAACATCTTTAAATTCAAAATGCACACTAAATAAAATTGTCAAACAGCTTAGACGAGTTACCCTATTAGCTCTACAGTGGTACCTCGGGTTACATACACTTCAGGTTACAGACTCCGCTAACCCAGAAATAGTACCTCGGGTTAAGAACTTTGCTTCAGGATGAGAACAGAAATCGTGCAGTGGCAGCGCAGCGGCAGCAGGAGGCCCCATTAGCTAAAGTGGTGCTTCAGGCTAAGAACAGTTTCAGGTTAAGAACAGACCTTCAGAATGAATTAAGTACTTAACCCGAGCTACCACTGTATATTAAATTGGAGATTATATTTCTGAAGCTTCCTGTATAAGATAGGACTTTAATAGTCCTCCTTTTCTCTTCAACACTCAGTTTGTTTGGTTGTGCATTGTCTTTTCCCTTCTAATTCCAAAACATAATAAAAACGACACTTTACAATAAAAATGTTTCTCTGCCTTCCTCCCTCAATTATTTGACTGTTGAAGAAGGAATATCTTTTTGGTTCCATCTGTGTCAGGTAACTACCCTGGCAGCCATTATTGACTACCTCCAAACCCATGTCTTCATGTATTCAGACAGCTAAGACAAAGCATGGTAGAAAATTCCTTACCACTTAGTAAGTTGGTTGCCTGTGTGGAGCTATACAATTAGAAGATACTAACCTCTTTTCAGCTTAGTAGCCAGAAGTGCAATCTTCTGAGTTTTATCAGACAGAAAATTAGTATTAATAGCATATAAGGGTGGCTTAGGCGCTTACACTCTATACCTGAGGAGGCATGCCACTAAATGGTTTCTAGAATATTGTTGCACATCGGGGGTCAGTGGCGCTCCATAGACAATTGACCAGCTGGACCACACATTGCAGTCTATCTATGAGGGGACTTCTACACCTTAGTTATTCTAGAACTATAGAAAAAAGAAATTCTATTTCCATATCCTACAACAGTTAAGCTTCTTAAATAATAATTAGAATCTTAAAAATTAGGATTGACACTTCTGTATCTTTTAAAGCATGTTGCTTATTTCACAGCCCTCAACCCCGAAAGAATAGAAATATGTGACCCAACTTGAAAGTGTGGAGGCAAAAATGTGTGGCCTTGTTTCTTCAATTCTTGCTGAGTCTGAAAGTGCTACCCTTTCTTCTCTTCCACTGCCAGCTACCTTTTTACAAGGAATCTTTTGTTGTTGTATGAATTCATAATACAGACACTGTTTCTAGCAATACATCAGCAAGCCTTACCATACTCTGAGCATAAATGGGGGGAAACGTGAGACACTAGTCTGAAATTCCACTTTTCAACGTGGCTGTACTGTTTGAAGAAGACTGAAATCTATGTGCCATGTTCTGCCTGTGTAATGAAGTTTGCATTGATATTCTGTTAATGCTGATGCCACTCAAAGTCCAAAACAACTGCATTTAGGCAGCACATCTTCTTGCATGGGATGATCTTGCTTTTTAGTTGGGTTAACAGCCCGATGAGGTCACTTCTTTGCATATCAAGCTGGTGTGCATCACCTTTTGTTCCTAAAAACAAACTTCACAAAACCACCACACAAAATCATCCTTTTTTTATTTTCCCCTATTGATCTTCAAAGGATTGCATTCTAAACAGTATATTGTGGCCTGTGAATGCAAGTTTCCCTAGTTTAGGACCATTTCCTCTGCTGATAGGCAGAAGTTGTAAGGATCATTATACTTTTCACTTAAGCTGTAATTATATTAAATGGCATTTGTGATTGGTTTGTAGCACATAAGGGATGTTTTATGTTGCACTCGTTATCTGTACATAAAATGGGCAAGAGTTTGGAAATGGTGTGTCTGCAGAATGAGACGAGGGAGGGTGGTCCCACTTTATGCAAGTAAAGACAAAAGTCATAGCATGTGGTTCCAAAGTGGTTGAATAAGAGGTACCAACATTGCTTTTAATGAGGAGTTTCCAATACTAGGTTATTATGATCCAAGTGTTAAATTAGATAATCCTACCTAAAAAATTAGATTCTACAACTCACATCTATTATTCTCTAATGAAGAGGATATTTGCTTTATATATGCCAAGACTTTTTTTTAAAAAATGATATTTATTAAAAGTTTAAGAATTACAGAAAAAAGAGAAAAAGAAAACAACAAAAAATTTGACAAAGCATACATTACAATACATAAAAAGAAAAGCATAAAAAACAATACAACAATACAGCAAAAAAGAAAAACACAATAACATTAAAACGCACATCCAATGTTCCATATCTTTATCTTTCATTTACTTGTTTCATCGACCTCCTCACACCTCCCTTTTTGTATTCTAATTTAATTAATTGTTTCAGCAAATTCTTTCCATCTTTCTCAATTTTTGTTATATAATTTATCTTAACGGTCTAACCTTTTAATTAACTCAACAAATCCTTTCCATCTTTCACTATATTCTGTCATTCAATTTACCTTAATTTATTTAACCTTATCTTACCAAAAAAAACCCACACACCTTAAAACTTAATGTACATAACTCCTTATATCATTTCTACTAAAGCCAAATAGTTTCATTCCAACATTTTTCCTAATACTCGTTAATTTTACACTAATTCTCAAAATAAATTTTTTTAAAAGCTTTCTTCCAATCTTCATCCAACGTCTCTTCTTCCTGGTCTCGGGTTTTGTCAGTCCTTCTTGTCCATTCCATCTGGTCCATCAACCTGGTGATCTTATGTCCGAGGCTCTTAAGTCTTTTCCATTTCCCTTCTGCAGATCTTCTTCTTGTTTATACCTGCACTTTACTTTGTCTTTTGTTGATCTTTTTCTTAATTTCTTTCCTTTCTCATTGGGGGGTAGGTCTCGGAAGGACTCCAATCCAAAAATATCTCCATCTCTCCTCAGCAGATCAGCCCATTCCCCACAGTCCCATTCCCCACAGTCAACACTGTAATCCAGAAAGTATTTAAAAGTATGTTTCAAAGTCCTTCCAAAATTAAGAGCCCTCACAACTCCAGACCCCCCCTGGTCCACTCCAGAGTCAAACTTCAAGAACAGCGGCTTATGCTCCTGCAAGGCCTCGGATCTCTCCATTTGTGTTACTTGAGGTTCAACAGCAACCTCCTCCATTATCTTCTGCACTTGCGCTTGCCCTGTCAAAACAAGTTCCTGGGCTGGTTCCTGAATGGTTTCTATATGGGTATTCGCCGTTTGTCCAAAGTTTTTAACTGCAACAGTCATCAAATCCATCTTCTCATGCATCTGCTCCAGCAAAGCGCTTGTCTTGCAAAAAGCAAGCACCAAAATTTCTTCTAAACACATTTTTATTCAAGGTCAGAGTCTGGTCTCACGATCCTAATCTTACAGCTGTGAAATCCCCAGATCGACTCTGGCAACAAATTAACAAGCTCCCTCTAGAGGAGACAATTTCTATTTGTATCCATCTTTTGAAAGCAGGACCAACAAAAGAAAATTACTTTCATTTTTCAAATACTTTGTTTCTTTTGAATGCAAGAAGCAACATTGGAGTCAATTTGTTTCTCTTTTTTTACTATCTGTCAAAAGACATTCCATTCACAGTCGATGAACTTCCCCATAAATTTCTGTCTCTGACACCCTGTTCCCAGGTTTGAGACGGTGGAAATTTATCTTTCTTTACTCTCTCTCCTGCAGGCTTAAACAGTCAAAAATTCCCCCCCTTTTCTCCTGCTTCCAAGAGGGGTTTTGGTGGTAATAACTGAAGGAAATTTAGACCTTTATATACGACTTTCCAGACTTTAGCTTACGAAGTTTTTGCTTCAATCTATTTACAAAAAACGGGAGGCGGCCTTCCTGTTTAGAGCCTTCCCACTTCAGTGCCAAATTAAAATGTTTCTTAATCCAATTTTCCGTTCTACTCACGGGTACTTATTTAGAGTCCAGTTGTCCACAGGAAAAAGTCAGCGCTCTCCGGCAACGGCTGTGCGGCTTCACTCCGTAAAAGTAGCGGTTGATTCAAAACACCGCGCCACTCACCCCATGTCGCTTCGGATCCCCGAAAAAGGGTTTCCCTGCGAGTAGGGGAGGCGCTCCTGGTGTCAGCCGAATCCCACATTCCTCCGCCTGGGATTTTTAGAGGGTCTCCGCCTTCGCCGCGGAGGCAAGACCCGATTTTCACGGAGCGGGTTCCTCTCGGTCAGAGGAACTCTGCCATTGCCGATGGCGCTAACCCGGAAGTCTATATATGCCAAGACTTAGAACCTCTCATTAAATCACATTTACTTACAATTTAGATTTTAGTTTCTGTAATGGTAATCTTGGAGGACAAGCTCACCCCATCTAACCCAATTTGCCAGTGAAACCAAGGGGTGCTGGGCTTGTGAAACAGTGTCAGGGATAAGAGCTGTTCTCAAGCTTGTGGCACAAGCAGTCTGGAGCCCTGGGTTGCTTGTGGGAGATGAGCTTTATCAAGACTGCATGCCAAATATCAGTTTTTCCTTGCTGTAAAAATAATATGTGAAAGGGCTCTTGAGAAATCAGCAATGTATATATTATATGAGAGTGGGAATGAGGAGGAATATATGTGGCATTCATTCAGCAACCAGATGTAGAGGTCCCGAGCTTCATTTTTTCTTATTACAAACCTATTGCGAATTAAAAACAAGAAAGAAACAAGCTACCGTGAGATCAGATGTAGCGTTACTGATGTCAGGTGCAGGATTTATTTTCAAGAGCAAGATTTATCTGCGCAAGTCCTTTGGAGAAGTTGTCCCAGGGAAAGCTAGCTGTACTGTGAGTTTTATCTTCTTTCCAAACTACACTTGTTTTTAAGTGCACGTTTGCTGTTTTCCATGACCAATCACACCCTTCCTAAAGATTTATAACTCAGCTGTTTCAATTTGTGATGGGCCGAAACTTTGGAATGCAGATTGTCAGTCCAGATGTCAGACCTTTCCTTAAAAAAAAGAAAATGAAGGATTAAATTAGGTATGTGTGATTTCCCCCCCTTTTCTTTGAAGGCTCAAAATGTCACTTGAAGTCCTAAACTTATTTCCTGTTTCCTTTCAGATGTGATGGTTCACTTTTAAAAGGGAAAACATATTGCTGAGCACCAAGTGCTGAACTATAAAAAATAAAGTTAACTAGAGTCCTGTGGCTAATGTGTAGACTTAAATGAGAATCTTATAGTATCATCATATGTAGTTTGTTTATTTATAATAATATTCATATATCACTATTTCATTTTTTAAAAAAACAAAGTAGTTAACAACAATAACACATAAAACCGTACAATTAAAACCATATGGAAGTTAAAATCAGACTTCAGTTAACTGTTGTGGGAAGATGTGTTCTTCATCGCCTGCATAGGCTTCGCAGAATAGAAAAGTTTTCAGCAGGCATTTAAAAGTTGAAACAGAAGGTGCCTGCTGAATCTCTGTTGATAGAGTACCCCACAATGTCCTCTCTTTCTTGTTGTTATCAAATGAGCCTCACCAACTTGGGAAACTACTAGTGACACTCCTGAAGATGAAGTAGTGAGATTTATGCCACATACTGCTCAGGTCTTGCCCATCTGTTTCAGCAGCAGCAGCTCCTCAATATACCAGGGAGCAAAATTGGACTGCATAGTGCCAGAGGGGGCCTCCAGGAGCACAGATAGTTAGATGGCTTCCCAAATAAAGCAGAGACCTTCAATAGTCATGTCGTGATCGGTGTCACAGAATGAATTTGGGGGCCCAACCACCTCCTAAAGCTTTTAAACACTTTAAACTGTCTGTGTTTCCATTTTGAGCAAATAGGAGAGGCATCCCTTGCTGCCACTGGATAGTCCCCTATCAGTCTGAGGATTGTTAAAGCACGTGAAAGAGAAAGTTTACCCAAAGGTGCATACAGCTTGCCCCATTTTCAGATTTGCTTTCCTGCTTTCACTAAATAAAAAAATCCCCTCCCCCAGAAAGAGGTTGATTCCAGTGTCAGTCATTGCTTTAGGAGCTGGGCTGGCATGCTGCCCACGGCTGAGACAGACTTCATATCCCCAAGTTTTGAGGGGGAGATGTATGAACTTCCTTTCTGACTTTACTAGCAGTCAGGGTGTTTTGGAATATGTGAGCATGAAATTTCAGCTTTCTGTATGTTCAGTGGCATATCAAATGTGGTCCAATCCATTTTTATATATAGATACCCCAGTGCTTGTTTAAGTCTGGATATTTTTTTAAAAAAAGAAAATTAGTTCCCCTCTAATTTTTCAGGAATTCCAGGTTTATTCTTACTTGTCTTCACCTTTGTAATTCAGGCATTTCCAGAATCTGAGACTCTTCTGAAAGTGGAGGTATTTAAGTTTGGTTTCTCTTCAAGCACAGATAATTGTCACAGTAACTTTTCTTGCATGGAAGAATAGTATGAGCGCTCTGATCAGTGACTTAAAGCTCTTGGTTCTGCAACTAATGGTGTTTACTTTGATCTAGTTAAAGTAAACTGCTTGCAAGGTGTTTGAGATGCTATCGCTGTACTCCCATGTGGCAAGGTCTTTGTATTGCAGCAGGATTCCTGCCTTTTGTGAGTTATCAATCAGTGCATAGCTTTCATCACTCAGTGCCAAGCAGGTCAAACAGAGGAGTTCACATCTGTGTCTTGCTGACCAGTGAGTGTTTTCTAATGGTCCTTTCACTGGTGATATATTGCCAAACAGGCCAGCAGCTCAGAACGACAGTGGGGATTTATTGGGCTGAATCTCTTGTTGCCCATTGAAGTTTATGTGTGTATTGGCTTTGGGGCCACCTTGTTTCATAGTTCATGAAGGGCTATCCAGCAGGAGACAGTATCATTTCAACATAGATTTAATGGCCCAGTGACTAAAGGATTACATGTACATCTCTATTCCCTACTTACCAGGATCCAGTAGTTCTTCATTGGGATGTAATATGCATATATTCTGTCCAGTGTAGGAAATATGGACAGAATATATTGATAGTAGGTGCTAATTTTATTCCAGGTCCAAAGCCCAGAGTTTTGCACAATGCAAACACACCTGTGGTTTAGATTCATACACACGCTACAGCAGGAGGGAAATTAAAGGTCTTGAGGACATAGACAGGACAGTTATGCAAAACTAGGAAGTATCAGAAGATCCGTTGTCATTTCTTACCTGTTGGCAGATGTTATTCATGTTTTCAAACTGGCTTCAAACTAGCATTAGAATTATTCATATTTTGATTTTGTTTTTCATCAAAATGACTTCATGTCCCAGTTTGGGGTAAGCGATGCTTAGAATAGAATGCAGTCAAAGTTAAGGTATCCACATCCCATTTGGGATGGAAAAAGGATTGGAGCAGCTAATTCCCTTTGATTCTTTAGCTTAAACTAGATTAAATTACTTTTGTTGCAGCTGCTGTTTGTATTTGTCTGTGTTTTGAATTGTGTGCCCACAGTGGGAACAGAGTGGAACGGAGAAATGATGCACACAGAGCTGGAAAGAAAACAGGCTGCAGCTTCATTATAAATGTGTACAATTGCTTGAAATAGATGGCAGGAACCAGAGACTGACAGTACTCAGGCCAGTGGTTCGGTTTAACTTTTCAGCTGGAAGGAGAATGGCACCAGGATGATGGCTGCTGCCCATAAACAAATTATTGAGGCTCAAACTGGCCATGACTTTAAACACATGGTTTTAAACTGTGCTCAGACTAGCCATGCCTCTCTGTTTGCAAAAAGGTCCTTATCAGGGCCATGAAGTGGTGGGAAGATGGCTTACTTCTTCTCCCATGCTGTTTTCCTGCCAAAAACAATACCCTCTGAAAATGCTCTTACCCATAACTTCTAAAAATGTGGGGAAATAACAGTTGGGGAGAAGGAAGTTATCAGCAGGAGAATGCCCCAAATTGTTAGCCCTCATCCCGTGCAACATCTTCCACTACTTTTTGCTTTTTTGTAGACAAGATGTGACCAGTCCAAGCACCTTCTTACATCATGTGCTTAAAGCCCCATCTAGTTAGATCTTGAGAGGGTAATTGCTTTCAACTCTGCCAGTCACAGAATGTATTTGTGTGCTAAAAACCACCAAGGTCCTTTAAGGAGCCAGCCTTTGAATTTCATGCAACTCCTATCCGGCTTCCCCATCTCTTTCCAAGCCTCTTCCTTAATGTAAAACCTTCTGTGTAACAACATAGGCAGTGCTTATATTCACCACTCCTCTTAGGTATATTACCCCTGCCACACCCTTCACTGGCCCTGCTTTGCATCCTCCTCAAGTATGTATGTCTGACTAGATTAGAACATATCCCTGATAATGCAGCTTGCTTGCCTGGATGGGAATAGAGAGGAATGTGCATAAAAGATAGTCTATTGTACAAAGGCAAGCTTGACATTTATTGTTCTGTTCACTTTGGTTTCTGGTCCTGCCCAGCATTGGCATATGCCCCCCTGAAGTTTGCCTAGAAGGGAATGTGACCTGACCTAGCATATTGGAAAGCAACTTTGGTCAAGTCGTGTTCTGTTTTACCCTAAACCCTAATCAAGTACCAAAACTGCACCACTGCAGTCCTAATTCTGCTTCTGTTGAACATCTAACATTTTCATTTAATATGTACATTTTAGAAATTAAAATATCACCTGAGGGGGGCTTCCTGTATATTTTCGGGATCATGGAAGGCAAGGATGTGAAATTTAACCTATTCCTCCACTGCATTCATGATAACCATTTTGCTGAAGCTGCTATTTGCATTGGAAAGCAATTCTCCATTGGATCCAGGGTGTCAGCCGGGGGGGGGGGGGAGTTCCCTCCCAATACAAATTGTGATCATTATCAACTAGCCTTTCCTATTTGCATTTTTTAAAAAAATAATGTGCAGAGATGTCTAATTTGGCTCATTTGCTTTGAGGAGTTACATAAGGTGACACGACCACAACATTTTGCCCCCATGAGTTGGAGTGGCCCATGCAATGTTTCTTGTTAAGGTCTTTCAGATTGCAGATGTTCATGTTTTTATGATCTGTTGCTTTGCTAACTGTTGGTCTGCCTCACATTCAATTTTAATGAACAGCAAAGCAAGGAAGACTTTAAGAATGAGGGGGAGAAACAAGTGACCTCGCTTTATATTCAAATGCTTCCAATTAAGGGGTCTGTTATCTTACCCAAGATAACTGGAAAAGGATACTCAAAATACTACCTTGTGTAAATACAGCTATTGCCTGCATTATATCACCAGGAGTTCTCAACACATCTGGAACGAAAGTAGTTCCAGTAACATTAAAGCATCCTATTTTGGTTGGCACGCAGATGCTGTGGTATATGCCAGTCAGTAATGGGTTTTGGAAACAAGCTGCTCTAAAACTCTCCTGAACTATTCTCCTGGGAAATTATTCAATTAAATACAACTAAAATTAATGCTTGTGTGTTTTGTTTGAATAAAACAAAATAAGCAGCTGGAAAAGAAAATCCCTGGTGCATGTTGGAGAGCAAGGGCTCCAGTTAATATTCATGGATTCTGAGCTCAATTCTTGCCCCACTACTCTTTCCACCAAGTACTCATTCTAAGTGATGATTATTGCTGTAACTGATGGTGCGTAGTTATTCTTTCTTCATTCTCTGGAATAATTTTGCAAATATAAATAATTTCTTTAGTTTCAGGGTAGAGAACCTGTGGCCTTCGATATGTTACTGTACTTCAGTTCCCATCACTCCTGACCATTGACTATACTAGCCAGGGTTGATGGGAGGTGGAGGTTTTTAAGCAGAGGTTGGATGGCCATCTGTCATGGATGCTTTAGCTGAGATGTAGTTGAACAAAATGTTCAGGGCGATATTCGTTCATTCATTCATTCATTTGTAGATTTGTATACCAAAAATCCTAGGGTGGTTCACAACATAAAAATACAAAAGGAGAACACAAAATACATAATGGAAACAAGAACAAAAACAAATGAACAACCCCCTTTCCACAAACATTTTATTATTTGCTAAATTTAGTAAATAGTCAGATGGAGAATAAAATCAAGGAGACATTCAAAAGAGGAAATGTTGTAGTAACAGGTGACTTCAATTACCCTCACACAGACTGAGTGCATATGTGCTCCAGTCATGAAGAAAAGATAAAATTTCAAGATACCCTAAATGACTGTGCCCTAGAATAGTTGGTCACGGAGGCTACCAGAAGGGCAATAACCCTGGGCTTAATCTTAAGCAGTTCTTGGGATCTGGTGCATGATTAAATGTTGTTGAGCAGACTGGGAATAGGGGCCATAGTGCTATCACATTCAATATATATGTAAATGGACAGTTGCCAAGAAAACCTAACACACACATTTGACTTGAAAAGAGGAAACTTAGCCATTACCAAGATGTTCTACCCCTCCACTGTCAGAGACAGTATGCCTCTGAATACCAGTTGCTGGGAATCACAATGGGAGAGAGAGCTGTTGCACTCATGTTGGATGCTGAGCCAGGTGGGCCTTTGGCCTAATCTAGCAAGGTCGTTCTCATGATGTCAAGACCATTGCCTCTAAGCATTTGTTGAGGAAAGCAAAGTTTATATCAGCACAACTTGCTTCCGTTTGTTATTATTTGAGACTAGCTCTTGTGTAAAGGGCTGCTTATAGGTTGCTTCCTCTTAGACATTTATGAAACTTTCCCATTATTTGGGCATAGATGAGAATTTATGGCTTTCATTTGCTTTGGGTTTTAAATTTTTCTTTGGGCTTTAGATTCCATTTGGTGCTCAGTATTAAAGCGCTCTGCTTCGCATGTGCACATTGGCCACAATCTTTTTCATCACTGGCATGATACACAATTTGCTTTCTTCTGTTGAGCATAGTGTTGCGTTGTTTTGAAGTGTGTAGCCTGGTGTTTTGCGTGATTCATTTCCTTGGCATTTCACTCTAAGGTGCTCCCTTGGATGGTGGCAGTGGCTATGGAGACTGGGTTGCCTCCAGATTAAGCTTCGTCATACTGTAATGTTCTTGGTATGATATGAAATGTTCTGGGCTTCAGGTTTTGAGATGTTTTTCTTCAACCCGGTTCCAGTATACATACATTTGCCATGTCCCATGACTAATTTTGTAGTGTATATTTTACAGATATACATTACTCTGTTGATATAGATCTATTTGGAGAAGCTGGGTTTTACACGGTGTACCTCCAGAATAAATATAAGGGATTTGAGCGAGGAAGCTACTGGGAGGCTTCCAGGCATCCTGATTCAAGCTAGCCAATGCCATCCATGCAGAGGCTGGCTGCATTGTCACTCATTGGTTTGCCAGCCAATTTATTTGTGTACTCCATCATAACCAAAATGGTAGGTGTGGGGTGTTCTTCTCTTGCCACTATACCAGTACAATGAACCCCTGGTACTAATGTAGTCTTAATCTCTTTCACATGCTCATCTGTTTCTCAGTCCACATCACCCAGACCTGCAATTTGTCTATATTAGGATGGGGAACCTGCTGAACTGCAATGCCTAACCACCCTCCAGCCAGCATGGTCAAGACTGAAGGGAGATTTGGTCAAACAATATGTGGATGGTCAAAGGTTTCCCACACCTGCCTCTATACATACTATCTGCTTGTCTCATGTGATCTTTTTGTCTCTCAGGTATCTCTCCCTCAGTCTTGCCTCCCTCCCTTCACATCTCTAACTGCCTGACTTTTTAAAATATTTTTTCCCCATCGTTTTCCATCACAGATGGCATCTTCTTCCTCTTCCAGGACATTTATTCATTTCTTTTTATAATTTATAGTCCCCTCTTCATGAAACAGAGGCAGTTTCTAATAATGAGAATAATGCACTTTAGCCACACAACAAAAATCAAATCAGTCCATTAGAATTGGCTAACATTACAGGTGAGAGGAAGGAAATCTGTGACAGTTTTCTCAAACAAGAATATCCTAGTTCAGGGGTCTGCAACCTTTAAGACAAAAAGAGCCACTTGGACCCTTTTCCGAAGAAAAAAAAAAAGGGAGCCGCAAAACTCGTCATTATAAAAATAACTTTTTTGTCACTTTTTTATTATTTCTTTGTTTGACCCCTCAGAATTACTCCTCCTCATAGAAATAAACGTTAAATTAACAAGTTACCTTTTTGTGTGTGTGTGTTTGTCACTCCCCTTCAAAAGTGACCAGCGTACATGCCCCCTTTCAATGCAGTGAGCAGCGTACATGCCCCTTACAATGTAGCGGGCGGGCGGGCAGGAAGGTGATGTCGGGACAGTGCGTGACTAACGCAAGCACCGCCCCCATGCGACGTCACAGCCAGTACAGCGCCCGCCAGAGTGGGGAGTGTCGGGGCGCACAATGCGCCTCCTCCCCTCGCTAGTATCTGCCCCGGAGCCGCGGCAAAGGTGTAAAAGAGCCACATGCGGCTCCGGAGCCGCGGGTTGCAGACACCTGTCCTAGTTCCTCACCAGACTTGCTACTATGTACCTGCTTGTCACCAGTGCCCATCTTCTTCTACTTCTGCTGCCACCTCCCGCAGCTCAGTATGCATAGCAGCAAATCATATGCGGGACCTAGATGCAGCTGTTCCTCCACAGCTGCTGCCATCTCCAGATGGAGAAAACTTAAAGGATTCTGCAGAAGCAATGAGAGGCTCACCCAACCCTGATACAGCATGCCAGCCAGATGGTAGGAGGACATGTTGAACATGGTCCTCCTCCATACAGAACTCCAGAAGAGTGACTAATTTCACACCCCCCCCCAATGTTATGTCAAAGGGTGGTTTCTGAGGTTCTGGGGCAATAACTTTTACCTGCAGGAGGTGGCAGCAGCAGTAGAAGAAGAAGATGGGAACAGTGGCATTCTTTGCTTCGGTTACCTGTTATGTCTAGTGCTGAGGGCGCTGCCTTGCCCTGCCTTTGTCTACTATCATTCCTTCCCTTTGGAACAATGTGTGTTTGCCTGCACTTAAATCATAGGCGCCATCTCTCTGAGTGCCAGGGCTCCCACAAAATGTTAGTTATGTGTGCCCGTGGGTGCCCAGCCTTCACCTCTGCCTCCTCCGCAGCTGCCACTGCACACTGGGTGCCACCGCCACAGCCTTACCTCTTGTACAGCCACTGGACCTGGGCTTCTGCCTCTGCCACAAGGCCCTGATCCAGTCCCCACCACGGTACAGGCCCCGGTCCAGTCACCACCATGACGCTAGAGTGCAAGAGGTAAGGCAGTGGCCGTGGCACCTGGTGTGCAGTGGCAGCCTGGCGTCACGCTGTAACATCATCAAGTTCGAATAAAGGCCTGGCTTGGAACCTCACACATGGAAGAAAGGCTGGGTGGAACTGAAATAAAGGAAATCCTGCTCTCCTGTAGTCTTATTAATCTGTAGCTAAGATGCGATTGTACCTAGCACTGCTGCTAAATCCATTCCCCTCTTCATTTTGCAAGTGCAGTTTGTATTTGGCTTACTCAGTGGGCAGGAACTGTGAAGCCTGTTCTTTAAGGCATCTGCCAAATCCAAGTAAGGCTTTTACATATTTTAAATAAATCAGAAAATCAATTAGTACAAATACGAGGAGGTTATATGGCAAGCAGCCTGCTTTTCTTCTGAGTGCTTTAGGAATCCCGCCATGCTTGGGACTCTGTGTGTGGTTCAGAAGTATAAAAACTCTCAAGCCTCTTGGGAGAGGGCACACCTGAGTAGCATACAGACAGAAACTCTGATTCAGGATGGGATGTAACCAAGTAAATCTTCCTTCTCCCGTGGGGGTGGAGAGAAGGAGCATTTTATTTGCTACAGAACAAAAATGTTATTTTCTTAAGCTGAGCAGTTTCCAGTTTTCCTTCTTCATTGCCCATCTGCCCTGAATTTCACAGAGTTCTCTTTCCCTCTCTACCCATTTCCCCCTCCAAATTCTTTCCTGGTGAATTCATGTTAAAGAAAAGTGATGGAAGGGAAGGCTGTTTATTTTCCTTTTTCTTAACATTTTGTAATGTCCTGGGTTCCTGATCGGTGCCTCACACAGACTGCATATTTTGGGCTCATAAAGATTAGGGACTTCCAGGCTTGGTCTACCTGGAAACCTCAGTGGCGCCTTGCCATGAATGACAGCTTTCCTATACAATGTATAGTATACATGGAACACTTCAGGAATTCAGTACACTTCACATAATCTCAGCAGTCCTTGCTACACCCCTGTAAGGTACAGCAGTATTTCCCCTCTCTATTACTGATGGTAGGGCTTAACACCGAGAAGAATGTTAGCTTGCCCAAGATTATCTAGTGAATTTGTGGATGAGGTTAGCAGGCAACTCACAGCTCACACTCTTGGCTACTGAAATACAATAAAGTACAATATCATTTGTAAGGTTGGTATTCCAAATGTAAACCATCCCCATAGATGTAACTGTTTATAAAGTGAAGTGTTTATAATGTACAAACTACAGGGGTGGTTTAAGCAATGAGGCCTTGAAAGTACTGTGGTTGCTCAAGAAAATGCTGTACAATTCCTCTTTTTTGTTGAATGTAAATGGACTCAAAGTGGGGCATGGTCAATTTATACACTTGGCAGTTGTTCTTTCTGGAAACAGTTTTCTGCTTTGTGCTCCAGAAGCCAGAAAAACATAATTCAAAGACAGTGACACTATTTTTTGTTTTAAAAACTACTTTAATGTGACTGTGTAACTTGTGAAAGTCATCAGTTTTGAATTTTCATCGTTCGAACTGAGCAAAGGTACTAGTAGAAACTTTTTCTCATAAATTACTTCATAACCTACCACCTGTCAGTTGGCCTCACCCCTGCCACACTGACTGTATATGTGAAGACGGGATTGAATTTACTAAAACGTTGACCTAATATCCAAGAGCAGGAGGCTTGCAACTGGAAGACAACATGTTGAAACTTCACTCGGATGTTGGCAGCTTGCTAATTTTTGTACTGCTTAATAATTTTCCTTGTTTTTTCCCACTCTGAATCGACTGCGAGGTCTGTGATGGAAACCACCCATTCTGTAAGGAGCTGTTTTATACAGAGTCACCCTTGTGAACCTGATGAGTTTTCAGTGGATGTATGGCATCCTTAGGAGATGTTTTTCTCTGCCATTATCTATGATCTCTTCACCTGGATATGCCATCTCTGAAGAAACTGGAATGTTAACCTCTTTCTATACATATTTTTATGTTCTTATGCTTCTCAGTGCAAGTGGGACCTGTGCTAAGTGTGGAGTGCCAGGCAGCTGTTCCTTCTTTCCCCTCTCATTTCACTTTATCCCTCTTCCCTACAATGTTCCATTCTGCCCCCTGCCTTCCTTCAGCAGTCAGCCAGCATTCTGTGTCCACTGAACATGCTCAGTCTCTCCCACTCCCCTGCACCCCCCATTTTGGGGGAATACATGTGAATCCAGATTTGGAGAGTGGAGTTTGCTATTCACATATATCAATACCTGCACCTTGAATCTCAGCTGGAAACAAATAAGCAAGTAATGTTTTTTTAAATGTCAAAGTGCAGTTAGCACTTACTTATAGTCATGATGTCATTATTTGTGCTGAAAAATGGAATATTGGTGAGAAGCACAACTGTAAGAGAGATATTCTATAAGGAAGCTGTTTAAACAGGATCATGCTTCAGTTTTTATTCTCAATTATAACTGAGCCTTAGAAATTGTATTTATACCAATATTCAAAGGTACAAATATTTTCCATTTGCAGGTTTGGACAAAATCTTTGGGGCAATAGAGTGCAGTGCAAGTAGCATGAGGGCTGAATGTGTGGGGCCAGTTTCTAATCTCTGGTCATTTGCAGGTAGCTTTGGGGTGATCCTTGCCCATTGCAAAAGTGGAGGTTCTGTGCAGCCACTCCAAACAGCCCAGATAAAATTTTCACCCTTCTTCTGGTCTAAATTTATAAAGCATTTTGTTCTAACTACTAACCATGGGCCAAGGAACAGATGTGTCTGCACGTTCTTAATCCGTTATGCTAGCTAAGTGCAGCATCTACATGGGCTACACCTACCGTGATGCTTTTGGGTGGCTTCTGCTTGGCTTCTGTCACATTTAAAACAACCATCTGTCTAACCTTCCTCAGAGGGCTGCCATGCCAATAAGTTAGATCAAAGCTGCAGAGCTCTTGGTTGCTGGAAGGGTGCCATAAAATGATAACATTGCATTTGTTTGGGTGTGATGGTAGAAAACCTGGATATTAATACTATATAACGATATCTCTTTTTTAATAGAAATCATCGACGATATCACCAATTTAGTAGAAAATACCGACAACAAGCTGCGCAACCAAACCAAGCGTGTAATGACAGTGGACAGAAAATCATCTTCTTGTGGTAAGATATGGTTTGACTTAAAAGTCTACTTTTTAAATAATTTTTTAAAAAAATAGCTGCCATTTTGTAGCTTCTAATTACTGGCCTGAAGCAGTCTAAATAATTTTTCACTGTCATCTTGTAATGGTTAATGGCAGTTAATTAAGCACGGTTTAAGCAGCTACTGCTTTTGAGAAAGAGAGTGAGGAGAGAAAAGAAGACATGATAGAAGAGGAGTAAAATTAGTATCCTCATATAGAGAAGGGGAGTTATTTGTAGAAGTGATTCCATTTGGTAAAATGTCTGTGCCTACAGATACCCTACAAAGCAGAGAGTTCTCTTATGTGAAGGCCACCAATGTTGCAATTTGTGTTTCTACTATTGCACTTTCCATATTGTCAAACATAATAAACCAGGCATAGGTAAACTCCGGCCCGCCAGGTGTTTGGGACTACAATTCCCATCATCCCTGACCACTGGTCGTGTTAGCTAGGGATGATGGGAAATATAGTCCCAAACATCTGGAGGGCCGGAGTTTGCCTATGCCTGTAATAAACTGTATGTTGCCAGTTAAGCCACGTGTGTACATAATTTTAAATCTTTATTTTCTTGGCACATGATAGGTATAGGATATTTAGCACCATTTCGTTTCCATATAATACGTTGGCTTAGTGCAGGGTTTCCCAAACTTGGGCCCCAAGCTGTTTTTGCACTACAATTCCCATCATCCCTGACCACTGGGATGATGGGAATTGTAGTGCAAAAACAGCTGGGGACCCAAATTTGGAAACCCTGGTTTAGTGCAAAACAGTATGAAACACTGGTCGGGCTGATAAAACACAACTGAATACTCTTCTACGATTCCTTGATGTTTCAGATAACTGCATGTGTTAAATTTCAAAAGACTTAGATGTAAAACCAATTGTGTGGGGCAGGGGAATCCTTGATCTTTATTGTTGAGTTTTGTGTTCACAGTGCACTTAATTTACTGAATGTCTTAATACTGAATGTCTCTTAAATGACTTAAGCAAAAAAGAAGGAAGGCCATCAAGTTAGACTCTTCAACTGCACTTAGAAAGAATAATCCTGTGTTTGTTAGAAGTATTTGTATCCCTCCTTCTGTCTGGCAGAAAAGACTTCAATGCCGCGGACAGTAAATGGAAATTAATATTTAATAAACATAATATACTTGGTTAAGATAGTGGTGGTTCATGATGGCTCTGCGGGGAGGAGGGGATGATGATGGAAAATGTCTGATCTCCTGGCTTTAGATGTTGCTATAAATGTTGTCATTGTTATTTATTAGCAACTTTACCATGGTACCGGGGGCGGGGGGAGCTTCAGAAGCATACAGTTTGTGCTAGCATTATTAGCATTAACATCTTAGGCCTGGTGGCAGTCAGCCATTTGATATTAAACCCCTACAGTTGAGTTCTGAATCTGAAAGCAGGGATTTGCACCCGTATCTAGTCATGAAATCATATAGTGTAGGCTAGTGATACTTTTTCCCCATCATCAAGCAGATGGCAGTTGCTTTTCAGATTGATTCGATTTTACCTAGGAACCTGGCTCTATGAAATGCTAAGAGTCAGAGAACAAAGGTATATTTCATCTGATATTTCCAAAGACAATTAAAGATGACTTAGTCTATCCTCCACGCTTTCCCCTCTTTCCCCGCCAGTTCTTCCAGCTCACTAGAAATGCATGTGAATGGTAAGATATAGGAATGGGTTGTATTAAAACCTCCCATTTTCTTCTGTTCCACAAGGTGGCATCGCAGCGAGATGTCTCTTTGCTTTTAGTTTTTATGGTGTCTTTAGGGGAGAACAAAAATCATGGCTTTAATTTCTATCACCTAAATCGGTATGTGCTGCGCTGTATTAACTTCTCACAGGAATATTATTTTTTTACGGTGTTCCTCAGACTTTGCTGCAAACTTTAAATAAATCTGCGGGGTTTTTAAAATGTGGATGACATCCTAAAAGAATGTCCCTAGAAAGTAGGAGTATGCCCCCAGCTCTCACCTTATTCATCATTCTGGTGCAGTACCCACATTCTTTGGCTATTTTTCTCAGAAAGTCAATTGGCTTGATAAATTCAGGGCTGCAAGTAATCAGGTTTGTTCAGCTGATGCAAAGTATATATATTTTGACGAGTGAAAGTTCCATCCGCTTTATTTTTAGTATTGCGGGGAGCTTAGTTCAGTGTGACATGAAGTCAGCCTTTCCTGTGGCCGGTTTGCCAGAAGATTGTGCCAGCGTTCTTTCCAATAACTGCACGGACAATTGCCTTGGGTCTGAACCAAAAGATGATTTCCCTGAAACAACTTTTTTCCCTGGTTTATGAGCTGTTCCATTTTTCTCTTTGCTCCTTTTCATGTTCCCTAAGCCCAGCTATCTGGGTATTTGGAATCACTTTCCACGATGTTACTACCATTTGGTTTGTGATGTTGGCAGATCTTATGCCATGAAGTGTGTGTGACACCTCATACCGATAGCAGAGCAATGGACCAAGTTTGGAGAAGGGGCATAAAAACATAGTAACTTCTTTTTGTAAGATGGGAGGTGGGTTCTTATTTCAGCTGCTATTTACATAATAAAAATGTGCATTAATTTCATTCATGAAGTTAAGATCAGTCTAATTTGGCCCTGAGACATAGAGATAACTTGTCTGGATGGTGGCCAACAGTGGCCTTTGGCTGCAATGGGGCCCTGTAACTGCTGAGCTGTCATTTATTTCAGATTCAGACGCTGGGACTGCTGCACTCATATATCATCCCCTTATGCCTGTCAAAATGTTTGTGCTTTTTGAGGACTTCAACTGCTGTGGCATGTTAATCAGAAGCTCAGATAATTGTGCCCAGCATGCTATGATTTGCAGAGTTCAAGACCCTAAGCAGCAGTGGACGCTCACAAGACAGCATCGTTTCATACATATTTTTTTCTTCTTTATATCTTGTCAAGAGCATCACAGATCCTAATATGCTCGCCTCCCACCACCATCAGATGCGCTCTCTCCTTTTCCCATTCTCCTCTGGTGAAGTGGAGTAAAGGATAAGTTGCTTGACTTGCCAAGGTCACCCAAACAGCCCCATGGCATGGCTATCATTAAACCTGTATCTCTGGAATTCTATCCCAATGCTTTAATCACTGAGCAACCTCTTTGTCACTTGGCAGAAGTCCATGGTGAAAGCATTCAGAAAGAAATAGTCTGGACAGTAAAATCCTTCCAACTCCCACAGTCTCCCCAAAGAACAATAAACCCCAAGCTTAGTTAATATTTTGTCTCGTTAGGCTTCCAAGAGCAGAAATCTAAAAATTTAGAGTGATAAGACGCAGGATTGTGAGCTACTCTGGTAGGCAGTTTGGATCTGATACTCATAATTATATCCTTGTTATTTACTCTTTCTTGAAACTCAGAAGAGGATTTGGCATGTCTAGTGAGAAAATGCTGTTGTGTGTCGTCCCCCCCCCCCAAGCCTTTCACCTTAAAGCAATGGGTAAGGGGGGTCTAGCATGCCTATGCAGGCTGGGTGAGCGGAAGAGGTCAGCAACACCTAGTTAATTACATTTGCATATGCAGCTGTTCAAATAGAGCCTCTCTGGTGCCTGCTCTCACCTCGTGGGGGATTTGGAGCAGCTGTTGCTAGACCCGGCAATCTGGCTCTGCCATTGGAGGGCTGGGGTGCGTCCCCGGGACGCCCCCTCAACCATCTATCATTTCAAAGGCCAAGTAATTAGTTATATTTGAATACAAAGAGGGGAAACCTGGCATTGTGTGAACATCCAGGGGCAGCTGCTTATAGTTTGGTTTCCAAGGATACGTGTCCAGGAGTTAAATCACTGCTTGATATTTCTGGAAAAAGTGCAGAAATGTGATAATCAGAATTTGATGCCTGCTGTTTATTTTATAGCACATCCTGCAAGTCGGTGGAGGCTTCCCTGTGATTTTAGGTGGTTGTTTAATTTTCCTTTAAAAACACCGAAAAAAAATACAATTGGCTATCGTGCTGAGGTTCTGCTGAGATCATGACTTAGTTTGTTTTGTTTTGTGGGAGCTGGGTGAAAATCATGTGTGGCCCGCTTTCCTGATTCTGCATGCGTTTTTTTGAAGCTCTTTAATTCCCTTCACTAGAAATATGGGTATTTCAAAAGCAGATGCTAGGCAGCAGAAATATAGGGTGCAGATAGTAGACGGATGGTGGAAAGGTCCAGGATAAAGACTTTCCCGCTTATAAGGGCAATCTTAAGGTGCACGTCAGCCTCCAAAATAGAGATGATAAGGATTCATAGTATTTCATTCCTAAAAGCAAGGACATCCAGGGTGCTTTTTCTCAGTTAAAGATACCTTGGTTAACATACCTTGTTCCACCTGAAAGATTTCGCATATCCAACCAGCCAGTCTGTTGCTGTTGCTGCTTTTCCTTTCCCTCCTCCTTTTTCGTTTTCATATCTGAAACAAAACTGAGAGAGCCATTAGGAGCAGTGCACACATCTTTCCCTCCACCACATGAAACCATGTGCAGTGTGAACTGGCCCTTACTCATGAGTGCCTGATCACATGCAGGACTGATCTGTAGCATTTCTGAACTTCAAGAAAATGACGCGACAGTCACATAAACCAATAGTTTATGCAGTTGGCCATTCATGCTGAGGGCCTGTTTGTGTAGTAGAGGAGAGGGACTAGCTCATGTTTGCTCTTCATCCAACTGCAGCCCTACTCTTGGGCTATGATCTTGGGCCGAGGCATTGACCATTTTTTCAAATAAAATGAAAGTGAAAAATTTATTTTTCAAATAAATGAGGAGGCCAATCTTGAGGAAAGCATCTGAATCCACGGTGTTGTGTGGTGGATTTCACTGTCTCATTGCTGCTGTAGATGGTGTTCAGTTAACTCTATCCTCCCTTTGGAGTCCTCAAAAAGAAGGAAGGGTGGAATAAATTGCCCCCCCCCCCGCCGCTTTCACTAGAGAAATATAACTGCAAAGTAATTGATTGCCAAAACAGTGGTGAGTGACATTGTGGATCTGTGATGCCTGTCCTGTAGATGTACATGGGACTGTAATGTTTGGAAATAAGGGACACGTATCATTTCCCTGTATTCATCCTGGTCTGTGGAGTCTGGGCCAGAGACCTCTGTGGTGCATATGTGTTTCATGGAAAGTGCCATAAGCCACACAAATCCCTGGTTACTCGAAAGGTCTTCTCTGTTGCAGTTTTCAGTCTTCCCAGTCGTATTCCTTGATGGCTCAATATAACATTTGATGGCCTTTTCATATTTGCCTTTGAAATGCTCTCCAAATTTCTGCGGTCTCTCTCTCCCTTCATTTCGAGGGTTCAGATTTGCTCCTTGTCTCTGCTCTCCGTGGATTCTCATCGTGGAGCAGGAGATACTGCTTTAGGGTGGGTTTATTTACCTAATAAACTGGCTCTTGTATCGTCTAGGAAATGCTGACATTTTTGAAAGAGGAACTCCTAGTAACAGGCAAACAAAGGTCCAGCAGTTAGGTCTGGTGAAACAACGAAATGAAGGTCAGCGAATATTGCCCTCAGCCTCTTTCCCGGTGGCCATGACAGCAGCGGAGGTTTATTTGAAGATCCCAGACTCAGAGTCATTGCTTGCATTGTCACCCATCTGAGCGTTCGAGTCTGTGCCAACAGTTTGGGATATTAATGTATTCCACAGATCAGTGAAAAAAGGAATTCCTCTGCACGTCTTTCTTTTCTTTTCTTTTCTTTTCTTTTCTTTTTGTTTTCCCTAATTTCCCCCCCTCTCACTCCTTTCCATACACTTTGTTTGCAGTGCCTTTGTCTGGCGGATGTTGCTGGGCATTTCTAATGAGAAAGCAAAGAATTGTGGAGAGGGAGGGGGAGGGGTGTGTTAGCACTTTAAAACATAAGGTGAAAGTTTTTTACAAGCTAGTCAGGTGCATAGAAATTCGTATTCTGGTTGGGATTGTGAATGCAAATATACAGTAGAAAGCTCCCTTTCTGACACATAAATCTCATTGATTTGCTTCCTGGAGCAAGAAAGTACTTTAGGAAAAATTAAACACTGCTGCTCCACAGGATGCCATGCCTCAGTGCTTCTTTAGTATTCATCCGTGCTTCATTACCACAGCCACCTCTCAGCCCACCCTGAGCAGCTGCTAAAAGGGGCAAAATTACAGCAATTCATACTGCGGGTGACTTACTGCCAGGGAATAATTGGTTTCTGTTTGCAAGGGACATTATCACAGCGAAGCTTGGAAAACAGAAATTGTTTGCTGGTTTTGGGGAGGGGGGTGTTCAATGGAATGTATTTATCAAGATTTTCACAGGATTTGTAGAAAGGGCAGCTTAATGGAAAGAAAAGCTGTTGTTGTTCTTGCGAAGAGACAATTATCTAATAAAGAAATGGGTCAGGCAAAGGAATTTGCACAGGTTTCTTAAACGTATCTGTTTATGCGGCTTCCCTAGCAGGAATTGTACTTAATACTTAGATATTTTTTTAATATATTCTTTGATCCTTCATGGAAATGTTAATGAGACGAAATGGGCTAAAGAGCTCTCCAGACACTGCCTGGAGAGGGAGGAATGAAATGCAGACCCTCTGGAGGGCTTCTGACACACAAGAAGTCCCTTTGTTTCCTGTTTTACAAACCAGAGACATGTCTAAAATCAGCAGCAAAAGAGAGCAGGCTGAAGAGGCAGTGCCGAAGACTAGGCTTTCTATATTTTAAAGGGGGGGGGGAATTGTTTGTTGCTGGCTGTGAATGCCTTGGCGTGCTTGATGGGCAGTGTTCTGTGGCTGTTTGAAGTCCAGAATGAAGGTACTCGGAAGATGTGAGCAGGATGTGGTTAGGCCGTCTTTCACTTAGACTTAATTAAGAATCTTGCAGGCTTTGTCTCTTGGGGAGCCTGTTTCTGTGAATAGGGAGCTTGGCCCCAAAATTGTATATACCAGGCCCACTGCCTTTGTGTTGGGTTGCCAAACTGAAGACAGTAGCAAGTGCAGGCCCCATGTTGCTGGAGGTCATCCTCTTGTTCGGAGAAGTGAGCCCACATCCCCAAGAGAAAGCGACAGGAGCTGGAGGGAGTCTTTCTTAGGAACCGGAGAGTAACCAACCTTTATATATGTGTGCGTGCGTGTGTATAAATAAAAAGCCAGTGGGAGGTAGAAGAGGTTTTGTAACACTTTCCAGCGGATGATTGTTTAGCCTTATGGAAGGTCAGAGGCTAAACCACAAAGGGCAAACACTTTTCCTCAAGGAGTCAACACTGGGTCCATTTCTGTATGTGGGACTATATTTGGGGTTTCATACCCAGATATTAATGAGTCCAGGTATACAATTTATAACCTATGATGTTCCCTTCTAGAGGAGTCAGATTTATTTTTAATACTTTAATGATTAACAAAAAAAGATTCATTGTTATTTTGGCTTTTCACAGGAGAAATCCTAGGACTTTGAGAGTGTTGTCCAAAGCTTAATGGCTGGCCTTCCATTTTCAGCAAAAACCTAAACTCCTGGTTATGGTTTTAGATAAGCCATAAGGTCAGGTCTTTCTATTCATTTGCATGAGAATTAATGCCTATAGAAGTGACCTTTGCCTCTCATTTCATCAGAGGTCTTGGTAGTTGTAACTGTGTTTAGGGGAGAGAAGTCGAACAGGTGAATAGTGAGGTGGCCTGGATAGGCACTTGAAGGACTCTCTATCCTCTATCCCATAGGCTGTGAACATGATTGGATGAGGTAGGTCAGGAGCAGCCGCTGTGTTCCCCTCCAGATGTTCTGACCACCCTGCATCATTGGCAATGCTGTCTGTGGTTGATGAGTTGCAGTCCATAAAATCTAGAGGGACCAGGTTAGCTACCCTCGAGGTAGGGGTGATGTCTCTGCTAGAAAAGCAACTGAGAAGAAACTTGGACCATGCTCTTAACTTGCCATTCATGGGGCACAACGATAGAGAGAGTCTAACTCTGTGCATTCCTGCATGAGACTGGTAGTTTTAAATCTGTTTCATTCTGGCTTTAGGCCAGATTTGGGCCCAGAGACTTCTCTGCTTGTAGTGGACAATCTCAGCTGTTGCTACTATACCTGCTGATGCCATTTGACAGTAGCATCCTTCTGAATCATATTGCGGGGTTGAGGTGATTCTGCTTCCTTTTTGACTGGTATAAGAGGGTATTATTAACAGCTGTTCAGTCTATTTCCCCACCATTCTTGTTTCTGTTTTGGGGAGTGGGGATCCACTTGTGAATCAGCATCTAAAAGCTCTTGTGGTTAGATAAGGTGGAATAGACTTTAAGCAGAAGGCAGACAAGACTGAAGATGCAGTGCTTCCTTCCATTCATACTCACTTAGAAGATCAGATACCTAACCTAGAAATGTCCCTAGTGGCCATGGGTGCTTTTTTCACTTACACTCAGTATTAGCTGCTGCAACTCTTATTGGAAGGTAAGACCTTCCTGGTGCTGGGGCGGGGGGGGGGGGGTGTCATCACTCATACTTGAATTATCTTAAGAATTTGATTTGTATAATATGCTCTGTGTGAACATGCCTGGAAGCTTAGCTTATGCAAAACTTTACTTGTATGATGAGGTATGAGACACTACCTGCATATTTAAAAATTCCACATGCTTGCTTTTTAAGAACAATTCATGGTGGTTATTTATGAAGCCCTGCATGGCTAAGTCACAGGTATCTCAATAAACACATGCCATATTAAAGTATTCCACGTGTTTGGATCTTAAGGAGAGTTTCCTACTATGTATATTTCTTTTTCCAAAGAGAGGGAGGCATTTAGTGGAGGCGTTCATATTGAGGAATTTTGTTCTTTCATAGCAATATTAAAAATAGAACATCGGGGGTTGGAGTTTCTAAGTTTACTCTCAAGCTGAGTTGCTGTAGCCCTTCATTCTCTCTGCTGATACTTGTGCACACAGAAAAGAGAAAAATATTTGCACATGGATTAACATTTTCTAGAACTTATTGCCATTTGTAGGGCAGGGAGAAAACAACAGGATTAGGCAGAGATTCGAATTAACGTACAGTCATTTTGGATTCTGGTTTATGAGATGAATTCATAGGTTTAATTTGCTGCCATGCAGTTTCCACAATGAGTTGCATTTGGAATGAGTTGCAGTTAAAGTTCTTTTGGGGAGAGAAACAGTCAGACTTCTGATTAACTGAGGCAACCCTAGTTAAAACTAAGGGTGAATGCCCAAAACAAAATCCCTTATACTTTATAGCAGCCTCCCTCAACCTTGGGTCCCCAGATGTTGTTGGACTACAACTCCCATCATTCCTAGCTAGCAGGACCAGTGATCAGGAATGATGGCAGTTGTAGTTGAGGGTTGAGAGAGGCTGCTTTATAGGTATTGGAGTATGACTTGGGACCTTGGGGTTCATTACTACTACTACTACTACTACTACTACTTCTAATGTTTTTCAAAGTTTTAATACATACATTTTCTACATATTTTCTTCCATCCATTCTTGTTGAATCCATATGAGCATCTTTCTGTCCTCAGTTACTGCAGAGCAGAGCAAATCCTTCTTTAAGGATTTTTCAATGCAGAACTGAGATTGGCTTTGCTTAAACTGTACGAGTAATAGCAGCTTCCTACTTTAGGGTTTGGTTGCTTACATCTCACTGTGTTTAAATCCCTTTCCCTCATAAGCTAGCTCGTTCAACATCACTGAACAAGGTGGTTCAGTGGATTAAATGTTGGACAACGGAAGCCCTTCGGCAAGTCACTACCTCTTGGCCTTCTTTCTCTATATCTGCAAAAAGGGGATAACCCAGGAGTGGATGTTCGTGAATGAATGAGGTATGGAAAGTTCAATTGCAAGTTTAAATAATCAGTTTGCACTCTTGTGGCTGTTTAATAACAACTATATGATCTACTTGTGGAAGCCTTTTGCTTATCTTTTGTTGTTGATCAGGCAAGGCTCCCTTTTTGGACTCCTTCAGCGCTTGTCCTTAGCAGTTTGCACCAAAGGACTGAGGAAGTAGCTTAGGGTTGGTTGTTTAGGTTTCCTCTCAGTAACTTTATCTGAGCACTTTCTGTTCCTATCTACTTTCTCATGGATAATCTCCTTTCATTTTGTTGAACTCTTCCTGTAAAACAGTTTCTGCTGAATAGCACATGAGTAGTGGGCTATTTTCACATCATGCTATGCTTCAAGCTTCCTTCTGTGCATGTAAACCTATAAAGAGGCTCATCATTTATTCAGCCACAGGTAATTCTCATGCACGCTTAACATACCAAAGAGAAAAGTGTGTGTAAGGAAGGAAGTAGGCTGAGAGGAAAGAGGCAACACTCTTCCCTTATTTTCTCTCTTAAATGAATTTGATAACCAAAGCTACTGAGGACTGTTGAAAATTACAAAATCAGGAAAGGGAGGAGAATATTTGGGCTCCAGTTTGTGGCTGATAATGTTCAAGACTGAATTATAAGGAGGAAAGAACTGGTAAAATCAGGCAGTGTCAAGACAGCCGCAGAGTTTTTTCTAAGCACCCATTCTTGCCAGGGTATGTATGTGTGTCTTTAGTGGGCATGATCTATCAGAGTGATTTAGCCAGAGATGCATCTGCATTTTTGAAAAGGCTGTTTTTGCAGCAGCTAGCGATGAAGCTTTCTTTTGCACAAATAAGTGTGTTCTTTTCCACCTGCCATACCATTGGTAGAAGAGTATTGGAAGCTTCTTTAAAGGTTCTTGATAGCAGATTATCCAAATGCAGTTGATGAATGTTCACTGTCAGGAGCAGGAGATTTGGAGTCTGCATTTCCCAGGGTCTAATCATCTCATAGGGCAGCTGAGTGTGACTCCTTCCCCAATAATCTACTTAACTCAGTAGTTTTCCCCTCCTGTTGCCTCACAAGGAGAAAGAGGCTCCTAGGCTGTTTGCATGATAAGTAGCTTCAGACTCTCCAAGCCTTTGAAGGGAAAGCTGAGAGTTAATTGTGGCAGCTTGAACTAATGGTTTCCCATGTTTACTGGTAGGTTAAGTGAGAAAGAGAGCTTGAAAAACACCCTTCATTTAAGTGCAGTAATGGGCCTTATAGTGAATTTCAAGAGACAACATGTTAATAACTATTCTCTGATCTGGGGGAAAGTGTTCGCCATGTTCTAAGGCTGATGAATTTGCAGGAAGAGTATGAATAAGTACATCAGGGTTTTCTCCTGGGGGAAATTAACTGGGAGACACTCTTGTTTAACTTTTTAAACATCTGCATAACCACTGTGGAGAGTTACCAGCAAGCTGAGTGACCTTTAGGTGGTAATTGATCATGACTCACGAAAGTCCAACTCACTGCATGTAAAAATGCCTACCTTTGTATGTAGGAGATACACATACCCACAGGACTCATTTTACAGGTAAACCAAATATATGCTACTCCATAACTATTGTACAATTCTGTGCTTTAGGTTTGTGCTGTTCATTTAAGTTTAGAATCATGGTTAGAAGCATTGTATTTGTCGTCAAATGGTAAAATAATTCCTGCATTTTCATGCGAAAAGCAGCCAAAGAAGTGTTAATATCTTCAGCAGATTTATTAGACTGCACATAATCACGATGTCTGAAAACTTTACATAGAACTTAAATGCTTAAAAATCATCCCAGTTTCCAGGAACATTACAGGATGGTGCACCCTGGGCCACATCATAATATACAGAACTAGCACTGGTTTGAGTTACTTAGGTATTCTGGAAACCAATTTAAGGTGAATTATTTCGAGACACTCCATTCAGGTGCGCAACATGAGCATGGAGCAATTCTGGCAGTAGACTTGTAACAGCTGTTACAAGCTGTTAGGCAACTGCGATCAAATTTGCAAGCTTAAAGGAATGACGCAAGCAACTGCGGCTGAGTGTATCATTTGTATCCCTTTTTTTCTAATAAAATTGTGGTGTGTTCTTGGAGTCCCAGATGTCTCTAAATTGCATTGTTACCCAGTTTATAGATCGGTGATTCCTTAACATGGATTGATGATCTAGTAACAGGTCACAGGAGGCTTGTGGTGCTACCGCCAAAGTTTCAGCAATGAGCCTTGAAGACAAGCACAGCAAAAGGTGCTAATGGGGCTTCACTTTAGAAAGTTAGGCATGTGTTGGTGGTTCTCCAGTAGGGCTGCAGGGGTGCGACACAGAGTAGGATATATTTGGTCTTAAGTCATCTACCTGTAAAATGAGTCAGAGAGGTGTGAGATCATACTCGTGATGTGAGCTGGGAAGGGGTGACAGAGGGACCCCATTTTTTGTTTTATGGTATGAGGACAACATGCCAGCAATGCCTGATGCAATTAAAACTTAATAAAGATAAGGTGCGAGCTCATATTGGCTAGATTGAGCTCTATGGCTCTTGAAGCCAAGTTGGCATGATCTGTGCATTCTTTCAGCCCTGATGAAATGAAAAGTGAAGGAATGCTGCATGAAACAAATCAGCTTGGATACTTCAGCAAAATCTCACTTGTGTGCTTTGAGGGTGGAGGGGAATGCATCCCAGTCTGTTTGATTCTCATTGCCAAGTATTCAGTCAGAGATGCTGGAGTCCCTTGCCTCTCTTGCATTAGGCTTGTGTTGGAACTGATGGACAAGGGTTCACCAATAGTCGCAGGACTGGAAAAGAAATGTATATCCTCCTAACTATAGGATGGCTTGAGTTGCTTAAATGAGGATTTAGGAACATAAATACTGAAGGTTCGATGATGCACTTGTGTTCTTTTGCTTTGTATAATACCTTAGCTTCTGTCTTGAAGAGTGAATATGTATTATCAGGCAGAACATAAACTAGCAGTGTGTGTGTTAGTGGAATTCTTAATATATTATTTAATATCTGCATTTCCCATGGGATGTGTGCATTAATCCATCACACAAAATCTGTTTGCTTCATAGATTTGTTCTCTTCAAGATGAAAAATTATGTAGCTGGAATTTTTCATGCTTAATTTCTCAAAAACTGATTTATGATGGCAGTGGAGCTAAGAGTTTTTCATTTGTGATAACAGGGCTATGATGGAAATAGAGAATATGAGCCTGGGGACTGGGTAACCCATACTGAAATGTTTATTGCTGTCTTTGAAATGCAACATATTAGGTTGAAGATGTGTCTTGGTAAAAGAGAACAGAGCAGTACCAGGCCTAGGGGATATTTTTAGTCTTCCAATAACTGAATACATTAAAGAGAAATCAGTTTCATTGTCATACTGTGATCAAGAATGCAGAAGTATTCCAGGGACCACAAGACCCATAAGGATCTAATATTTTCAATATACCCTTATATTTGGGTATAGACCTTTTTTGCATTAACATGGAAAAAAACCCCAGCCAGTGTATTTCTCCCAAAATATCCTTTCTTTTTGTTGTGCTGATGTAGTCACCTGAGTCAGGGCTCACTTTTTCTTTTGCTGAAATGTATACGTGCCTCCTCGTATGTTGTGCGTGAAGACGACAATAATTCTAGAGAAAATGTATATTCTGTAAAAGGTAAAGGCACCCCTGACTATTAGGTCCAGTCGCAGACAACTCTGGGGTTGCGGCGCTCATCTCGCTTTTCTGGCCGAGGGAGCCAGTGTACAGCTTCCTGGTCATGTGGCCAGCATGACTAAGCCGCTTCTGGCGAACCAGAGCAGTGCACAGAAACACCGTTTACCTTCCCTCCGGAGCGGTACCTATTTATCTGCTTGCACTGCGTGCTTTCAAACTGCTAGGTTGGCAGGAGCTGGGACCGAACAATGGGCGCTCACCCCGTCGCGGAGATTCGAACTGCCAACCTTCTGATCGGCAAGTCCTAGGCTCAGTGGTTTAACCCACAGCTTATGCTACATTTGTGGGTGGGTGGTTTTTTTGTTGGTGTGGGGGGGAATAGAGACCAGGTTCCAGTAGCTTGGTTGAGAGCATGCTCAAGTGGCTGTTGCTGAACTCACAACTGGAGGTACTTGCTGTTCCAATTTGAGCAATTGTTGTGGCTCAGGAAAGGGCTTCCATGACGGCAAAATCATGGTATGGTCCCAGTTGAGGGTGCTAGTTAATACAAGCAGCACTTGCATCTCAGTGCTTCCTGGCTGCTATCTCAGCATGCTTCTGCATTATTGAGGGTAGGGAGGTAACCAAACTGTGCATCTCTTTAGTTATTGTCTTATCTTACTATAGAAGGTGTTTGTAAGAAAAAGGTAATCATGCTGCAGCAGTTTGCCTCTTGGCAGCCATGTGAACTGCAGCACAACGAGAGCAGGTGGAAAGAGTGAGAAAATTGTCACAGCAAACGAGCAGGCAGCTGAGTGGCCCAAGTGGTCTTTCCCTGCTCCCCTGTCACTGCCACCAACCACCTGCTTGCTTCTTAGCTCGTTCACATGCACAAGCAACAAGCTGAGGAAAGCCCAGGGTCCTAGCGGGGAACCTGGCTGAGCGAACGAGCAGGCGAACCATCAGGCCTTCATGTGCTTCCTGTTCTGCAGCCCTTTGTCTGCCATCACTGTCAAAAGGCACACTTCCTCCTCTTCATTCCTCTGTGAGGGGTGGCCAAGGAGGAAATGAGATTGTCTTAGAATTGTAGAGTTGGAAGGGATCCCTGAGGATCCTCTAGTCCAACCCCCTGCAATGCAGGAATCTCAACTAAAGCATCCATGACAGATGGCCATCCAGCCTCTGCTTAAAAACCTCCAAGGAAGGAGAGTTCACCACCTTCCAAGAGACTCTTCCCAATGTTTAGCTGGGATGCCATCTTATGAAGATGGAAACAATATTTGCTCATCTCGAGTCCACAAGGACTGTTCTCAAATATTATAGGCAGAGGCTCTGAGATTACACTTTTGGTCAACTAATATCCTTATTTGCTCACAGCTTCTCCCATTTCATAGCCAGCAGTGGGAGCTCCTTATGTTTTTGGAGCTGCAGACCGTGGGCTATAGGCATTTGAAATTATTCTTTTCCCACAATGCTATACAGAGGCAGTTTGTATCATGTGAGTAACTTTTTTGCTTATGCTTTTTATTTATATGTTTGTCACTGAATCATGTCTGTTGTCTCTGTTGAGTTTCATTTTATTTTCAAGCTAACAGGGCTCTATCAAGTAGTAGTTATGAACACACATGAGTGTTTGTAAGGGTAGAGGTATGATTGGAAATACCATAGAAAGACAAAGTAATATCTTTTGACTGGACTGCTGCATGAAATGGAAATGTTTCAAAATATGCTCAAAGCAAGCAATCCTCTGATTGGAAAGGTTTGCTCTAAATGGAGGGTTTGAAGCAACTCTTCTTTCTGGAAAGAAAATAGGCCGTCTTTGAAATTCCACTTGGAAATAGCGATGCATATTATCTGGCATTGATTTCTCTTTTAGAAAAGTAGCAACAGATTATATATATATATGATGGAACCAGAAATGGAGGTCTAACAATGATAGATGAGGGGAAACACTTATCTCATTTCCTCTCATTCAGTTGGGTTATGCATGTGGTTTGGGACCATAAACTCTAGGGATTATTTCATCATAGAGACAATAAACATTTTGGACTGAAAACTCACTACACACTTTTTCTGACTGAGTTTGACATGCAGGAATTCTCATGGACTTCTGCTTTTTATTTTCTCTTCCTCTCATTGCTTTGCCAGCCAGTTTCGGTGAAAAAGAAAAGAGTGTTTCTTACCAACTGTTGGATTGGGCTGTGAAGATTTTGAAACTGTTGTATCTGCACACATTTATTTCTGATTGACATTCCTGTAGAGTGATTATAGCTTTAATCATTTTTAATCTTTCACCTGAATGGTGATCGTAAATAAATGCGTAAAACAATCTCAGGTGTTTCCGTGACTAAAGGATGCAGCTTGCCTTGTTTGATCTTGGAGGAGCTGTTGGGGTCAATGGTTCGTACAATAAAGTTGATGGTGGCCTTGGAGGAAAATGTTATTAAATCAAAGGTGCAGGTTGTAATCCTTCTGGGCAGACTCTATCTTGCACTTGGGATCTCTACAGTGCCTAGAAGAATGACAGTTTTAAAATGTGCACAGGCATTGATTTAGCACTAAGAACTGTTGTTTACAATACAGCCTGAGTTGGAAACTGCAGCTATTTTATCAAAGTATTATAAATCACTTAAAGCATTTTAAATCATTTAAAATATGGATAAAAATGGAAGACAAATTGCACTTCAGACCTGAGCAACATATTGCATTTATGTGACACTAGAAATTAGACCAGAACTGGTAATTCATACAGGTTAGGGAGTGGGTGGCGCTGTGGTCTAAACCACTGAGCCTCTTGGGCTTGCTGATCAGAAGGTCAGTGGTTCAAATACACACAACAGGGTGAGCTCCCCTTGCTTTGTCCCAGCTTCTGCCAACCTCGCAGTTCGAAAGCACACCAGTGCAAGTAGATAAATAGGTACTGCTGTGGCGGGGAGGTAAATGGCATTTCCATGTGCTCTGGCTTCCATCATGATGTTCCGTTGCGCCAGAAGCGGTTTAGTCATGCTGGCCACATGACCCGGAAAGCTGTCTGTGGACAAACACCGGCTCCTTTGGCCTGAAGCGAGATGAGCGCCGCACCCCATAGTCAACTGTCCAGGGGTCCTTTACCTACCTGTCATATAGGTTCTTGAGATTTTTTGGAAGTGCTCAGGCCCAGTCACTAATTGAAACCCCACATTATAATTTTATATGGTTCAGAAACATAAAATTGCCAAAAAGAGAAATGAATTAAAAAACAGTGTTGCACAACATCTGCCTTTGTTTAGCTAATGGCAGGCAGAATTGTAGCAAGAGCGTCTGTCTCTGACTCGGCACTTGTTAGTTGACAACTGTGTTGCAAATTTCATTTTTAGTTCCCACTGGCATCCACAGGAGACACAGAAAATGTATCGGTAGCTTACACAAATAGTTTTTATCTTCCAACTTTTAAATCTGGAGGAACATTAACTTCACTTATGCCTTGCATGGTGTGTTAATTTTGACAAAGCCCTTTATGCTAGGTGGGATTTTGTAGCAGTGCTACTTTCTAGAACAATCCAGATATTTACATTAAAAACATGTGGCTTATAAATAAGCATTTACTATTTTATTTAGTTCTTGTGGCATGGATCCTTTAACAAAATATTGCTACTAGGTTTCCATAATTTGGTCAGTAATCAAGCAATTCCATTAAACCTGCCTTTTTTAAATCTTGATTTTTTTCAGTATGTTATCATCATGTCTGGGGCTATTGTCCATCTGTGCATCACATTCATCATTTATATACCGGTAATCACATCTTTTCAACTTCCAACTTCTGAAATTGAATGGTGCAAAGGGATGTGTTTCTTTTATCACAGATTTGACTCTGCATTTGGTGCCAAACTTGTTCTAGGAAGCCTAGACATTTTCTCAGGCTTCCTGGATAGTTTTTGTAGGTTGCTATTTCTCAGCCTCAGTGCCCCGTGTGTAAAGTGTAAGTGACCTACTTGGAACCTCTGTCACATAAGCCTAGTGGGAATTGTAAAGGGAAATTTGGAAGAGAATGTTGACTGGTTTGAATCAAAGCTGTCAACTTTTCCCTTTTCTTGCGAGGAATCCTATTCGGAATAAGGGAATTTCCCTTTAAAAAAGGGAAACGTTGACAGCTATAGTTTGAATACGACTGGCTTCTGCCGGTGAATTTTAACTTGGGGTCTTTTGGAGACAATTGAATAAGGAAAAGCCTGTTCCCTTCCTTGAGATTTGGGAATTGGGCTAACAGCCAATCCAATAAGCTTACATACAGACCCTCACCATTGGATGCGACTTTCTGAGTCTTCAGCAACCACTCACCTAAGCCTGCTCTTGATAACAAAAGCGGACTAAAGAGCTAACATTGTTTCCCAAGCTGTAACATTTAAAAATGAGGTCAAAAGTAATAACGGGTCGGTTTCCTTGGTGCAGGAGGCCACATGTACACTTGAAATGTTTACACTGACTCATCACTCAGGTGAAAGAACCGGGCTGCCACAAAGTAATACAAGACCAATTCCCTAGAGAGGCAGGTGAGGGTATTTACAAATAAGCTACCTTGAGGGTGTGGAATATTGACTTAAGTGACTGCAAAAGTGATCACTACCCAACAGGAAAATGTCAGAAAGGGAAAGGGTGAGTGCATGGGGGAAGTGTCTCTTTAACAGCAACAGCAGACTGGTTTCGGTTAGATTTATGCATTCATCTTCTAGTTCAGTGTTGCTAAACTGGTGCTTTCCAGATGTTTTGGACTGCAACTCCATCATCCCTGACCATGAGCTGTTGTGGCTGGGGCTGCTGGGAGCTCCAAAACATCTGCAGGGCCATATTGGCTCTCTGTGTCTTACAGTTTGTTCTCTGATGTCTGAACACTGTTAATTAATTGGAGCTTCAACAGGAAAATGAAAAAGAATAACATGGAACGGCAGCTCTCTGGTTGCAGCCAATCTTCGCTCTCAAAAACTGGTGACATTTTGCATAGCAAGAGCAGCTTGCCTGGGCATCTTTATCACCCATTCCCAAGGTGTTGAAAAAGCACCAAGAGAACTGCTCACTAACTTGGCAAGACTCTGGCACTTGGAAGCCCTGCAAGGCAGGAGACAGTGCCCATCATTGTGCAGTCCTTCTGTAATGTATGTGAGTGAGTAAAACAGACCCGAGTGACTCATTTCAGGGGTACATTTCTGTTTACATTTGCCATGCACGATTTTGCATATTTTCTTTGGAGGCCTAATTTCAGTCATCATGAAAGTAACTACTTCCCTTTTTTGAGGCATAGATCTCAAATTTGTTCTTTTCCATCCAGCTATACTAGTCTGGCTTTTCCTTCAGATTTCAATCTCAGCCCCCCTTCCTTTTCATCTTCCTCTTATATTTTAACAATTCTACCTCTCAGGCTATTTGAGGGAGTTTCCCTAGAAATATTATGTATCACAAATTTCCATCTATGATCTTGATCTGCTTTCATTCTCTAAGAATCTTGTATCTTTTGACTACTGATTTTAAATTAATGCATAGAATCTAGCAATGAAAATGTAACGGATTTTTAAAAGGCACAGAGAAACATAGCAGAAAACTGAAGTATAAATATTCATTGTTTTCCTCCTCTTGTGCAAAGACTGTGCCTTTAGCTACGTCGCAGAGAAATGTACATCCTATCTTTCAGCATAAGTAGTGCAATAAAGAACCAAGTTACATATGGCACAGGACAGCCTTCACCATCCTGATGCAGTCCAGATGTTTTGGATTACAACTTTCATCAGCCCCAGTCTCATCTGGCTCTGCTGCCTGGTGCTGATGGGAGTTGTAGTCCATCTGTAGGGCACAAGGATAGCGAAGGGTGGCATACAAAATGGCCATCACATCTCCAAATATTTTTAGTTTTCTTTTAAAGCTAAGACTTCCCAATTGGACCGGAACACCAGCTAAACATAAAAGTAGCCTTGTTGGGGTCATAGAACTATAGAGTTGGAAGGGACCTTGAGGGTCAACTAGTGCAACCCCCTGCAACGCAGGCACCCTGCCCACAGCCGTCCCTGGTTGGGCCCGAACCGCCTACCTTCTTGGTTAAACAGCATCTCTTTGTAAAATTAGCTATCAGGGAGGTGGGATGAGAATAGTAGTGGCTCAGATGATCGAGTTATTTGAGATCAGAAGTTAAGTTCCAGAACTCATTTGTGTTTTGCTAATTACTGAAAATGTTCATATGGCATTTTTCATGTGCAAATCTCTTTTAAGCTTCTAATGTAATTTACAATCATATTGCCTTCATTAGTGGAGATGAGCTTTGTTCCCATTTCAAACTAGGGCTGAGTGAGCGGCACTTGTACAGAATCTACAAATGCCCCTTGTATTACGTCAGCTACACGGGAAGAAGCTTTTTTCTACAAGGGAAGAACTATTTTATGATGTGAAGTTGTTCTTCTAGAAACTTTAATTTTGTATTTGAGATTTATAATAATTACAGAGATAATTAGGTTTTGTTTTGATTCCTTTCAGGGATGATGGTGGTGATCGTACTACTGCTGATTGCGATAGTCGTCGTTGCTGTGTGGCCCACAAAATAACCAACGGAGCTATTACTTTGGAGCCATTGCACTCTGAGGCAAGGAAAATTCGATCTCATTACTGACACTTTCTGTGGACTTGGCTGTATTTGACTCGTTCTCAGTGCACTGGCAGAAGCACGGCTGGTGGAGAAATTCATTTTGCAAAAATCTCTATCCAGTAGGACTTGATATTTTTGAGAATGTTACTGGTAGGAGGCGAATCTCCTAACAAACATCAAAGCATAAATGCAATTAATTCCAATTTCACCTGTCTCTGCTAGGTGGGATCTACAGTTAATCTCTAGAATGCCAAGCTAAGATATTGGAGTTTTCATTCTAACATTATCTTTGAAGCTGAAATTAATACATCTTGGTTTTGAATGTCAGGGCAGTGGATCTGGTGGTGTTCAGGCAAACTGCTGCTCTGATCCATGTTCTGTTGCACATGGATATTTGCACAAACCTTTCAGATGCACATAAATCCTGGATAATCTTTGGCTTGAGACAGAACAGTTACTGCTGTTACATTTATATAGACAGGAGCAAATTGGTATTGTTTGGAAAATAAGATGATATTTCTATCCTAAAATGCAAACACTAACACATTATGCTGTGCTGTGTAGTTTTCCTCCTAACTACATTAATAGCAGGGAAGAAACATGATTACCTGAAGCTCCAAAATCTATATTTTAGATGAGAAATTAAAATAGTTGAGAGTAGCAATACAAAAAGTCGCTATTTAATATTTGCTCACCTCCAGAAATCATTATTTTGCTACATATGTGCCAACTTGATTGATCAATTTACTACAATAACAAGACGGAATAAAACACTTAATTTCTGTATTACTCTTTGGGCACATCATTATTTCATTTTCTGCCCCTCTTTTCTTTTCTTTGTTTTGTTTTCCTGTGGGTCAGGGAAGTTTGAAATCTAAAGAACTTTAAAGACTGCCTCTGGCTGTCAACCCACCTAAGCTCTGATATTTGTTGACTGCATGAATTTTAGGAAATGGTTCTATGAGAACAGTAGATTTTTAAAGAAAGCTGCATTAGGACGTGTGTGCCCACATCCAAGACAATGCAGGAAGCAGCTGTGCAAATCCTTTTATAATCAATACTTCAGTCTCCAGAGCATGTTGTTTTGGCCATGCTACAGTAAATAGTGAACCTCTAATCCACTGTTGGGAATGGGTGGTATACTGCAAAGATGAGAAATCCTAGATCAAAAAGATATCCACTGGAAGGAGATGGGTGCATATGCAATCATTAGCCCTTTTGTTAAAGACTCCATAGAGGTGGTTGGTTCTAGAGCTGCTCACCATATGGATGTTCCCTTACAATAGCCAAAAACAACGTGGGAAGATGGGAAGCTGCCTTCTACTGAGTCAAACCATTGGTCTATCTGGTTCAGTATTGGCAGCAGCTCTCCAGGCAGGGGACATTGTCAGTCCTACCTGGAGAGGTTAGGGGTTGAACCTTGGACTTTCTGCTTGCAACGCTCTTATCACAGAGCAAGCAAAGAATGCAAAGGAGAATTATCATGCAGAGTCATGCAGTGATCGCATAAACATGGCAGACTCTGGTGAGACATGGTCAGCAAAACTATGGATTCTGTTTGCGTTCTTCTGGAAAGTAACAGCACCACTTTCCACTGAAGATCATTCAAACATTTTGTGTTACTTATTACTGGAGGTTATCTTTTGAACCTGGGGCTGGCTGAAAGTTGTCTTTTCCATAGATGGTTCCCCCGCCCCCGACCCCCCCTTTCTAAGTTGTAATAAAGAAATGAAAGCCAAAAAGTAAGTAAAGCAGCTTTTCTAGAAAGAGATGCATTCAGCCAGATCTGTATTGGAACCCAAGTTGGTTGAACTGTGTGGTACTGATTAAATGGAGGGAAGAGCAAGAGACATCACCAGAGTTGGGTGCTTCTTCCATTACCTGTGGTGTGGCTGGTACTCCCCCATGGCTTCCAGAAGAGCTGGTATGGAAATCTAGTGTTTCATTTCTAAAATGGTGCATGGAAGTGTCATCTTTTGAGCAGGAAGCCTATCTCTAACTTCAGATTTTGGAGAGGAGTTGCTCATGGTTCCTTGGTAGTAAAGGACTTAGTCAAGGTAAGTTCTCACTCTAATTAATCCATGGAGCAACAACAGTTGCAGGTTGGTGTTGCCACTGGAAAAACCTAACAGTATTTCCAAGCTTCCCAGTGGGACCACCTTTACAAGAGCAGAACATACTTATTATCTGTGATAATGAGTAACAATACCCAATTATTTCTGCTTGGGAAGGCTGGTGTCCGGTGTACTTCCTTCCTTGGTTCAAATATGTGCAGAATAATTGGCTTTCTCAACATGAAGGGTGTTTTGAAGGTGAAAGAAAAATGCAGTTGCTACAGAACTTCACAAAGGCCGTAGTTACAGCAGAAGCAAAATTCAGTACACATAAAAACAGCTTATGTTGTTGTGCTTGCTTGATTCTCCACTTCTGATCTAGTATTGTTGCTGTTTTTCATTACTTTTCGAAACCTTAGAGGGAACAGTTGTAAGAAATATTTGCTTATTTTCAGTGGAAGATATTGTATTCCCCGAAGCTCACAGAATCACACTGCTAAGTATGTAAGAGTCCTTCGGATCATACCAAAGGCCCATCCTGTCCAGCATCTTGATTTTCACCGTGACCAGTCAGATGCTTAAGAGACACCTACAACAGAATATGAGCACAATAATTAACTCTCACTTGTTTCCCACAGCTCTGGTATTTAGAGGTAGACTGCCTCTGATCCTGGAGTTAATCAGGATCAGCTATCCCGATTAGCAGCATTCGATAGCCTTATATCATCCATGAATTTGCCTAATCCCCTTTCAAAGCTAAGTTGATGGCAATTAGCACAACTTGTTCATCCTGTTTCAACAGAAGAGACTGGCATAAGGTGAGTAGAAGTTTACAAGAGTTTATTTGACAGATGTCTGGATTTAGTCCTATCAAATGGATCCTGCACAGTTACATGCTGCTCCTGGTTCAGTTGTCAGCCCATCTAACAAATAAAAGAAAACGGAGGGAGGGGGAATAAGAAAATCCACAACTTTTTTCCCACATGTCATTAAATATATTCATATATATAACCATAATATATTAGTATGCATTGTAAAGAAACATTGCCCCAAAACTATATGTAATAGTCATAACTAAACAACATTTACAATTCATGATATTAACAGGAATAATCAAAACACAGCTGATTTTTTCCCCTGCGTAATAGGGAAAAGGTAAGATGATCAAGGGAATGAGCATACAATGAACCAGCTAAAACAAAACATAAAATGGGGAGGAAGCCATTGTTCAATGTTACTCATGAGTGGTGATTGTTTTGGCATTTCAGCTGCTTCTCAGAATGGTTTGTGTTGCCCTTTTACCCTGTCAATGTAGAGCTTGGAATGTTTCTCAAGAAGACCTTGAATGTAGTCTGCTGTGTGGCACTCCTAGAGCAGGTGCAAGGCATCAACTTCCTTTTTTTGAGATTCATTTAAATACTAAATTTGGTGGTAGTTTTACTTATTTTCTCAACTGCAAAAAAAAAAAAAATTAGTTCTTTAGGAAACTACGGCTTGCCATTCTGCTTTCTAAACCACCACCTTTGCTGGGCTGCTCTTGCCGAGTTCTAGTCCCTTAAATTTTGGCTGTGAAACCAACAGGAAAGGATTATTGACCTTCTCTGTTATGAAAGGTTGCCTAACTGAGTGTTAGCCTCCGAATAAAAAGGACAACCCTAAATGTAAGAGACAATCCTGACCATATACTACCTCCTAAGCACATTTGATGGTGTAGAAAGATTTGAAGCGCCACCAAATAAGTAGCCCCAAGTATGCTGAGGCTGTGTTGCTGTATTTCTGTTTTAGAGAAAAAAAAGAGAGGGGTTCTAGAATGTAAGCCAACCCCCCCAAATATAACTCCTTTTATTTCATAGTTTACTGATTGAAGCTGAAAGTCTCTCTGACTCTCCTATATGCTCATTGCAGTATACCTAGACAGGTAAATTCTTTAAATGTGGGATGTGCAAAACAAACCCTTAAGCCTGCCAATATAGATGACAAGGAAAAGGCTTTTCTTACTAATTTGGGATGAGGAGAAAGTAATCTAAAAAATTACATTTCTGGTTAATATACAGTTTCTGAGTTCTAGCCTATTTTACATTTTGTACTATACAGTCAGCATTCTTGGTTTTCTCTATAAGCTCCCCCCCCCCCCTTGGCTGCCTTTGCTATCTTGGTGTCTCCATGCCCCTTTACAGCTCTCTAGGATATCGGTGTCCACTATGGAAGCGCAGGTCATTTTCCAGCTGTCCTATAGGGGATTGGGCAAACGGTGAGGGTATCTGTTTGTAAACATTGTTTTGAGGAATTATTTAGTGGTTATCAGTACTAATTCCCAAAACCAAACATAGAACTGGCTCCTGAATGCTCACAGGAATATATATGTGCTGCTGTGTAGTTCAGATGCAGAACAGAACTGTCAAGGGGAAACGACATCACACCAAGATCTGTATTGTAGCCAGAGAATTCCATATGGAAAGCGAGGAACGAGAGGTTTGTGTCAAGGAGAAGGATGCACTCGTCAGGCTGAGATGGATTTTTAGGAGCTTTGATTTTTCTTTCTGAATTTTCAGTCTAGGATAAATCTTTTGTCAGACTACTAAGCACGTTATATGAAAATCAAATTGTTTTCTGTTCAATGCTGGAATACTAATGAGAACTCAGACAAAAGCCCCTCTCCTCCTCCCTGTTACCTTTAGGACACACAGAAAATATGCAGTCACTGAGCTACCCCACAGGGCACAGCTCAGAGAAGAGTCTGAACCTGACTAAGTTACAGCTTAGGCAGAGTATCTTTATACCCTGTTTTACCCAGGCTGTGTGACTTGTAAAACCCCTGCGTTCCATTGATTTTAAAATAAAAACCAGGCTTTTCGAAGGGCTCTCTGTTTTCTTTAGTGTCTAGGTTCTATATGAAAAATAGATGAAATTTTGAGAGGGATGTTTAAAAACATTAATTAAAAAAAAATTCAACAGTAGCAAAAGTGAAGATAAACAGAGGCTTTCAGTTCAGCTTTAAACCCAATTACTACTTAAAAAATGAACGTTCCATACAGGAGTACCTACCTCACCACTGATGTTTATCACTAGTGGGCCTGCATTCAGAGTCTATATCAGTGCTAAGATTTTACAGGCCGCTCTTTCAATACAGTACACTTCAACATGTTGCTAACACAAGAAAGCACACAAAATTTGAAGAATTTTGAGCAGTGGTTTTCAAACTGTGGTCCTAGGAATCCTAGAGTTCCTTAGAAGGTTATTCAGGGTTTCTCCTGATGAGAAGCAGATCCTCTTTGCTCGCATTGCACAGACTGAGTAGAATGCTGGGTGGGCTCTGGGGAGCGTCTCTCAGGTAGGCCCAACAAGCATAGCGGACATTGCACAACAACAGAGTGCACAGTTCCTCAGCAGACAAATCAGTGTAGAACAGGTATCCTGAAAATAGGAAGTTCGAAAACCAATGACCTAATAAGATGCAGCTTTTCCGGAGTTACTTACTTTGGTTCTGTCATGCAGCAGAATGAGGCGGTAGAATCTGGAGGTGATAAAATGGATTGTACTACTCATGGGTGAGAAAATAACCATTTTGAATGCTGCCCGGCATGCAAAATTCCCTGCAAATTTTTTTAAAAAGGAAACAAACTAGCATGTCAGGACGGTTCTAGCTCTTCCTGCTGTCCTACTTTTCTACATTCAGGGAGTATTTTATGGAGGGCGTCACTCTAAAATATAGAACCCCACTATCTATATTATGCTGCTTAGTTTCACAGTATGAGTAGATCAGGGCAGTGTGTGGCTGAAACAGGACATGGCAACAAGCACTTTTTGTTTCAGTTGTTGGCTTGGCTCTTTTTCGTCTTCTATTTTAGTAGGTAAACTAATTCTGAATCTAAAATGAGTGTCAGTATGAACAACACTGATAAATGTACCTCAGCTGTGAGAATGTTCTGCATATTTCTTTTTCAGCAGCTAGGTTCATATAAAGAAGTGGGAGCCCAGAAACACTCAACAGTGTGCAGAGCAGTTGAGTCAGAGCACTTCGTTCCCACCCCTTGCCTTCAGCCAGGGATCCTAACTCCTGTTCCCCTATTCTCGGCTTCCCCGGCATCTGGCCACTTTACACCTATTTGTGCTACAGTTTGTTTTATGGTAGTTTATGTCATTATATAAATATTGTCAATTGCTATAAAACAAGGCAAAACCACTGGAAAATGTCATTAAAAGGATGTTTCCATATTTCCTAATAGGAAACATCTTGGGGAAGTTTGTATTTTGCAGAGCAGGCGTCCCTGAGCTCACGCGTGAACCGCCTGCCTAGACAGTCCTAGTTTGCAAGTTAGGGCTGATGGGAGATTTGCATGAGTGGAACAAAAATCTCCTTCAAATGGAGGTTAGGGGAAAGAAAGTGTAGAGAGCTGCTGTGGGAGTGTTTGGGAGGGCATCTCCTTTATTCTAGGTATGTTATTGGCTGCAAAACATACATTTTGGGTTCTTACAAACATGAGCTTCCTTGTCCGAAGTGACACTCCTTGCTCCATGTAAGCATTAGTAACACTTTTGTTCTTTTGTGTCTTTTCCCACTTGGTCTTCCCTGGAGCAGGTATGGTACACATCTTGGTCAATTCATTCCCTGCAGGCAGAGCCAGCACATAGGACTGTCTGCAGCTCAGCAACCCTCCTGGGAAAAGAGGAAGCACTGAATGGATTTTACACTGAGATATTAATAACCATTGCTGTGGAGAGGCACAAAAGTGGTAGGGGTGTGTGTGTGTGTGTGTGTGTGTGTGTGTAGAGTCAGTTTGAATCTATCAATGGTAACTTTTGCTTTCTGCTTTTGAGATGAGTATTGATAGTCTAGTGGGTGTCTAAAGAAGTTATTACTACTTAAAATTATAGACAGAGTTTATTTCATTTCCTAGTGAATGCATTTAAAAATAATAATAATCCAGTGGTCTCAGGGTAGGGCTATATTCACAAAAGCAGCAGTGCAAGGACAACTCCTAAAAATCCGAGTCATTTATATTTGACTAATTCTTTAGATTACCCATTAGATCGGTGGTGGTCATGTTTTCAGATATTGCTATTAAGTAATTATTATTTCAATTGCTCCATCAATACTTCATAGCTGTCAGCTTTCTTTCCTTAGCAGAGTGCCTTTTAAAGTCAGGCAATAAGACCTTAGTCTGGGGCTGCATTTTCAAGAAAGCATACCCCTCTACTGACTGCCTTGTATGTAGGGTAAGTAGCTTATATCTCTGTGAACTTTCATTAGATTCTTATAAAAAGGTGACCCAGTCCATTAAATGCTGCATGACAGATAATGGATGAGCTACTCAGGCTGCTAGTTTGCTGTTCATTTGATTGTAGCCCCAGAAATTGGTTTCAAGCCATGATCCATATGCTCCATCTTTCCAACCAATAAGAACGTGATTTAATCTCCTTTGGAGGAGATGTATTCAAAGGGCAATTTCTGTGCAACTTCAACATCTCTCTTTATATTTGCTTCAGTGACAGGTTGAGTCCTTTCTGTGCCTAGACTTTAAGACTAGTTGATGTTAGAGAACTTAAGGCAGTTGGTCATTCTTCTGATTAGACAGAAATAAAGAGAGAAGAAAAGTCAAAGGGGATGATGGGAACTAGTAACTGGCCTAAAATTTGTTACTATGGTGAGTAGGGTCTCGCGTGGCTGTCCTTCTCTAAACTTGTCACTTCTCACTACATTTTGTGGTTTTTCTGTATTGTGAGGTACATAATTGGCATGTCTCACAGAAGTTATTAACCCCTCCTTTGCCCCCCCACCCCGTCACACACAATGCAAAGTGAGCTTCTTGCCAGTGACCCTAATCCCATTCGCGTCTGCTTCAAGTCCTACGCAAAGCAGTATGTTCAGTCTCTCTTCCCATCTCCAGTTCTCTCCCCCTAGGCTTTCTTGCACTTCCCCTTCTTTTCCCGTTGCTGGAACTTCCTCAGTCGCCTAGCCCATGTGTCCCTCCACTGTATAACAAGGCTGCTTTTGTCTGCCACGATGCCGTTCTGATCAGGGGAATCCTCGTCGTGGCCCAGCAACAAGTATTTCTTCATGGGTTTGATTTTTGGGCACTTGCAGGCAATGTCCTTGGAGCGTATCCAAAGGAACTGGTCACCGCGCCGTATCCGGTTTGTCCCTTGCTTGTACACAGAGATGATGTTGACTGTGAACTTCCACCATTCTCCAGCCTTATCTGCTTTCAGGATATGGATCTGGACAGCTGGGAACAGAAAGCCAAGAACAGGGACAATCAATTTAACACCCCAATTCTCCTCTCAAGGACAAAGCAAATGTTGCTTGAACAGCAGTGGTTAACCAAGAGCAATCTAGAAATATGCATGAAGGACATCACATTGCTGTAAATGACAGACGTGTAAGTTACATGATAGAAATGTTCTTACTGTCCTTTATGGGGTAACTGATTTGATAGAGGGATGCTGGGGATGTAAGAGCCCAACTGCATTATGTTACCTAGAAAAAGTGTGATATGTTGTAGATTCCCTTACAATGCCTTCTCTTTGGAAAATGACCCATTATATATATATTTTAAATGGGATTGAGTATTCATCCAGTATTTTCAAATGGGTAGACTGTATGCATATAATCAGCAGATGAGAGGAGTTGCCTGTACTTCAGAGTCTGTTCCCAAACTGGAAGGTCATTGGAGGGGCAGTGGGGGACTATCGGCATCTGTCTGTCATTGAAGTAACTGGTCTGTTTGTCCTCGATAGATGGTCATGGGTTTAGTTTTAAGAGAAGAGTTGCCCTTACTTGTATTGCATTCAGATTTCATTTGATCCTGCCTATTTTTTCCGGAGTTGTGACCGAAATGTGCATTAGAGAGAAAGAGAGGAGCCATCCCATTTTTCCTGATTGTAATAAGTCACTTTCAGTTTGGTTAACTACTTTGTTCCAGTCTTTGCTTAACCCTTCATCACTCTTTCCTGTGACTACATATGTGCCTGCCCCAAGCAAATTGGCATTTGAGAATAATGTATCCAGCTCTCTTCTGCCTGTGGAGACAAGTCTCTCCCTGTCCAACTCTCCCTTCTTTTCATGCTGGGCATCTTGACCTCTGTGGTCTGTGCTAGTGTCCCACATTCCAAGTCTAAGTATGATGGTAACCGTTTCCATGTTTCCCTTACCTAGGGATTTGAGGCTCAATGAGAACTTTAAAAAAATAAATAAAATGTGAAGGAAGTCAGGGTCTTGTTTGGCTGAAGTCATGAAAGGTGGCCATGGTAACAAAAGGCACCCCTTTCATTTTGAGCAAAAGGTTGGGGGGAAGGGAATTAAAACCCACCAAGAACTTTGCCACACTGTTTGGTTTTTTGGCATGTACTGGGGCTAGCCTGTGAAAAGAATCTTGCTGCAATGCATCCCCACAGAGCAGAGTCCCTACCTTTTAACCCAATGCTTCTAGCTCATAAGCATGCAAGATTTGTCACACTGGGTAGGATGAATAGACTACCAGTCTACTGCCTTATCTCCAGTAGCAGCCAGTAAGGGTCTTTTAAAAAATGCCCTGCCTTCCTAGAAGTACTTGTGATAGTATACAGAAATGAAAAGGCAATTGGGTGACCCGGCAAAAAGTTTACAGATGGGTGAATCAAATCACAAGCATAGACGCTGTTAGACTAACCAAATCATCTCAAACCCACAAGATTTTCATGGTGAGATAAACAGCCCCAACCTAAAATCTCAATGTTCGGTGTTAGTAATGCTGGGTAGAAACCATACACAGCTTTGCTTAAAATAAATACGATATATGCTGCGCGCCAATTACTTTTATTAAATTTCCTTATAGGCTACAGAACCTTTATCCTAAATGGATACAGAGGTTGAGGAAACTCAGCTGAAAGACCTGAGCAGTGCTCATGTAAGTCTCCAAAAGGACTGACCTAGAGCTGGCTCCCCACAAACTAAGCAAC